TTGTAAAAGTTATTATTATAGTGCCATTGTTTCTTTCCATCACAGCTGCAGTTACATTCAACCAATGCTTGTTTAGTGGCAGAACTGAAGGGGAGGCCACTATTTTTAAACTGCCAGTAAGATACTAAAACTCTGCTGACCAATGCAGAGTTAGAAGGTTTGACCTGCGTGACATCTGAAGCGGTTTGAAATCACCCTGCAGCTTTAATCCCGAAATGCACGGGTGTTCTGCCAAACGTACTCCAGGTCAGTTACTCATCTAACCCAGATTGAGTTACAAAATACAGATGCCAAAAAATTTTATTTTCAAAATGTCAAATTTTAAAATTACAGTTTACATACATATTGTACTGTGATACACATAGTGTACACGTCACTCAGCAGAGTATGTTACTCAGAAGTCATTGTTTTGTGGTCATTGCAACATGGCTGTGTGTGCTGTCAAGTTCATATCCTATGTGCTAAAAATGTCGAACTCATGTTCATATTCTGCGTCTAAACGATCTGATTGTTCACTTGGCACAAAAATATTATTCTCATCATTAGTTACCTGCCATTTCCTGCTATTCTGATACTATATTTTTTTCCCCCCACCAATTTGACTCAAGAGATTTGTTGAAAAGAACTTCTTGAAGTTGAAAAGAACTTCTTGAAAAGAAGACTTCTTGTAACTTAACAGAAATTAAGCAGGGTGTAATTTGGTCCAGTGCATGTAAGGGTTCAATCTTGACTACTGTAGTACTATAATCATTAAACTCAAGTATTATATCTGATTCTAGTAAAATCAAAAAGGTTCGTCAATCAGTTCATTGTCTGTTGCTTCTTTTCCACGGTGAAAGAACGCAATAGAGCGGGAAATGCTAAAGGCAATATTGAAACTAAATCAAATGTTCTGCTTCTGCATCCTGTGTGAAATCTGCACATTAATCTGTGTCTTGGCATGCAAGAGACACATTCCTATTCCGTACATACACACACATACACAATATACTTACCACTTATTGCATCACATAGAGCAGGTAGCAACATGTATCAAGTCGCTACATGTAGTGAGGAGAGTTCAGATAGTAGTTTATGACACTTGAGCACTTATCTCTACACTAATCTCATTAAAAAGATGGCAGCGGAAGTCATATATACTATAAGTGGCTGATTCTGCAGCAGTAATAAAACTATTGTCCCATAAAACAATCCTAATGAAAACCCTTCTTCCTTGGGAGTTTTACAGAAACATAAAACATGTAGCTTTAATCTATTATATGCATCGCTAAATCAACAACCAATCCATGAACCCCAGCATCTCTACCCAAACATCCATTTCTTTTCAGTCACAATATTAGAAACCTACCAACAAATATCATTGAGAATAGCATGAGTGCATCTGCATTGAAATTTCCATCTGCTGCATTTTAATCACTCAAGGACGGTGCTGTATTTAAGTGATTATTAGTATAGTAGGGAATGCAGGGTCATGGACAAATGAATTTGGTGTCATTGAGGTCATGTATGTGGAGGCCAGAGAGCACTTTAAAATACATGTTATGGACTCAACTTGCCTGTCTCTTGATAACCATAATGAGCATTATGTTTGGCAGCAGATAACTAGTAGCAATGGATTTTAAATTAGGCTGCTTTCCTGTTTTTTCCACAGTGTATAAAGGTCAAAAAGACCAGAGTTCTTAGCCATTCTTGTGATGTAGCTATACACAGATGGCAATGTTGGTCTACCACCACCACTACTCAAGGATATGTCTACAGATATCCAGGATGCCTAGAGGATGAACCCTAATGAGTTTGGGGACCCCCTGACTTTACCTCTAGCACCATCAGCAGGTCAAAGTTTTCACTTATCCAGTTAAAGGTCCAGTGTGTAACATTTAGGAGGATCTATAGGTAGAAGTGAAATATAACATCCATAGGTATGTTTTCATTAGTGTATAATCAGCTCAAAATAAGAATCCTGTTTTGGTAACCTTGACATGTTCGCCGTCCATGGAGTCTACTATGTTAACCTGCCATCCTACATGCTCGTCCTTTAAATATCTCAATATCTATTTGATCAGTTGGTTCATACATTCATTATTCCCAGCTGATGACTCCTATTGACATTTTTTGGTTTTGAGGGAAATATCTCGACAGCTATGGGAGGGACTGCCAGGAAATTTGGTGCAAACATTCATCTTCTACAAAGAAATCCTAATTTAACTTTGATCGCTTTATATGGTACATTTGTTTATAATCAATTACCTGCTAAACTAATGACATTACCCTCAGCCTCAGCTGCATGTGTGTTTAGTGCAAATTAGGAAATATTAGCATGCTAACACATCAAACTAGGATGGGGGAGCATTGTAAACATTATACCTCCTAAACACCAGCATGTTAGCATTGTCACTGTACAGTCTAACAGAGCTACTAGCATGACTGTAGACTCTTCTTGTTATCACTTTTATAGTCTATTATATAAATGTGTATTTATGCTGGCCAGGTAGGACTGTTCAAAGTCATCATGATAGGACCAGTGATCTGCTCGGTTAGTGTAAATTAAATGATGTAAATGTGTACAACCTGTACAAACAACAATATTTTTGTATTATATGTGTATATCACTGATATTTTGGATACTGCAGGCCTGAATTCTCTCATGGCCTTATTCTCCACGTTTGGCTTTCATACAAAGCTCTGTCTCTGGCACAATCACACTATTCACAGCACACAACACAAAAGAGCTGTAACACTAAAAAAGATACAACCAAATACCTTTCAAACAAATTAACCATCCACAAATACAAGGGTACAGAATTTCTTTTAATGACCGTTCACTGGAGAGGCCATGTGTTTTTTTAATGTTCCTAATGAGTTCCCAGACTGGAGAAGTAGCGTCTCTGGAGACATACGAATTTCCCAGCCAGTCATCTGACTTTAAGATAACAAGAGTACACAGTGTGCTTGCACAACAACCCTAAAGTTTGCTTCTTTTTTTTTTTAGAAACATATTTATTTTTACTAAATAAACAAAGCAGTACATGCAGACATATCCGGTTTCACTGGAACACAGTTACGCAAAGTCAGTCGCAGCAGGTCCCACCAGGAGGTCTTTTTCCAGTGACCAGTGAAGCACTTAGAGGTTAAGTGCTTTCATGGGTAAATTGACAGTAGTGCCTGACAGAGTGAGATGCATTATTTATTTAGTATCCACCTTCACAACTTCACAGCTTCTCTAGGGCAACAGTCTTGATGCTTAATAACAATGTTCTCTCGGTTAAATGTCATCTTTCAGTTTGTCAAAGCAAGGTGCACCCTTTCTGAGGGAACACCGTATTTATTCAAAACACTGTCACTTCCCATACAGCGTGTCAGGCTTTAGCTTGGCTTTAAATCTGACCTCATATATTAAATCTAATGATCGATGCAGATTGTGATAAAGTAATCGCTGTAAAGTGGTGGCTACAAGTTTCTACATCACACTTGTATAAGTTTCATACTGAACCATGACTGACTTCCAAACTACTAGGGTTACAAATCAAGCCCTTAAAATCTGACTTTCAGTGAGCACAGAGTACTTTCAGCAGATGAATGTGAAAACATCCTTCTAGTGTCAAAATCTGCACATACTTCATTCTACACTGTGAAGATCAAACATCCAACTGGAGGAACAAGTAGAAAAACATATTCTTAAGTGTTCCAGCAGCACCTTTTACCTTTTGTGGTAACATTTGTGAATGTGTTTACATTCTTGATTACATTCAACTCACCTCAGAGGACATCCATGTCCCCACTTCTATCTTGATGCATATTTGAAACTTTGTGTGTGTGTGTGTGTGTGTGTGTGTGTGTGTGTGTGTGTGTGTGTGTGTGTGTGTAGTGTGTGTGTGTGTGTGTGTGTGTGTGTGTGTGTGTGTGTGTTGATGAGACTTGTGCCTAATGGTGTAGGATTACATGAAAAATAAAACACTAGCCTCTACTAATGGTCTACATCTAGCAGTGTTGATTCTGTCTCAGGAAGTGCGTCAGCACTGTCAGCAGAACAAGTTAGAGGAAGGAAAAACTGAAGAGTGCAGCAGTAACCTTATTTTACAATGAATCACTGATTGGGTAGGGGGTATTTTCAATTACCCTAAATTTCCTTCTGGATAGTCAAACACTGACAATGCAGTCCTGTTTTTCCCGGATCTGAGCCCCAGGGGAAAACTTATCAACCCCATAACTGGTCACATATGAGAGGAGTTAAACACAAAGTGAACAGCAGCATTGTAGTACAGCACATTGTTATAATAAGCTTTCAGTAGCATCAGTGTTGAAATGCTGCACCTCCACTCCAACATGAAATCACTACATAAAGCAAAGCAGACATTTCTGATGTTTTAAATAAATGTTGTTGCACATTGACTCTAGAAATAAAAGTACAAATAAATATTTTTTTTTCCAACCTACTTGTGGATGATATTAGTAGATGCTGATTGACAAAAAAGTTACACAGTGATGTCCTGTAGCACAAGCACAGAGAAAGTACAGTAACAAAGAACATGTATTCAAGTACTGTCTTTAAGTTTTTGAGGTCTTTCACTTGACTATTTACATCTTGTGCTGCTTTATATTTCTACTCCACTTTTACAGCTGTAGTTAGGCACTTTTCAGATGAGGCTTTGAGACTTTACATTAAAAACTATAAGCTTAAAATACAATGCATTGCAAAATATTAAACTTAAAGCAAAAATCTGTGCTTTCTAACCAGCTTTAGAAAAAGTACTTGTACTTTGCTTTACTTTTGCTGATAATACTTCTGTAAGATTTTATGTGAAGGACTTTTACTTGTAATGGGTTAGTTTTAGATTGCTGTACTGGTACTTTTACTTAAGTAAATGACCTGAGTACTTGTTCCACCAATAGCCATATATCAATAGTGCATCTCATGTCTTTTACACTGCTACCATCTAGTGATCAAAGGGAGAAACACACAGAAATGCATGAAACCTGATGAATGCTGCGCACAGCTCCTGTTTTTCTGTTTACTATTTATTTTTGTGCACTGCACTTGATCATTATGTACATCCTGTAACGGTAAACAGAACTGAAAAGGAGCACATGAACAGAACTTTTACACAATTTAGTAATACTTGAACAGCAGACAGGCAAACACATAACGTACAGTAGTCTGTATCCAAATCTGATCACTTCCATACATACCACGACTTCAAACAACACACATCCATTGACTACAATATAGAGGTTAGCTTTTTAACATAGCCATAAGATTGCAGATAGAGAATTCAGTCAGCGAGGGGAGCTAATGAGGGTTATTTCACAAGTCCTCAGTATAAATAGAGAAGCACACACTACACACCTCCTGTGTCTGGTAAGTCACCAAAGAAAGCAGTAGCCTCTAGATGAGAGTTTAACATTTTCAGCCAGTGTCATGTTCAGGGATGTGATCCATTCTGGGTCCCGAACCGGTTGAAGAAACAGCGCTTTATAGCAGTCATACTCTTTTTCCACTAATCAGTATTCAGTCAACATCCTCAACACACATGAACAAACTGAGAATCCTGGGAAATAATGAAGACCAGCAGAGGGAGAAAACATTATGCTGGTTAACAAGGATTAATGACAACAAAAAATGATCTAATCCTTCATCAAAACAGAGAGAGAGAGAGAGAGAGAGAGAGAGAGAGAGAGAGAGAGAGAGAGCATGAAAACAGTAATGACCTTAAACAGTTCATGAACATGTGAAGGCAAATATGCTCAATTTGCGTGTTAAAATAGATTTTAAACACATTTTTGAACCGATAACAAAGGTCAAACATCAGAATATCTCAATGGGGTTTTACAGGAAAAAGCTCTTTCAGTAACACAAAGCTGGAAGGTGAGGATGTTACAGGATATTAGCGTCTTGTTAAAACCTCAAACCCCTAACAGAAATTGAGAATTGCTTCAGTTTCCGGTTGATAATAAGTTAATAAATATATTTTTGCATATGTTGTATCATTGGCCCATGGACTTCATCTCAGGACTATGAAATACATTTTACACAAGGAGACAATGTCAGAAGTCAATTCCTATCATACTGAGGAACGATCACATCAGTCAGCATATTAATGAAATTATATGGAGAGAATAATGTGCGTACATGTACAGCTCCTAAAAAAAAGGCTGATACTTTGAGCCAAGTGTGTTGTACCTCACTGTTGATATGCAATAGTGTCAATATTACTGCATGATAATTATAAATAAAAGTGTCAGTGGTGTGACAGAAATGTTTCATAAATGTAAACAAATTACATAAAGTGATAAGACATGTTGCAGTCGCTGCAAATGTGTGTTTTGCTAAAAAAGTGGTAACAACAGCAGATATATGTAGAATCTGAGTGAAATTAAATTGAGATATGAAGCATTGAGATACAGTAAAAAAACTCATCAGTCTGACCATCATTTAGTGTTGTAGGGAGTTTGTGTGGTCAATAGAAACATGAGATGTGCAGCACTGCATGAGTGATGCTGCAGACTATAAAAAACTATACACACAAAAATTGTGATATAGTTTTACAAATTATTCCCTGGTTTTACTAGCTGTTGATGAGTTAATGGCCCAAAAAACTCGAACATGTCCTTTACATACATTAGCTCATGACATGTGCAGTTCATTTAAACCAAAATGCAGCAGGTCTGATACACAAAACGACCAAACGATGTTGGACAAACTAATAAATAAATAACAATGGCTTTCCTTCAAAGCTGCACCGAGTAAAGTTGTCAGTTTGTGCTTTCACAGAGCTCCCTTGCAAAAATGCATGTTATTGTATGAGTGAGTATGCATGAGGCCTTGAGGTGCGTATGGAACTGTGCATGTGCTAATCCTAAAATACAGTATACAATCCCCAGTTCCCTTTGAACATGGACACACACAAGGCTTGATTACATCAGACACACCAATGATAAATCATTCTCCTACAACAGCCTTTTGCTAATCAGTCACATGAATATTAAGTCTGGAATTAAAATTGTAGCAGCCTTCTGACCAGTGTTTTTTTGTTTTGTTTTCATTTAGTTTATTTTTTCATTTTCAATCATACTCAGCAGAATCCAGCTAATGGAGATGGAAGCCGACCTGTAATCAGTTACTGTGGAGAGCAGTAATAGCAATAGGCTTTCATTCACTTTTTTTCTAAATTCGGTTTTTAATTTACAGCTGATTTTTGTTTGAGAACAGGTTTGGATTCAGTTCAATTTCACTTCAACCAGTTAAAAACATATAGTAACTGGATGCTGCTGTTCTTTTTTGTCTTTCTAGTAACTTTTAATTGTATGAAAAACTGTTGCTCCGATATGACATAACTGATCATGCATCCAATTGTCAGTACAAAGCAAAACATTTCCCCAATAGAAAGTTTTTTTTGATTGATTGCTGTTTAATGCTTTTTGTGCCTTACAGACAATCTGGCGCTCTGAATACCTTATTTAGACCAGTCAAGTTCAGTTTACTCCCTGATGTGTTTTTCTCTTATCTTGTGTGTCCATCGTCTCTCGCTGTCTTTTGTTCTGACTCCTCTCAATCAAGAGTTTCTCTGTTTTTCTAGACATCCCGGTGACATCTGCTTTGATTGGTGGGTTGGTTCAGAGCTAAGGTCACTCAACAAGGAAGGAAAATGTTGCACCACATACATACAGTAGGTAGGTACATTTGAGCTACAGGGAGTCATTAGTTCAGTTGTTAGTCTGGTCACTGGAGTTCGGGAGTCTTTTGTCATCTTTGCAGATCAACTGGATGTTCTGTGTTCTGTGTGTGTGGTGAGAAGAGAAGTGCGGGTCAAAGCACAGGTATAAAGGCAGATGTTGTAGGGTGCAGCTGTAGTATGTTGACCAGAGGTGGTGACACATTTTTAGGGTTAGATGACAGCAGGGACATCCTCTCCTCGCTCACTTTCTCTCACTATTTATTCAGTAGAGGGGTTTTTGTCCTTGGCTTTCAAATTCTGACCAGGCATCATTTAGTTCCATGAAAATCATCTTGGCATATTGTTCATAGGGCTGTCCTGTTGCCTGTGAGGAAAGATGGAAAAAGACAGTAACAGTTGAACCCATAGGAAGATCACCTTAAAACATGGTGCACTTCTCGCCATATTAAAATGAGTGATGCACAGCAGGTGTTTTACCTCTGGCCAAACACCTGCTTTTACATAACAGATTGGACTGTGGGCAGACATTAGCTAAACAAAGCTGCTCTTAAAATTCAAGAGCTGCAAGATCAAGCCTTACGTCATTAGGTGTCGATTTACTCTGTGACTGGGGTCAAAAAAGGGGAACAAATTGGCGTGCGCACATGCACGTAATCCATTCATTTACACACAGCCTGTGGAAGCATTGGGGAAGAAAAGGGAAGGTGACAAATAAACAGGACTTAAGCAAACAAACACAACACAAAGAGACACAAAACATTCTTAAACAAAAGAAAACTACAAAACGCCTACAATACTCTTCAATTAAAACTTGTTGCGCAATAATAAAGTTGCTGACCCTCAAAATGCTGTTTCCATTGTGTTCATCAATGAAAATAAGACCCTTAAGTTCAGATAAGTTACCATTATTTATTTCTATATTGTGTTCCTTGCTTTTGTCTTTCATTGTGAGGCTAATGATGACTGATGTATGTGTGAATGTGTGTCCATCTGTCCTGATAAGCCCGCTTTTATGTGTCCTTTAAATTCACATTAAATTCACAAAGAGGTGCTCTTGTTCTTGTTGGATTATGCAAATGAATCTGACATACAGCTGCCACTAAGTCTGCCCTGTTTTCATGATTGAAATCCTGCCGTAATGATTGATCAGGATTGGGCCTTGTGATTCACTCACTTGCTCTCCTTATGATAAAAGAGAGGATAAATAGAGCGGTTAGAAGCCTTGTACTTTCTCCTTGCATGCATACTGGTGATGTCTACCTGCCATGATCTCACAACAAATCAGAGCCATAACTTGAGTATACCTGACAGTAAAAAGAAACAGGCTATCCTGAAGACTAAAGCCACAGGTAAGATAATTTTATGGGTTGCAGTTTGACTTGTCTTGCTATTTGTAAGGACAATGAGGAACTTGCTGTGCTGCTTTGAGTCATTCTCTGTTTACTGTATTCATCCCACAGGTACAAACTACCTTCCGGACTCCAGATGGCGCTGATGTTCAGCTAGAGGCTGGTGACTCTGCAAGCATATCTGCAAAACTACTAACTAAAAGTCTAACTGTGAAGATCCAGAGCCAGATTTTGTTTTTCGCAAAAATGCCCCTGATCCTACATCTCCTAACACTGATCTTGGTGGAGTCCACCATGGGAGCTCCACGGACCATGAAAGCACCAGACGTAAGAGTAAATGATATTAATATTTTTCTGACTATGGCATGGCAGGTAGCCAGCCACATAAGGACCAATTCCAGCTGTTATGTCTGTGGCCTAATGCCGTACACAGCTGGGGGAGGTTTACCTCTAATGGCCTTACCTGCCTCTGACTGTGACACCTGCCACCTGATGCATATCCCCTTGTCTCAGTCTTATTCTCACCCTGATTGTTCCAGAATCACCAAAATGAGACCACTTAACTGTTCTAGAGGACATGCAAACTGCTACAGATGTCTCAAAACACCAAAACCTGTCCCCATTATGCTGCTTCCTAAGCCGTTCCCTTGGTGCCTCCAGAATGACGGCAAGACACCTGTAGGAAAATCTAACTGCCTTCGTACATTCAAATGGGACCCGGAACAAACCAGTATTGACTTTAAATCTCTGGATTCTGCACCTGATCACTGTTTGGAAGCAGCCGGCCAGGTTCGCCTCAATGCTCTAGCTCACCGCACTGCTAGCTGCTCCATCTCCGCTCCTGTGGGAATGTACTGGGTATGCGGAAAGCTTGCATATCCGTATCTTCCTGTGGATTACAAAGGACGCTGTGGCTTGGCATACGTCATCCCAGCTATGAGAGTGGCTCACTCCTTGCCCAAAAAACCTCCTGTTAAACGAGTACCACGTGGAATTTCAGATGTCTTTGGGACTCATCATCAATCATCTTTCAAGAATGTACTTGGTCCCCTTGTTCCTTTTTACGGGATTATGTCTGCATTAGATCAAATTGCCGATCTGTCTCAAGCAATAGAAGTTATAGCTAATGAAACTGGTAAGGCTCTCATGCTGATATCGAGTGAACTCGCCTCTGTTAGACTTCTAGCTTTACAAAACAGAGCAGCTTTGGATTTTCTTTTAGCAGCCCAAGGAGGAACTTGTGCTGTAATTGGTTCTGAGTGTTGTACCTTTGTGCCTGATTATAATGCTACGATTGGCGATATAGTAAATCACCTTCATGAAACTGCTAACTCTGTTCACCAGGATAGTAGTTCTTCATTTGATTGGTTGGAAAATACTTTAGGATCACTGAGTCATCCCATTCTTGAAGTGGTGATTATTTTGGTTGCTTTCTTTGTAATACTGTCTTTGTTCACATTGTGTTTGAAAAAGTTCCTGTTCAACTGTTAATTTTGCTAATATTATTGATCCTTTGATGTTTTATGTCTCTTAGATTACAGTCAAATACAGAAGCACTGCAAGTAACTGCAGCAGAAACTGTTTCTAGGGGACACTAAAAAGTGATGAGCCGGCCTGGACGCAGCTGGGTCATACTAATTTTTCTTTTAGCTCAATTTCCTTACAGACAGCCTTCAATAACTTCATGAGTCACAAACCATGGCAACAACAAGCATGTCCCAGCTGTGTTCATCATGTTTTAGAGTCCCATTGAAACAGTTTCTGTTGATCTCCGTGCTATTTACAGTGTTTCTATATCTGGTTGTACTTTCTCTATATGCGTTTTTTAGTAAATCCTGTGTTTTGTCTATTTGCATGTGTCTTCTTAAGTTCTTAAGGGCCACTATAGTAATGTCACCACATAGGATAACAAATTGTACACTTCAGGAAGCAGGAAAAATTGGACAGAAATTGTAATTATTTGAGGCACCATGATAGCTGAATGGTTACAGCGTATGCCACATGGGCACAACAATCGCAGGTTTGATTCCAGATATTGTTTTTGCATGTTATAGCCCTCTCTCTTCACTTGTCACTGTCCAATAAAGGAAAAACATTTAAATTATTCTTATTGTTTTTTTACATGTATAACAGTGGTGTCTGTTCAAATCCCAACAATAAGAAAATGAAGCCCATATAAAAAAAAAACATGAGGGTTAATAAAAGAGATTTTGTTTGATGTGAGGACAGAGAAGCCTTGTTTTCTCCCCCCGCATGAACTCCACCAGTCATTATCTGTCTCACCTTATCTGGGTGGACGACCAGGACAGCTTTGCGGTAGACCTTCTTGACCTGTTCAGGAGTAACCAGGTCAGCCATGCCCACAGGCTTCCAGCGCGTCTCTCCCTCCCACAGCACAGTATGCATGGTGGACAGCAGAGCACGGATGTTACGCTCCTTCCCCTCAATCCAGTCCAGAATCTGGGTCACAAACAGGAGAGGGAGAGAAGTCGCACCATTAGCCGGTTATGACCAGATTTGGAACAATAATTAGCAGAAATGCTTTCAGTTATTTTGGCTCTGGTCAAACGTTTTTAAAGGAGTAATTAGAGGAACCATAGTTTGGTCATGGGAGACCTACACTGGTGGCTTCATTAATTCTGAAATAAACAGAAAGGCTTTCACAGCCAAAGGTTTTTCAGTACACCATCCTACTTTTGGGAATCACTGAATTGCTTCTATTGTGCTAGACTGAATAAACAGACGACAAAAACCCAATGAACTGATGTCAAACCATAATTCTGCTCAGATGTAGTGATGCAAGGGTCATGGGACTTCATGGTGTTTCTCACAAAAGAACAAAAAACTACTCCTTATTTTCATTAGTACACAGATATTACTCAGTATCACATCAGAAAAAAAGACCTTTATTTTCTCAGGGTCCATCTCTTTGGCCATCTCCTCCTTCCTCATTTCTGCTATAGTCCTGGGCCCTTTCTTCTCTTTGGTCCCTGCAAAGCCCTGACCAGACAGCAGGTCATCAAAGTTAGCATCCAAGACCCTGGGCTTAGTACCTGGCAAAGAGGGATACAAACACAAAGAGAGAAAACATATATCTTTAAGCTACTCCGCAACTGATCATCCTTGCACTATTAGTTGTGATATAGTTTTACAAATTATTCCCTGGTTTTACTAGCTGTTGATGAGTTAATGGCCCAAAAAACTCAAACATGTCCTTTACATACATTAGCTCATGACATGTGCAGTTCATTTAAACCAAAATGCAGCAGGTCTGATACACAAAACGACCAAACGATGTTGGACAAACTAATAAATAAATAACAATGGCTTTCCTTCAATGCTGCACCGAGTAAAGTTGTCAGTTTGTGCTTTCACAGAGCTCCCTTGCAAAAATGCATGTTATTGTATGAGTGAGTATGCATGAGGCCTTGAGGTGCTTCACGTATGGAACTGTGCATGTGCTAATCCTAAAATACAGTATACAATCCCCAGTTCCCTTTGAACATGGACACACACAAGGCTTCATTACATCAGACACACCAATGACAAATCATTCTCCTACAACAGCCTTTTGCTAATCAGTCACATGAATATTAAGTCTGGAATTAAAATTGTAGCAGCCTTCTGACCAGTGTTTTTTTGTTTTGTTTTCATTTAGTTTATTTTTTCATTTTCAATCATACTCAGCAGAATCCAGCTAATGGAGATGGAAGCCGACCTGTAATCAGTAACGTACTGTGAACAACTGTCTTAGTGACAGATCCCTTCCCACTGAAGAATGAATGTGCCTACAGCAACCAAAGGTTAATGTATGAAAATCTGTCACTAAGTATTAAAACTAAATCTCTCTACTCTCTCTCCTAAATATCTCTCTATATAAATCAGATGTAATGTATGCTCTGGGTTAAAATAACTAAACAATTGGATGAAAGAGATCTAGGATAAAAACAACAAAACTGATACTGAACAGATTGTCTGCATATGTATATGCAAGTGTCAATGCATGTATATATTTTACAGGACTATTTCAGTCAGACAACTCATGTTTGAAATGTTTATTACAACATTATAGCATATTTAGATTTTGGCGTCTAGGCTCCGACCTCATCATTCCCCACAGATATGTTTAGATAGAGATATTGGGGAGTGATAAGCAAATACCTTAATCCCCTAGCCGGAGCCTACAGGTGGATACTGGGGTGGTGGTGGGGCTGACATAGCAGCAGCAGCAATATGGATGCAGGGCAACAGCGGCATTGACAGAGCAGAGGGAGAGCTGGGAAATTGTGCAGTTTAAATAGATCGCCAGATTGGAAGGGTGCGCTTGGTTAGTGATTATGGAGTGAGGCATGTCATGTAGGCTTTGTTCCATTTCTGTCATTTTATTAATACAGTGGCAACAAAAGCACTCAGAAAGCACACACAGTACCTCTAAACCAAACCCATAAATGCTCATTAATCTATTTTAATGAAATGTTCAGGATTCTTTTTCCCTGCATCTTGATCAAAATAAATATACTTGTGGAAGTGATGATTTATGAAGAATACCTAAATCCTTAAATTTAAATTCACAACCTGACAACAATATTTGCGTCATACCAGAAAACATCAAATCTAATTCCACATGCTCACCCATGCCAGCCTGTGCTTTGTTTCCTGCGCTGGGCGAGCCCCCTCCCATTGCAGAGAAGCTGACATTGTAGTTGGGTCGGTTCTGGGGCGATGTGTGAGGCATGGGGGTGTGGCTGGGGCTGGGCTTTGGCTGCGGGGCAGGGCCCTGTCCTTGGGGCTGCCACCCTCCAGCGCTTCCAGCACCTGGCTGCCACGAGGGGAAGCCAGCTCCTGCGTGCTGGGGAGATGGAGGAGGTCGCGACGGGGAGCCCATGGGAGGGATGGAAGGAGCGGTACCAGTTGGAGTGGTGGGTTTGCTGGAGAAGCCAGAACCTGGACAGGACAGATATTATGATTTAAGACCTGGTGGTGAATGTAACAAAGACTGAGTTAATGTACTTTAAGCTAAGGTACGTAATGTATTTCAGAAGTATTTTTTGTTATATTTGTTGAAATTCTCTTCACATCCCGACAGGAATCAATCAATCAAATACTCAAAAAAAAAAAAAATAAAATGATTGGCTGGCCAATTTCCCTGTCTCCCTACCTATCTGCTTGCTTACAGAAGTAGAAAGTTTGGATAAAGCAACAGGTTAAACCAGAGTCAACAGGAGTGGCTTTTCAACAATAATGAGAACTGACAGGTAATTACCTATTTTGTTTTGTTTTGTTGGGAATTTGTTATTTTCCTAAACTATGTAGAACTATGAATGAGAATGAGGTTGTTGGATACGGCTGGTGATGACTATGTGCTATGCTTCTCTCAGGCACTGCATGTTCATATCCCACCCCCTCCCTGAAGAGTTTCTGTTGGATACTTTTGAAATCGAATTGAATCTACAACGTTACCTGCCCTGTTTAATGCTAATGTTTCCAATGACTGACCTCCAAGGCTCCCCCCGAGGTTGCCTATGTCAGCGAATGGATCCAGTGTGTTTGGCTTGGTTTGGTGGGTAGGAGTGCTGTGGACCGACCCTGTGGGGCTTGTAGTGGCTGACCGACTGCCCATACTAAAGCCTGCTACAGGGTAAATAAACAAACAACAATGCAGGAGAAAACAGTTGTATTTTAGTTCTTTTTATCTCATTCAGTTCCACCAACTTCCACTGATGTGAATAAACACAAAAAGGTTTGGTCAGCTTCCCTGATCAAAGAATTAGATGAACATTCAGTGCTGTTCCAGTTATTTAAGTGTGTGTTTGGTTGAGTTACTGGTTTCTACCTGTGCTTGCGGTGGCCGGTCTGTTCCAGTCCCATCCTCCCATGGCGTTTTGCTGCTGAATGTTGACGGTTGGGGTGGTGGGTGGGACAGGGGAACTCCGGCCTATTGAAGCACATAAACGTTTGTCACAGATTGAGGACACAGTGAATGGGAACTGAGCAACAGGAACCCACACAGCCAGAGAAAATAATAGCAGGGTTGAGTCTCAGAAGAGGTGTTATTATGGGGGCGGTTGGATAATGTGGATATTTCTGTGATGAAAGTGCACCCAAAAAGTGTCATGCCATACTTCTCAGGCAATGTACATGTTATTTGTAATAGCTGAAAATAGAGGTCTATGTTTTCATACGCATTACTGTGGGCTCAGGTTGGGTCCACGCTGGCAATATACATTAAATAAAAACAAAATAATCAGTATGCCTTTTACTCATTGTGTCATTTTTTTGGTTTTGTTTTTTGTGTCATAAAATGTTACACTGATTAAAAAGCTTATTAATAATGTTGTTGTTGTTGTTGCTGTGCGTCATCGTACACACTGTAAAGGTGTCAGGTCTTAAGAAATGTCTCCCTCTAAAGTAGCAGAACTGCCCTGCCATGTTTGAAGTTAAATTATTGGCTTTGGGAACAGTTCAGGGTGAAAATGTTGTTGGTTGATGGGGAATGATTCGTGCTGTGGGTGAAATATCAAGCCTGTGCAACCTCTGTGCAATACTAATCTGACAGGCTGCAAATACTTATCATACATCATGCAAACCCCTTCACTGCCCAACATACAGCAGCAATATAAAAAAAGGCAATCTCTTGCAAAGCCAGTGTGTGATAAAGCAGTAAGTAGAGTAGTGCTCAGAAAAAGGAGAAAGATATAAATTATATGGTGCAGTCTAATTAATCAAATAAATAAATAAAACATGTTTTAATGTGCAGAGACAATCGCAATGCTTTTATGTGTTAAGATGTGGCAGCAGACTTGCAGATACTGTATAACATGCTTACCCTGATGTGGACTTTAAAAGGTTTTATTTGATCCAAAATGCTGTGAGAGTGCAGCAGTAGAAGCATGCCTTACCCAAGCTTGTAGGCTGCAGGGTGGGTGATGGAGAGCGAGCAGCATGCAAGAATGGGTCTGGCTGCCCCACATTACCTGGTCCAAGAAAAGAACCCATCATGTCCTGAGGCTTGGGCATGGGACCCGTCCCGAAGGGATCAAACGCTAAGGGGAAACAAACATACCCAGCATTGTTATTGCCTTGGCTTTTGCATTACAGAATGTTAAGTGCCACTGGGTTTTTTTGTATATTATTTTTTAAAATAAACCTGACTGGTTTTCCATGTGCAAACTACTTTAATTACATACATACAATAAGAATATTCTGTTTGAGGTTGTGCGTCAAATGTAGTTTCAAATTTGGTATCTCACCTGGTGGCGCAGGAGAGGGGCATGGCGAGGCAGTGTTTGGGACTACTTTATGTGGTGTGGAATGGGCAGATGATGCCCCACTGGTTGGCTGGGGTGGCCCCCCGAACAAGTCCCCCAGGAGGTCAGTGGTTGCGGCTGCAGTAGACGGGGGCTGAGATGAAGGACACGGCCGGTGGATACCCTCCCCATCGAGGCCAAGAAGATCCACTTCCTCAGTGGGTGCAGCGGCAGCAGGCATTGGAGCAGGGGGGTCGGGTCTCTGGGGGGCAATGCTGGCGTTGCTTCGCTGGCTGGAGAGAGACAGCATCTCATCATCCGATGGCTCGCTCTCCTCGCCGTGGCCCCGACCTTCCGGACCTCCTTGGGGCCGGCTTGGCTCTGCAAGAGGATGAAACAGAAATAGAAGGAAAGAGGTAGAGAAAGAAAGAGACAGAGGAAAAATTTAGTGAATTACCAAATGAAACAAAGGCATGCAAAGTGGAGAAAGCAGAGAGTGGAAGAAATAACAAAGCAGGAAATTAATTGGGGCAAAGCAGACAGAAATACAGAGAAGGTTGAGAGAAAAAAGGACAAGAGCGAGGTAGGGGATAATGAGCATCTACGTAGGTCATCTCTGCAACAAGCACCAGCTATTCTCCTGATACTGTGCACTGCGTGCTATAATTTACTATGCTGCACACTTTGCTACTGGTGGCTGCTTTTAGCTAGAGTAACTGGAGGAGATCATTTCTAAGACAATATGATAAATAAATTGGACAGAATCCAGTCAATAAAATATACCGTATGCTTTTAATAGGGATGGGACTGTAAACTTCAGGTAGTATTAATCTACAGCAATATTTCACTTTGGTAGAACATTTTAAATTTGTACCACTTACAGCTGCTTCCTTTCGCAATCAATATGTGTTGTAAATATTCACAAATATTTCTCTGCATACAGGGAAAAACACATCAGTCTGCTGTTGGAGGATGTCAGGGGACGTGTGTTAAGGGAATTACTAACACTAGTAATTTATTCAGGTCTCCAGATAATTGGAATTTATGACAGTGACCGATTTAAATCATCCACCAAACTGATATATCACTGCACAACAAGGTTGGGGTTCATTTCAATTCAATCAGTACAGATTGTGAATGGAAACAGCCAAGAGATTTTCCAATAACAGAAGATGTATTCGTCAATTGGGTCAATGTATGATTGAACTGAACCAAACCCTGGTTAACTACTGTCACTGTACTGAACAGTTCCTCTAACAGGTCTGTGGTTTCTACTGTCTTACCCTCCAAATCCAATCCCTCCATCTCATCTTGTAGGGACAAAAATGAGAGTTAGTTTATTAGTTTGTTCACGTGTGTGCATGTAAATGTGTATGAATGTATTTTTGCATACACAGCACTATCCTACGTATCAGTTGTGCACCGTGATGGAAAGTAACTCTGTACATTTACTCAAATACTGTACTTAGGTACACATTTGTGGTACTTACTTGAGTCTATCCACTTCATGCTACTTTATACTATAATATTGTACGTTTTACTCCACTACATTTTATTTTACAGCTATAGTTACAAGCTACTTTAGCTTACTTTACTTACTTTAAGAGATTTTACACACAAATTATATGACCAGTTTAAAATATGATGCATTATTACAAATTAAACTACCCAACAGTATATGAAGTAGTTCAAATTCATCATCCAACCAAGTTATTAATTAAAATTCATTAAAGGTACATAATTCATCAATAATGATCCCATAATAAAACTTAACACTGACAAGGGCCATTCTACATAATGTGTACTTTTACTTCGATACTTTAAGTACATTTTGTCTTACTTTTAATGATGTGTTTTTATGGTGTGGTATTTCTACTTTTACTTAAGTAGGTGATTTGAATACTTCCACCACTGACCATTTTACACATATGTGCATAAAAATTTGGGTATGAGAGTGTACATGCATAATAATTTTGTGGCCGTGTTTGTTTGTGTATTTATTCACTTCTTTCTATCTTTGTGAGAAAAAGTCTGAGTTTTAGACTTTGAGAATGAAGACATTCTTTACAAGTCACAATTAACTGAATGTAAAATTAGTTCAAGATTAGGATTAAGGTCTAAAATTACTTTAGGTTTATGATTCATTCTAAAATGGGTCAAATCGTTGCTTTTTGTAGAATTTGAACAGCTAACAATCAACAAATAACAATCAGCCATTCTGAATGTATGTTACACTGGTTGGGAAGCTCTCTATCCAGAGAAAGTAAATATGAAAAATGTCCTAATGTTGTGTAAAACAAGATGCATTTCAACATTACACATTGAAAATGTTTTAAAAATCATTGACTGTCAATCAAAGGCTTGATACAGGGCTTTTCTATGCATATTGAACTGCTGCTATGACTGTAGTTGGTGGTAAAATGTGGTAATCTTTGTCATCTTAATAAATATCTACCAACAGTAACAGTTAGCATGAGGCTTTGACAATGCTTCTGAGTCAGAGTCATGAGAGATGTTGCCTTTTAGTATTAATATAATCATAATCACAATATAAACTATTTTAATTTTGTTTAAATGATAAGCATTTAGTAGCCAGTATGGTAGTGGAAACTTATTTAGCTATGGACAGAAAACAATGGTATCATTGAGCTTTTCAAAAAAGGCTCATGAAACTACGATCCACACAAAAGCTAATGGATAACTTTATGTTATGGATTAAACATCTGTGTGCGGTCCACGTTAGCAGAGGCAGTTTGTATTTGTCCCCAGTGTACCCATCCCCACAGTACCAGCAATAGCCAGTGCGTCCTGGTGTTCCTGGTGGCAGGAGAAGAGCACGTTGGGGCAGAGGTCTTTACAGGGAAACTGCTCCCACGGCGGCGTCAGGTCTTTTTGCTTGTCCACCTCCTCCACCTCCACATCCAGTATCACATGGAAAAGCTGGGGATACTTCTCAGGAGAGTCACATGCATCCAGCTCTGGTCTGAGAGGAAATTATGTGTATGACAGAAAAAAATGCATATGGAGTGAGAGGAAAAAGCAGCATATGTATCTATCTGAAAAGGTCTGTCATACAAACACAAGTGATTAATTAGAAGAATTGACCTTACTTGTTAAACTTTAACATGGTGGTACCAGGAGCAATGAAGCCAGTGTGGAACTGGATCTGGAAGATCTGGGTGTTGGACACCTAACAACAGCAAAACAAAAGTATCATATCACTTATACAACACAAGTCTGTTTTCATAGTTTTTGTCATTTCTATGACCACATTTTACTTATGAGCTGAATTACTGGAATATAAGTTTGAGATCTGAGAAGTCTGTTTAATAGAGTTAGTAGAGTCTGAGGGGGATCAGAGGGGAAATGCAGTCAGTCAGACTTAGTCAGTAGAAATAAAATAGAAGCTGAACTGGCAAGTTATTGTCTAAACTGTCTGTTGTAAAGGTCGGATGGATTTTGCTAGCTTGTTCCTGGTAAGCTTGGACCTACTGTAAAAGCTGTATTTGCATGTTCATACACTTTTACAATGCATTTAAAAGCTGTAAAGACAATGTTGGGGAGCGACTCTTTCAACAGATATATCAGCAAATGTTTGTTTGGAAGCAAAATGACACAATAATCAAAAGAACTGAGGGCTATAACTAGAAAAGAAAAAAGATTAATAAAATGTCTACTGTTTCTCACAGTGCTACTGTTGAAAAAAAGCCACACATTTCGATAAACTCAGCATGTCAGGAAATTAAAAACCTGTCTCCAACATGTCACTTCTTGCTACTTCTTTCCTCCTGACATTTTGTGGGTTTGTGTTTGGATTCAAGACAAATATTCAAATAAGTCGCAGACACATGCTGAGACTGATGGCTGACAGTTCAGTATATGAACTCATGCCAACAAGATTTTTCCAAAATGGTCGTGGTGCAACATGTCATTTCTGTCAAGTTTGATTAAGATGTTGACTCTATCAGCACACAGTAGAGCGCATAAAGTTTACCTTGGCTTGCAGACGTCCTCCAATGGTTGACCTCATGTGGTAGATTGAAACGACGACGTCTCCTTGCACACTCACACCCAGAGGGAAAACTACCTTACCCTCTTGGACTCTGTGCTCTCTGCAGAATGTGTAGGGGCAAGAAATATGGATGTTATTGTAACAACATAGCATAATCAGTTAATTTAGCAACACCAAGAATGATAACTATAATTGTATAGTTCCACACCACAACTATAACAACGACAGTGGCAAATAATATTGTGTCTGATATTGTATTTGATGAACAATATCAAATGCTTATAGAATGTGACATTCGGCTGCAAATCACACATAAAAAAAGGTCTTAAGCGCTGATAGGGTCTGTGAAGTTCTTAACAATGTCCTCTTTTCTTTTTTTTTTACCAAAGTATGAATAAAGTTATTCTCCAAACAACTCTCGTAACATAATTCTCCAAACTCCTCTCGTCTTTGTGAACCCATCCTTCTGGTGATCAATAACGTTATCAATTTTCCTATTAATCTACCGACATAGCTGGGGGTTGTCGCATTCATCAGTGTGGCTGCTAACATCCTTACAGTAGTTGTTATAGTTATTGTTCTCGGTGTGGATGGCCTTTTAATTTCACTATGTCCTCATCCTACCTCATCTTCTCGTACTCCTGTGCAGTGGTGAAGATCTTGGTCTCTCCGAGGAGGACGTCGCAGAAGGGCCGACAGCCACTACGCTGCTTGTTGAAGCATGGGACCGGAGTCATGGTGAGGGCTTTGATCACCATGGGCTTGGAGTGGGGTAGACTGGGCTTCTCTGATACCATGCTACACACATAGCCTATGTACCTGCACGGAGAGAAGACCAGATCATTTTCTTATCCAGCTTAATTTTTCAGTGTCCAATGCATCCCTCACTTTGTTTTCACATGTAAGTTGTTTTTTATGGTGACAGTCATTCACAAATTGACAGTTATACATTCAGAAGCTGTATCAGGCCAGCAAAGTGGAGGCACAGCACAGTTAGAGGGAGGTGAAACACACTGAAAAGTGCAGGCAAATCGATTTAAGGGCTTTGAACAATGTCCAGAATTATGTTACTGCCACCATTTCCATAAACGCTGAGGGAGATCTCGCTCGGGCATAGACTGATAAATACTATAGCAACTGGCTGGCAAGGTAATAAAATGTCCATCTTTGAGGGTCTGCCAGCTCTGCAGCCTAAGATTCATGCTTAGGCTGAGGAAACTGAGGACTGTTTTCTGCACTATTTGGCTACTTCATGTTTTCTCTCTAACATCAAATGGCCTGAAATTATGCTCTTATGCTAGAATCTAAAAACAAATGTTGCCCTCCAAAGTGGCAGATAGGAGAATAAAGGGCTGATGGTGGAACCTGCTGATGACGTGAATGTCTTTATGTATGTATTCAGATTCAGTGTTTTTCAGCTGGAAATGTCTGAAATGAAAATCAATCTTTGCACACATGCATACAGACGTATACACAAAGTGTTTAGAAGAGTTAAAAAAAAACAAATAAGCTGTCAGCCTATTGTCAATTCACTATTAGCACCCTTGTCCATTTATTAGATAGCTACGTTTCAGTGCAACAACCTTCATCAGTCATTTCAACAGCTGAGATATATCTGCATACAATAAGTCATCACTTCACCTTCATTTTGTTCTTATGTTAATTCTGACACTTCACTAGATGGTAAACTATGGGTCTTGACAGCAGAGAAAACACAGGAAAGAAGATGTGTTACAGAGAGGTCTGAAGCCAGATTGAAGTCGTGTGAAACTACTGTAGATGCCAGTTTCCTGTCCTTTCTTTCTCTCTCACTTCCCCTCTTCTCTTTCTCAATCTCTCATTTCTTACACCCACATGCACACACATGTTCAGGGATGCAAACCTGCGGTGTGACGGCCAGAGGCCAGAACCTGGTCTCTTGGCGCTGAGCAGCTGCATGGCAGGAACCGGGTTGTTGAAGAGGTGGCAGAAGCAGAACATGGCACAAACCAAAACACCCGAGGGACCACGACCATCCTAAAACACACACAACGAAAGAGACACTGAGACACATTGAGAAATGCTTAACAATTATTATATCATAAAGCTTCACCAATGTACTTTTGATCTTGTCAACCTCAACCGCTTCCATTTATGTCCATATAAGTGTTAACACAGTGACTCAAACTTTCTGAATGCCTGCTGTCGATCTACAATGTAACTCCAAGTCAAAGGTCAACTGTTAAAATAGTCAAAAGTCATAGCTCAAATAAGTGCATACAATATATAAGTTTGAAGTCCCCCTCCACTTAAACATATGTTTTTGTTCTTGTTCCAGTTGGACTTTGTTTGACACTTGAAGGATGTTTTCACATTCATCTGTTGAAAGTGGGTAGTTTTCCTCACTGAAAATCTGATTTTAGGAACGGGGCATATATGCATGAATTGTAATTTGTCAAGCCTGGTCCAATTTTCAATTTATACAAATTTTATGTAGAAACTTGAAGCCACCAGTACACAAACACTGAAAATGGACTTTTCAGTGAAGTAGGGTCATCTTGTATACAGCAGGAAAACCTTATAAATTAACTAAATTTGCATATTCATAGATTCTCATCACATATCAGACCCACATTATTGTTCAGAGCAGAATATTTGCATATATGTCTTAATACATGTCTGGGGGGGATCTTTAAGGCTATGTCTAATGCTTCAGTCATGTGCCAAAATAGGTCAACGCTAAATGTAATGGTCGCAGAGATTCTTATTCACTGAATGTGCTCACTGTTATAAATTTACTCTGAGTTCATTTTAGGTTACAGGGAGACAAAACATTCTTGTGATCTGAAGCAAAGAAAACAGTTTTTAGAACGGAACCGTTTGCTGGAGGTTATGCAAGACGGAGCAATTTGCCAAGCCACAGCAAAACCACAGTTACTTGGCAATAACATGCTTTAGCACATGCCAGTGTACAGTATTGCTGTTGCTAAATTAGAACAGAAGACAGAAAAGCCTGTTTCAGTGAATATTTCAGTAGTGATTGTGCTGCAGAATATAGGTATTTCAAAGTATTATAGCTGTGCTTGAAATATGTCTGGCATTATCAAAGCTTTAATGTGTCATTGCAGGGGTACTAAAAGTACAACTGGTTGTTGAGGGCGTTTTCCAAACTGATCTTACTGTATTTTCTAAACATGGCAAACCAACATTGCCACATCCAGCATTGGTAACAGTGAAAGAAAAGGACGAGCAGAGAAATAGGACAGAGGCTAAAAGCGGGGTTTGGTATTCTATCCTTCATTTGATGGATGGTGGAAAGATCACCTTGCAAATGTTGTTTTTACTTTTTAAAACAAAAGATTGTTGATGGTTTTGTTGATGATGATCATTAAAGATATCATTTTTGTCACAGTACAATCACCACGTTTCATGCTGTTATATCCTGTTTCCAGTTTAAATAAAGATTTTTTTGGATCAGGACTTCCTCAAAGTTTCTTAAAATGCAATAAAATGCATATAAAATTAATCATTGTGCAGTGAAATACGTTAGAGGTGACAACGAGGGACTTTGAGTATCTTTAAGTAGTCCTCTGGCAGCATATTTGGAGCGTTGTGCATAGACTCAAAAGTGGGTCACAGCCACAGGACAATTAAAACATAACTCCAAATACTTGTGTATTTGGATCAAAAGTGCCTTTTATACCTTCACTTCATAATAAACTGAGGGAAACATTACAATGTCATGTCCCCAATCAATGAAAAATAAATGGAAGTTAGGGATGAATATAATGATGGTAAATGTGAGCGTCTTCTTACCGAGCAGGTGATGACACACACATTCTTGGGATTCTGTTTGAGCCAGTTGTGCATGTTCTTACACACAGCGAACAAGTTGTGAAGGCTGGGAGCCTGGCGAGAAGGCCAATTGCACTCTGAAACCTGGAAAGGAGTTGGCACAAGAAATAAGAAAAGGGAGGAAGAATGAGAAAAACAGAAACAGACATAAAACAATGGCAGAGAAGAGGTAGATTGCAAATGAAAAAAGAGCAGAGAGGCAGAGAGACAGTGGAGAGAAGAGGGATGAAGACAGTTTAAGAATGCGAGGAAGATTAATAAAAATAAAACAAGGACATAAAATCAGGAGGGGAGGAGAAGGGAGAGGTGGAGGTTAGCAACAGCACTGCAGCAGCAGAGAAACACAACACACCAGCTGCCACGATGAGTCATCTGTTAGATTTACAGCGACTTCCACAAGCAGACAGGGGGCAATCTTGGCCATGTTAACTCCACAGCTTGACTTCTCAGCTTTCTTGGATGTTTCTGCCGGAGGGTGGCAGCCTTTTTTTATATATATATATATATAGGGATCCCAAGTGTGCCTTCACTTGAATCCAAATCCAAATTCATTCTGGTTTTTGAATGGTTATTCAGCTGGGATAATTGGATTAGTGACCCATCAATTATATTTTATATTTAGAGACTTCCCTGGTGAAGTGATTATCGCTGTGGTGAAGTGTGTAAAAAACGTGCTGCATGTTGAATCACTGCTGTGTTACATTTGTTGAAGATTAAAAAATGTTGCTCCCTGATGTTGCTATATCACTCAAGGACATCCCCAAATCCCCAAATGGCATCCACAAAAACAGTTAACTGGAGGAAGATTTTGGGGATGCTGTGGGGCTCTAATAAAATCACTATATGGTATTATCTGAATAAACTTAAAGTAAACTTCCTGAGTTGTATAGTCAGTCAGAGTCAGACATAGTTGTTGTTGTCTTTGTCTCAATTAAACCTCTTTTAGATATTAATATAAAATGACTCTGTAATATGATAATATGGTCCCACTGAGATACAACACCTAACTCTGCAGCTCTTTGAAGCTAAAGAAAGCAAGTTGTTGGTGCAGACAGTTAGACAGACATTAGTCATTAGTCTGCTGTCTGGTGTTGGACAAGTTGCAAACAGCGGGTTTATCACAGCTTTATCAGAGCAGTCGAAGACAGCCCCTGATCCCACTTGAAGCGTCAGTGATGAAAGCAGTGAGGGTGAAAAAAACACTAAAGTTTCAGGCTGTTGCCAAAACAATATGACAGATGTTTAAATGCTTTGTAAAGTTGTGGGCCATTGGGTGATAATTCTCTGTGGGTTTGTCCCTACAACAACTTGCTCCCCAGTGGACAAAAAAGTGACTTATTGTAGCTTTAATAACAGAGGAGTGGCGAGCAATGAAAGGTCCATTTGGGGAAATCTAATTAGAGGCTTAACTCTGGATGCTTCCATAGTTTATGAGCACATGTAGCAACGGTCCCCACTTAAAACGTTGACAGACCAAAAATAGGCAGCAAACTGTAAGTAAGTCCTCATATCTCACTCTAGTGTTGTAATAATCCAGGGAGTGAAAACCACTAACAACTATGTACAAATTAATAATTCTGTAAGGGCGTCATCTGGGCAGTATCACACTTACCCTGTTGGAGAATTTGGCGCCGCGGTAGTTGCGCTGTGATAGATTAAAGACAGTGTAGTGGTCGGCATGGCGACTGTCGAGGAAGGAGCGAATGTCCTCTACATGGTTCTGGTAGCCAATTTGGACTGACTCCGCCGGGTAGGTCATCACTGTGAAAAAAAAAATCCATTATTCAGCTGCTGGATGAGATGTTTTGAAGAATTTCATGCACTGTTGGTGCAGACCTTAACATACACTTTGTATAATTGGCTCACACTCTGACAATGTCCTTTACCGCTCACCCTTTTCTACTATTATCCTGCAATAAGTGATTTTGAAATTTGAAATATGGAGAGTAAGTCCACATTCAAGCATGACTATCAGCGTTTGCATGCAAGGCATTATGGGATAGACGCCCTCAGGTGACAAATGTCCAGCTGACTATGTTCTCTAAAGGACACACAGTGCTGCTCTACATTCATGTGAAGCTGTAAGCAATTTGAGAATGAAAGGAGAAGACAAAGGGAAATCTGAGAGTGCAGGTGTCTATTTATGTGTATGTTAATGTGTACTATACATTATGCAGATATAACACACTTCAACCTTCTTATCTGTTACGTAGTTTTTTATATTTCAAGTATTTTCAAGTAGGATCCTACATGAACACACTATTTTCAGTTATGTATTTTCATGCACAAATCAGGACTCAGCAACATTTGAATTTTGATTTAATGATAGATGTCGGGTTGCTGCTAACAAAATAAAACCCACACAGTCTTAAATAAAACTGATTAGCTGAGTTTTTAAGTGTTAGATGCTTAATAATCTAAATAATAACACATTTTTTACTTTTGTTTGTTCAGTCATGAGCAAGTTTTTAATGTTATAGAGAATCATTTCAGATTTGAACTCAAAAAAAGACGTGTTTACCTATGATCCTTGATGTGATGTAGGCAATGTCCAGCTCCCCTTTAGTGTACCTGTAATGAAGAAAGAAACCTTTAAAGATTATATCAAATATTTTTTCCATGACATTTTCATGGCACAGCGAAAAGAGAGTAATGAGAAGTGAAAAACATTACAAGCAAAAGCTCTGCCAACCTTCAGCAATATTACAGTCTACGGACACCCCAGAAAATCTTTGAGATTTATACATTTATAAATCTCATAAATGTATAAATCATTTATTTAAAAAAAAAGAAATAAATTTGCTGTTTTACAGGTATATTGTTGTATCAGATACAACAGACATGTGCTGATTGTTTTCACTTAAGTTTTTAGTCAGGAGGGTCAAAAGATTTCCCTTTCTTGAAAAAAATAAAATCCTCAAAAACAGGGATCAATACATGACTGTCTAGTATCCAAAAGGTTGATTCACTTCCGTGCATCTCACTGTCAGTGTATCAGGCTGCATGTCATGCATATCCAAGTAATTAGACTCAACAGGCTTCCATGTGTCTGGCTGTGGGGAAGTTTTCTTTTTCAGGCTCACCACACTAAGCTGAACTGCTCGAGATCAAAAGAACACCATATGTGAATTCTTCAATGGAGCATCATTGCCTTTCATTGCCAAATTTAGCTATTCCATATGGAGATTTTTCAAAACTCTGAGAGCAGCTGCATCGCACACACACATACAAGCAATCCACTACTACTGCAGCATGGAAGTGATGGAAAACAGTGCTTATGAAACACCATGAAGCAGGTGCAGGATGCAGTTTGGAGCTGTTGTGGGATTTGTTTTAAAAGACTCATAACATTGTCTGATTTTTTTCTTAAAATTAACAATCAATCTAGTTTTATCTCATATCCAGGATGTGAATGTGACAATTATGCAGTCCACAATTTCTTGTCAGTTAAAGCTGAAAAAAAAGTTAATAATAATGTATAATAATGTATTACCTTGAAACAGTATTAATGATCTAAAACAAATGACTGTTGACAAAGATTATTTATCTTGTATAATAAAAATCTGATTTTATTATCCTAATATCAAAGTTGATTTGAAGATTACTTATAAAAAAATGTTTTACCCAACAGGAAGCAGCAGAAGGCTCGACTACCCGCTGTACTGCAATTATCATGCAAAACACATTAGCAGGCTAATGTGTATCAGATTGAGTTGAGTTGTTGCCTACTGTGAAAATCCCCCAAGCAGGGCTGATCTGGGGCAGTCATCTCTGTGTGGTCATGGAGGAGTGCCATATGGCCTTGATGCAATCCTAGACCTGGTTATGTAATGCAGTGCTACTCAACTAGTCTGCTTTGGAGTGACAGAAGGATAAATTTGTCTTGGGTTTTTCTATAGTGTTCCCACATAAATGCATTTTTAGATAGCATGACTTACAGCATCACATATGGCAATTTAAAAAATATATATATATTTCATTGTTGTGTGGCATAGACTTGAAAATGCAACAACAACTGCTAACAGACAAACCAGAGGAGTTAAATCCATCAGAGAGAAAGGTGGGAGGAGACTGCTGTTGTGTCTGTAAGCCCTGGATAATGAAGTAATTGGACCAGAGTTCAGTGTGTTTATCCCAGAGTGAAAATGCAACGCAGGTTTCACAGACTGGACTGCCTCCTCCTATTTAAGCAAGTATATTTTCCAAACCTTAATGTTCGGTTGTTAGAGCAAAAAATTTTTATTACTTTGTAAAAAACGAAGGAACTGAAAAAAAAATTGCATTCATTTGTACCATTTTAGCGATGTGATTTCTACAGGACACTTCCAGTGTGATGTGTAAATCTGTGGTTTTACCGGCTTCTCTCCTGAAATAGCTAGTTGGCTATTAGAGGAGAAAAGCCGGTCAGGTGTCAGGTTTAAATGGTCATGGCCAATAGCCATTGAGTATGGAAATGAGCAGTCTCCCTGACCTCTTGAGGTTAGAACTGCAGCCAATTAAATGTACTAGAGAAAGAGAGAATAAATTGAGGGGAAGGACACGATTGCAAGAGACGGGCAAAGTTGACGCATTTTCTTCCTTTTTTTTATGTATCATGACTAGATGTAGACTGTAGAATTGAATGGTTTTCTATCAGCTGTGTACCCGGATTTCAATTGATACACTCTGGTAAGTAGTACTATATTGAGAAAACTATAATATATATAATATATCCTTACCTTTTAATAGAAAATGTGGAAATGAGCATAACAGTTGGAATGCAAGTGTAAATCACTTTTAAGTGTTCACCATCTTAAATTTCCTTTATATTCGCATCCATTTCTATGAATTATTGGCCATTATAAAATGAACAGAATAATTAAACTTACTTACACTTACATTCAAGTGAGGACAGAAGAGTGACAACAAACACACACACACACACACACACACACACACACACACACACACACACACACACACACACACACACACACACAGATACCCACAAGCACCAGCATCACAGTCCTGTTGCTTATGTTTCCTACTGGAGAGTAAACATCTGGAGCACAAAAGCCATTTACTGTCAGATTATATCAGTAAAGAGGTGCTCCACTGACTAATAATAATAATAATAATAATAATAATAATAATAATAATAATAAATTTTATTTGTAAAGCACTTTTCATAAAAGAATCTCAAAGTGCTACAGAAACCAAGAAACACAATAACAAAAAAACACTAAGGACTACACACACACCCACTCAAACAAACACAGTGTAAGTGGGTTAAATCCCGATAGAGAGATTAGATTTGGCTTTTCTACATTCCCTCCATGCTTCTCTATAGCCTTTTTGTATTTTTAAACAGAATTCCTATAGCATATCTGCTTCATAACTGATAGTTCAAAGTAGAGAACGACAGACACTGCCCATATAATATTTGCAGTGTAGTACACTGACCCCAGGGCCTGGCCCTGGATTTAATGTCTTTCACTCTTAAAGGTCCAGTGTGTAACATTTAGGAGGATCTATTGGCAGAAAATGTGTGTAATATCCATAGGTATCTTTTCATTAGTGTAAAATCACTTGAAAATAAGAATGGTCGTATTTTTGTTAGTTTAGAATGACTCCTTTTTACATTAAAGCAGTGGGTCCTCTATATGGAGTCCACCATGTTGAATCACCCTGTTTCTACAGTAGCCCAGAACAGACAAACCTAACACTGGTTCTAGATAGGGCCTTTTGCTTTTTTTGGCAATACATGCCACCAAATCCTACACATTGGTCCTTTAACAAAACATGCTGCCAAAACCAGACTTTTTCTAGTTGATCCTGATTCATTTCATCGCAGTTCTCTCCACTTGTTTAACCAAATTTATCCTAATCTTGCAAGTGACGCCTTGGGTGTTATGACTTATATATTTTGGCCACTGGAAAAAGAGAGGAAAGTAGTTGTTAAATGGAGAACTAAAGTGTTAATTAAATGGGGACAAATGAGAGGCAAAAATGGAAATAAGTGAGAGAGGATAGATGAAATTCAGTCAAAGTGAGAGAGACTGAGCAGAAATGAGAGAGAGATGAATGTGTGTCTGGTGGGGGATGGTGGGGGGGTGGTCTGGGTGCAGACCAAGGACACTGTGCCTTTCACAAACCCAGATCAGCCACCCAGACTCCATTGCCGTTGTGTTTCTCACAGACAGAGGAGCACACAGTTGAGCATTGTTACCAGATTGATTTCCCCGTAAAATTTCTCTTCACCCAGGTAAACAAACAAGCAGGTTGCCTTAAATAATTCAGCAACTGCCTTTTGCCTTGAATATAAATTAAAGGCAGAGAGGAACCAATCAAGTCTAGTTGAATGTGTTAAAAGAGGGCCTGGTTAACAACTGTACTGGCAGGGGTTTTGCCTTATATCAAGCATGCTCAGGAGAATTTCTACTGTGTGTTCATACAGTCAATAAACTGGGATGAAACAGTCAGCCTTCAAGCTGCAAAAAAAAATCTCCTTCGGAGACATTTCTGCCAATGGGGTAAACAAAGATTGCAAAAAATTTCTTGCAACTAGAATAATAATCAGGCCACCACAATACAATGTCTGGTCTTAAAGAAGTAAAACAAAAAATGTTAACAAGGCTTCGGGAGTTAATATTCTCCTGCTTGTTTACGTCTGATTTAAGCATGAATTGATTTTGGGGCAGCACAAAAGATATGAACACAACATTACTTATGAAGTTGACATAGCAAACATGGCAGCAAACAGTTGCCTATGTATACACTCAGCAGACATAACTTAACCCTGATGAATGTAAGTCTAATATAAACTTTCCTTTTCTCTCTGTTTTGGTCTCCACGACTCCTGATGGACATATCTGGTTTTTACATGCTCCACTATGTTCACCAGCTGACTTTGCTGTCTGCTGCTGGGCAGATAGTGTACGGTGATGGCTTTTTTGCTGAAAACAGTTGCCTGCTGCAGCTGGGAACAAGGTTGATGAGAGAGCAGTTAGAGTGAATCAAAACAGTAAAGTGTGAAACAAAAAACCATAAGCTGAGAGACAGTAAAACAGTGGAGATGAGGGCACTGCAGGGCTGGATGATAACTGTCCGAAGCTTTGTCACTATGAGCAATCCCATTCCCATGAGTCATTTGGTCTATTTTTAATATAAAACATGATGAGAGCAGTTTTAACCAATTCAACAAAATAAAAACAAAAAATTAGAATGATCTGAGTCTCCAATAGATGTCTGGGATATGAGCACACCATGCAATTAGTTATGCGATCCAGTCGTCAGACTTGTTTCCTGTCAGTTCTAGCTGAAAAAAAGATTAAATATCTTAATAAGAAAAATGAAGAGCAGTTACCTTGAAGAGGGTTTAATGGTCTAAAGCAAATTGCGCTCGACAAGATTATCTATCTTGGATAATAAGAATATGATTTTATCATCCTAAAATAAGATATTATGACTTCCTCGAATTGCCTTTTTTGCAGGGTGAAAGAGAACAGCCGACCTCTGAGGAATACATCATTACATCCTGCAGCTCTTTGTTATATCTCTCTAATTAACTGCTGACTTTGTCTCCAAGTTTCGCCCTTATGGAGCAACACAGGGAAACCACCGATGAGGGTCAATGGGCAGGCCCCAGAAAAACATCACACATAATCCTACCATTGTGCTGAAAACTGCTCTGTAGATCGACTATACTGGATAGTCATTTAGCTCAGTTCACAAGATGTTTATTTATTTATGAGGGCAATAAACCATAGAGTACACCCTCAACCTCTGGAAATCACTTGTGTTGTTACAGGCATCTTTTCTGTCCTTCCATTTTTGAATAAAGCTATTAAATGTTATATATACAACAGCACAATTAACTCTTCAGTGTGCCTGATCGCAGCAGGATGGTTAATGTTCATAGAATCATCAAAGAAACCTGCCAAAGCAGTTTAAAAGTGCAGTGTACTAAAATATGATGCGTTATTATACATTTGCCCATCTACCTTTCCTTTCTGAGGCTTTCAGCCGGTTGCCACGGTAGCCTGCCTCCCACCGCCCCATTATCCCAACCACCCACTCACACATACATATACAGTCCACACAAACACACACCACCACACACAGGGCCCTAATGAAATGAATCCTTCTGTATCAGCAGCACACTGGCCATTTGGCACAATGAACTGCCATGAATAATTCAGCCAGGAGAGGAACGATAGACGGCAAAGAGAGGAGACGAGAGGAGGAAAGGTGGAGCCGAGATGAGAAGGGAGAGGCGTCCGAAAAACACAAGGGAACGACAGGACAGCAGAGTGGGAGTTTGCCAGCAGCAGAGGAGGGGAGACACGAGAGAAGAATAATCACGATCAAACTTGCTGAGTCAATAGTGAGAGAGGAGCTGTGAGTGTGTGTGTGTTTCTGACAATACAGAGGCCCCTTTGTGCTGCCCTGTGCAGATGCCTGTGCACAAACACACTGGGACGGCCGAGCCGTGCCAGACTCTGCTACCTCCCTCTTTCCTCCCTCCATCCAAACTGCTCTGTTTCACTTCTAAAGCAGAGAACCAACTGAAACAACATTAATATTTGAGCTAAGTTTCTGAATAGAATTCCTCGTTCATCATAATCATAATCACAGATGTTAAAATCGGCAGCGTAGGAAGTGACCAGGTCTGTGCAGTGTTAACTGTTTTGCATTACTTTATTTACGATCTCAATCTCACACTGTGCGAGGTGGTCCAATAAAGTCTTATCAGTATGAAGGAATTTCAGATGCAATGAATGCCTGCTAATCTACAATGTAAATTAAAAAACAGATGCTCGCAGAGACATGTCACCCCTTCACGTCATACTTCATGATTCAATTTCAAGCAGGCTGTCTTTGGTCACTAAGGCTCCAAATTGGCTGTCTGTTTATGTGTCTCACAGTACAGTCTAAGACCACTCTTTCCGGGTGAGGTCAAATTGCACAGTTTAAAAAGTCGTACACTCATATCTACCTTTGATATAATCCTTTGAGATCATCCAGTTGCAAAGCTATGATGTTGGCACTTTAAGATCTGCACTTCTAGACCTGTATGTACTTTCTAACCTGTGCCATTCAGGCAAGCAAATTGCAGGTAATTGCCGCAACAGTTTAGAACAGCAAATTACAGTAAGCAATTTTGCACCACCAATGAGTGTCAGCCTGTGAGTCCTTTGTCCTCTCACACTGCCCTTATTAATTTAAAAAGAAAGGGCAAAAGGACAGAGCTAGCGGGGATAGAAATGCAGAGGTCAGAAGACAAAAAATATATATAAGAGAATGCAAAGTAGGTTGATAAAGTGCTTTTACTTGGTATAACAGAATCCTGTTAGAAACTTGGAGCACGACCTTTGCCTCTTCAACATCTAGCTATCCTAAGATTGGATCCCTCAGTTAAAGTTAGCGTCAGGTTGCATCTTTAGAGGCATTTGTATGATCTCACAGATGTTCACAGTCTGCCTGGACAAGCTGTTTGCCTGGGGTTAAAAATAGTAATACTATTTCCAAATACTATGCCTAACATGCCTCCTGTCTTTTTTTGCTGGACGTATGATAAGTTTGTTGCCCTACAATTTTGCAGGCAAGAGCAGTGCACTTAGTGTACAATGTCAATTGAAGGGTGGAGTCTGTTTAGAGTCTGTATTGATACTACTGTGGAAGGATTAGATTTAAATGTAAGACCCCACTTCTCTAGTCACACAGGACTGTTGTAGGATACAAAGTGCCTGTATCACAAATAGGCCTGTAGTGCAGCAGAAATGCGGTGAACAGTGGGTGCTATGCAGTAGAACAGAACATAATGTGTATGAATGCAGCAGTAACTTACGTGGCAACCTGATGCATGACCTTGGTGGAGGTGTCTTTCAGCGTGTCCTTCAAGTTGTCCTTAAAGTTGCTGAAGAACTTCCCGGCTCCTCCCTTCACCATATCCAACAGTCCTCCGCCATAACTGGCATCCATATCTGGGGACAAAGGACCTTTAGTACAATCAGAATCCAGAGGGAAACTAACACAGTAAACACAATGAGGATGCTAACAGAGAGGCACATTTCTATGTAAATGCACAGAAACCTCATCTTACTTTTTCAACAGAAAAATATTTGTTGTTTTCAATGCAGGTGATGTCTTTTAAGAATTTTTACAATGCTTCCTGAATAAACTTGATGTTTCGATTTCAAACTGGAGGTTAATTTTTTCCTTTTTGACTTCAGTGACAGACATGAGTCACTGCACAACACACCAAGCAGACACGTGTGTAGGTGTAAAGGAATGATGGACAAGGACACAAGAGACAAGACACTAACATTAATACCATCTGGAGCTGTGTATTGCTGTATGTGTGTGTGTGTGTGCATGCACACTCTAAAGTGTAAGCAAGTGTTGGAACAGACTCAAGTGTCATATCTTAATCAGCACCCCTCTCTTTTTCTCTCCTTGCTTTCTCCCCCCTCTGTCTTTCCTTCATATATCCACACATAGCAACCACAGTGGCATCACATGAGATGTAACTTGGCAGCGCTGACAAATCTACAAACAAAAGGGATTTTCAGTATTTTCAGCGAGTCTCCTCTGAGCACCTGGGTTCATCAAAAACTTCTTGTACTTTTATCGGCAGGAATGGACAGACGAACAATCGATAATTTCATGCTCTAGCTTATCCTCTGACACGGGTCAACTGCCTCTCTGAAGCAGTGTTTCTCAGAGTGTTGGCCTTGAGTGTAAAGTCCTAATAACTGACAACAGCAGGTCCTGAAAAGATATTAAGTTTAGGCTTGGGCTTGGACTGTTTACATGTTACCAGCTATTGACTCAGAGGGGGGTTTTAGTTAGTAGTTATTAGTTATAGTTATTTTCTATCTGTGTCCATTTGTGAGAAAGCTGGATATTTAAAAGTCCAGTGTATACGATTTAGGGGGCAAAGAGAGCCTGGGTCCTCTTCTACACCACGGTGAACCACCATGTTTCTACAGGCCCAGAATGGACAAAGTAAACACTGGCTCTAGATGGGGCTCTTTTTTTGCAGCCACCATATTTTATTCTACAAACTTGGAAAGGTGAACTGTATTTGGTTGGTTACAATCTGCAATTTCACCACTAGATGCCACTAAATCCTACACACTGGTCCTCTAATGCCAAACTGAAGAGAAAAATCACGAGAAACAGAGAACGTAGTCTATGTGTTGCCAGATTTATGATCAACCTATCAGCAATATGTGCACTGTGCAGAAGCAGTGACCCAGTGCTGTAAATAGTAACAGTGATGGAAGAAATTCCTTGTTAAAAGGGAGCTTCTCAAAATCCCAAATCATCCAGAGGAAGGCTCCTTCATTGTGATAAAATTATGACCATTGTAGGACTGCATCATGCCTGCTGTATGCATTTGTTCTGGATTTATTACTGTTTGAAATCTCAAGTTCAGCTAGGAAAATAATGTTCATTCAGGCAATACAGGGAGAAGTTGAGCATCATATTGAGGTGATGCACATGGTTCATTATGATGATATAATATTGTGTCATGATTATTATTGCCACTAAAAACACAAGTTAGCTATTACTAAGTGGCTATTACAGGCAACTTTTGCTTTATGCTGGTGGGCTACTGTGCTTTATTCTGTGTGGACCCATTAGTTATATTATGTCCACTTCTAGAGTAGTTGTTCTTCGCATGTAAGAATACCATTCTCTGTGCCCAAAGCAATCATATCTCTTTCTCTTTGATGAAGGAATAACCAAATTATAACGTTGGGTCAGGCTCGGGTCTAATATATGTGGGTGCAGGCTTAGTATCTCCTCACATGCTAATGTTATCAACTAGATAGATAACTGGAGCTAACATTTGTGGTGCATGGTGGTGATGGATTTTAACAGCATACTTTCCCACTTACGCACATACTTACAAAGACATTACAAACACTGTCTCTAATGTTGGCTGCTGAGTCAAAGCCCTGATAAACAGTAACTGCTTTATACTCTTTCACTCTGTTTTCTCTCTCCGCTTACTCCATCACATACATTACTTGTCTACTTATGATCCTTCCATTCCTCTCTCTTTCCCTGTCTGGTTGACTCCATCCTATCCTCCTCTTCCCTGACGATTTTTCACCAAATCACAAATTTAGACCTTTCATCTCCGACTGCACAGGCCTGAAAAGTGTGACAGGGATTTGTTCTTCTGAAGAATAAATCTGCTGCTTGTTGAACTCATACACCATTATGATCCACAGAAATGTCCTCAACTCAAAGAGAACTTTGCCTGTGGCTATCAAAACAGATGCCATATCACTCACACAGTGACTGAAGAGCAGTAATAAAACAAGTTTAACACAAATCTCTAAATACCTCGAAACAAAAATATATATTTGATGAGCGTTATCTCAGACAGGGCAGACTTCAACATTTTAACAGAAAACCTCTGTTACGAAATTAGCATTTATCAGAAAGGGAGGGTCTAACATGAGGTATTTCATTATGGGAATTGTAGGATCCAGTGTTTTTGGAGCTTGACTCATTCTATAGCTTAAAAGTCAAGATATCTCAGCGTCTGTGGTTTTGTTTTGATTCCTTCAACTTAAAAAAAGTGCAATGCTAAATCATTGGAGCACTGCTTTAATTGACTCTTTTAAGTAAATAATAAAAACAGTATTTTCATCCTACTACGATTTAGATCTGATAGGATGTCCTTAAGATGGGAAGATAGCAAGGAAGGAGCATTAAACTTAGGATGGAGTAAATGTAAAACACCAGACAACACACTGAATTACTTGTTAGCAGTTTTCTCGGTAGACGGCGAACGACTGGATCTACAGACTTAAAATTACAGTCTTTACACATCACACACTATATCTGCCAAGTGTGAGCACCAACTGACCCAGACTGGAACAGACCTCAGTCGTCACGCCCAAATCATACTTATAATCAGCTCAGCAGTTGTAATGTGTGTCCCTGCCTTTAGTCGAAGGTTATCAAATTTCTTCAACTGAAATGAATAGCTGAAAACCACTAAAACTGATTTAATGGGTGTTTACATGAAAACAAGAGCATGGAAATAAAATATAAAAAGACCAAAAAAGAATTAAAGTCTACTGAACCACTGAAATGATCACATCTGTTCCTTTACACATTGCAACATTTAGCTCATTTTAGCCTAATTTTCACATCCTGTGAAACTGTGTTGCACTGATGTACCGTCCTCTGCTTTTTGAGGTGAAATGTTTGTGTGCTTAGGTCATTTCGTCTTTATTTATCTGTACAGCAGAGAGTTTCAACACTTGATAAGAGAAAAAGACAGGGAGGATAATATGCAGGAAAGGCTATGCACCCTAATAAAAACCATGTTCTGCCTAATAAACAGAGAATAACCCTGTTAACGCTGCTGCTTACTGAATTTACTTCTAAATCATTTAATTTGTTGATTGTATCCTGGGCTTATGCCATATAGTCACTCTTTACATTCTACACATTAGGAAATGTGCTCTTTTGCTTTCTTGCCAGGGACTAGATTAAAAAATGAATATCACTCTAATGTCTGTACACAATTATGAAACTATAGCCAGCAGCTGGTTAGCTTAGCTAAGCAAAAAGATGAAAATGAAATCATGATATGAAAACTAGCCTGGCTCTGTCCAAAAGTATCGAAATCTTCTTACTAGCATCTCCAAAGCTCTAAAGCTCACTAATTAACATGTTATATCTTGTATCTTGTAGATTTTGTTGCCTATGGACAGAGCCAGACTAGCCGTTTGCAGGTTTCCAGTCTTAAACCAGCTGCCAGCTGTAGTTTTATATTTACTGTACAGATGAGAGTGGTATCAATCTCCTGATCTGGCTCTCGGGAGGAAAGTAAGTAAGTGCATTTTCGCAAAATGTTGGCATTTTCTTTAATATGGTAGCCATACTGCCTATCCTGAGAAATACAAACTGAAATGCTCCTCTTACATTCTTCGAGCAACACTGTAAGTTTTGGTCTATTTTTAACCTCCTTACTATGCAAATTTCCCAGCCAGTGAGCATGACAGGATGTATTAGCCTACTGTAGGAAAACCTGGATCCTGTTCTGCTTTGAAATGAAGAGCTCTATAAGATCTGTCAATCATGTTTAGATGCATGCACAGGTAAGGAGGCATGTGTGATGATGAAGGAAAAAATATGCTTCAAAGAAATCTCACTACAGGGAGAGATGTTCCACAAAAATAGGACAGGGCCAATAGCTCACCCGTTCTCTCTCCTCAACCGCCTCCCTATCACTTGCAAAGAGCCACCAATAGAAACAGACATAGCAAAAGAAAAGAGAAAGACAGCTCTAGTTATGTCCAGAGGGATCAGTGGGCTGTCTGAACATGTCTCCTTCCTCCTACAGCCCCAAACCTTTGTCCCTCAATAGCCGGCCTGGTGTGAATGACAAACGGACACATACACACAACAATAAAGCTTGACAAACACTGCACTGCACTCAATCTCAGTATTATTACACTGTGCTGGGCCTTGTTGTGTCCTGGACCTGAATGACTGTGGCATAAACCCGGACTCTAATCTCCTTAATTATAGATGCTGCTGATGAGACAAGGAGTATATGATTAATCATCTACTATACAGCTTAACCAGAGGAGTATTCTATTGCTTTGAATGGCAAGCAGGCTGTTACAGGCTGCTAAAAGCATCACATATTACTGTGACAAACTGCAGGTGCCAGCTGACAGTTAAATGGTCAAACATAATTTTGAATAAAAGGACTGAAATTCTTAACTAACTCTATACTTTTAAATGGTGTCACACTGATTTCAATTGCTTGTTTTAAATCAAACAGTCTGTCTGCATTGGTTCTACGTGTAGCCAGAATTGTTCAAAGTAGTTTTATTAAGTGTGAATCCCCTTGATGTAAGTAGTGTCCGAAACTTGTTTATGTCCATCCATTATCTATAACTGCAGACCCCAGCTGATACATGGGAGAGGTACACCCTGAACCGGTCACCAGTTGATCACATGACTGATACACACAACAAACAACCATTCACACTATTTAACTTATTAACCTGCATGTCTTTGAACGGTAGGAGCCACAAACTCCCAAACTCCAGCCTGCCAGCAGGTTTGAACCTGGGACCTTCTTGCAGTGAGGTGACAGTGCTAACCACTGCTTCACCTTGCCGCTCACTCATTAATGCGTTTTACACTCTATGAGTAAACAGGTATTGTTTTTTTAATCCATCAAATGTGACAGTTTTGACAGAGTGACAATAGCAAACATGAAATAAAGGCTCCCAGACAAACTCGAACCAGGGATGCTGCGGTTCAGCCCCAACAGGCCACCAGGGTGCCCCCAAAACTGCAGTCAGGTTATGTCAGTCGCTGCATAATAAACTGAATCCATTGCTTTGAGAGTCAGGCTGGTTTTACTACTATCAATCAAACTATAAACAAGGCCACGGAGAGGGGAGACTCCTGCTTTAGTCACAGCCAAATATGTAAAGTAATACTGGTAAATGAGCAGTGCTTGAGATCACGTTGAAGACTGTCCTTGATCTTGGTACCGTAGTTAGAGGATGAGCCCAGGCCAATGGACAACAAATGCTGATGCAATGAGGACCACAACTTTTCATGTTTCATTTTTCATGCTAAAACGATGTCTAATTATTTTTAGCAGTTATCTTCATCCTTAATCTTTAAAATGGCGTACTTTATAATGCAGTAACAGGCTATGAATCCTGAGTGCTGCTCCTCCTTGGCTAACATCTATAGCTATCTGTAGATGTTAAAATAAAGCAGTGTGTGCTTGTGATCCCTTCTCAGTGGTTGGATATTTCTATGATTGTGAGCAGTTTAACCAAATAATAATTTCTCCCTCTGAACCTCTCAGATTGTTTTATTACAATACCTATTAAAGGTCAAAAGAGGTAAAACTTGCCACAAGAAATTCTAAAACATTAAAGAAAAGTCCAAGGTTTGGTCCATAGGGGTTAGACCTAGCTTGCTTGGAGACAAAAATAAATAAAAAATAAAAAAATACCCATTACCTAATACCATAGGTCATATATTTAACACAATCAGTCCCAGTGCTAAAGCGATGGATTTGAACCCTGTGGTCTCTATTTGAGCCTCTCTAAACAATATAATATTTTTGTTTATGTTGGCTTTTTGTTATTGTCCATCTGGGTCTACTATGTTGTGTAGTCGTTTTAATATCTTTCCTATGTTGATTCCCATCCTGATTATGACGCAGTGTGGACGATCCTTGACTCCTTAAATTTATGTCCTCCTGTATATCGTATGCTTTGTCTCTATTTTACGTCGTATCTGTTTCTCTCCATATCTGTGTGAATCTGCCTGGTTGCTTGCCTATCTGCCTGTTAGCTGGTCTGCATGCCTCTGTGTCTGTGGCCAGATGGATGTGGGAGTGTGCAGACTGGTGAGCCAGCTACAGTGACAAACCTTGCTAATACAGACACCAGAGGAGGTTCTGATACAGGCTCCAGCAGGTAAATACAGCAGCAGAGAGACCCAAGCCACTCACAGGAAGAGAAAGCAGGACATCAACAGAACAGAGAGCTCCTGGCATTGCCAGAAAGATCAATGGTTTGTTTGAATGTGTCTCCCTCCTTCTAGAGTGCCAACCTTTACCCCTCAGTATCAGGCTGTGAGTAAATGGGGCAGACGGACACATAGACACACACACACACACACACACACACACACAGATACGTACACACATAAAAGAGGCCTGGCAGGCCAGACAGACATCTGACACTGGAGCCCACCACCCCAGTCTCACCGCACCCTCCCCATCACCAGCCCCAATCCCCTTTCCTCACTGACCCTTCCACCCTCCTCATCCAGCTTCTTTTGTTTCACACAAGTGTTCATCCCTAAAGGCTGCCTGACTCCACAGAGTACTGCAATGAGGTGAACACAGAGCAGGCTCTACAGACTTTAACATTAAACCGAGCCAAAGTAATAGACGTCCCTATTCGGATTCATTTATTGCAAATAATTACTGTTATTATGTGGGAACATTAGCACTAATAGTTGTAGTAGTAACTGTTAGTTTGATAAATTGTGATGTAATCCCATACAGGGTAGGCCAAGTGTTTGATGTGACATAAGAAAAAACTAACTAGTATTTACATTTACCGCAGTAGTATTTGTAGTAGTGGCAGCAGGAGTAGTCATTAACTGTCATAAAACTTTATTCTTCTCAAGAGGCTTTTTTTACAGACAGCAGAATTGATCTGGATGAGGATAAACTGTCAAAACAAATGAGTTATTATGCCTGAATTCAATAAAGCATGTTGAGAATTTGTCTTCAGATTAATGATAAACAGATGGATGCGCCTTTGTCATCAAGATCAAGTTTTTTTTGTTATAATTGAATCCATTCAGCTCATAATCCATCATTCATGGTCAGTTGACTAAACTTATAAACTGAGAGGAGGCTATTTTGTGGTTCCTAAAGCTGATTATTATTAATATTATTCTCCTAACCAATGACATATGAGATTATAAGTACATTTAGTGATATATATATATATATATATTAACTTATGAAAAAGTAAATAGACTATGAAATGTGATTATTTCTGAAAATTGGCTGGAAAATTAGTTTTTATATGTATGTTTCTATATTTTCCATGTTGAACAGCCTCTATTATGGACACTAGAATAGACTACTGTGTGCTACTATATGTGATATTATGCATATTCAAAATTCAAAGACTTTTTGATACTTTACTCATCTAACGCATCCATTTAAGTCTAGTCTGAATTGTATGTCCAATGTTTTAGTTTCCCTAACAGGTTGTGGTAAAGGACTGGGCAGCACTTCACAATAAAGCAAACATTTTTAGATATTTTACACAGATCCAATGGCATTGGGACACATCTCTATCTGCTCTGCATACAATAGCCCAGTATATCCATTTAGGTGGGGTCTGGGAGCCACTGGGAGCCCTGGAGGGGATTTCAGGAGGTGCATAGCATCATTGCACACTTTCACTATTGTTAGCCATTGTGTCACAGGCCACGTTAACGCTGCGTAAAGTCAACACATCTTACTCAAGCACCCCTCCACGACACCGTGCAGTCGCCATCCCGGTTGCCGGAGGCGGTGAGGAGTCTTACCTGAGCTGTCCATGGTGCTGCAGTCCTCCTCTCGGAGCGGGCCTGCCTTCGGTCCAAGGGTGGCCGCTATGGAGCCTGCGAGTGTGGTGCTGCCGCTGCTGCTCCCTCTCCCGATACTGAAGCTATCTCCGCCGCTATCGACCAACTGCAAAGATTCATAGCCATCGTAACTGGTCTTTTTCTTGTAGGCCCCCAGCAAGCTCATTACAGAAGGACTCACACAAAAAAAGAAAAAAGAAAAAAAGAAATTAAATACAAAAGAAACCCCAAAGACGTAGTAGGCTACGCCGCGCCGTCGCCGCCACAGCCGCCGTCGCTGCTGCCTGTGCTGATATTATTACTGCTGCTGGGTGCACCACATGTCCGAGGAGGAGAGGACGACCGGGCTCCTCTGTTTTCTGGAAAGAAATGATCTGCCAGGAGGTCTCTCTCTCTCCCTCCCTCTTGCTCTCTCTCTCTCTCTCTCTGCTCTCTTTCTCTCCCTGTGTTTCTGCCTCCTCTTTTCTCAGCAGCACCGCATTTTTACTACGACGCTGCTGCTGCTGCTGCTGTAGTCCCCGACTGAGTAACAGGGAAATCCACCCCAACACACAATCCTCCAATGTTACTGCTGCATCTATTATTCACATTGTCTGATCAGTAGTCGTGAGTTCGCCTATGGGACTATTTTTTCTAAGGCTGATCAATACAGGACATTTAAAAAAAAAAAAAAAAAAAAAAAACTAAGGTCCTATAGAAATATATGAACATATCAGAAATATCACAGTAAAATCACTATTGAGCACCACTGACACAACTGTAATCAGTGGTGGAAAGTACAGTTTTGATGTACTTGTAGGCCTTGAATATTTTCATTTTCCATAGCCTACATTATACATTACATAAAGGCAAATATTGTCCTTTTTACTCGACTGCATTTATTTCACAGCTGTAGTCACTGGTTACTTTGCAGATTTAGGCATTTTTAAATACTAAATATAAACTAAACTAATAAATGATGATATATTATTAGAGATTACGCTAGACAGCATTATATAAAGTGATTATAATTAGCTCCACCTTTACCAGCTGCAACATTAAAGTGATGAACACAGTAATGCATCATATATAATCTGGTAATATATATGATTCTGAAATAGGCTATTGCATAATGAGTAGGTATTTTACAGTGTATTTTGTACTTTTACTTTTGAATGCAGGAATTACACTGTAGAATCTTTTCAAAGATCTGAATATTTATTTCCACTCTGACTATAATCAGATTTGTGATTATAGTGATACCAGTATAAACATGCCCTAATAGTACCACACACACATTCAAATCTGTATAATAATATTGTAGAAATATTATCGCCTTTAGTTTTGAAGCCAAGACTGTTACGTGTTATGTTATCAAACATGCTCACATGCTCCAGTGTAAATAGAGTGGGATCCCAGTTTTAATGTCACAGTTCCTCTTCTGGGTGGATTTCCTCTTGAAAGCCTCTTTTCAAAATGTCTGTGGGCTTCCAGCCAATTATGATTGTCCTATGAAAGAGCGGTAGATGGCAGTTGTTCCACTTTGTATCTTATATTATAATATAATATTGTCTGTATTCATTTCAATATTTTAAGAATTAAGTAGGTTTACTTTCTTAATATTTTAATTATTTTCATTATCAATTGATCAGCCGATTCTTTTCTTGATTAATCACTTAATTGTTATGTCTATAAAATGATAGAAAATTGTGAAGAATAGCCATCACATTGTCCCGGAGAGTTCAGGTCTAACCTTCAATAACAGAAGCTATTCAATTTACAATTATGTAAGACAGAGAAAAACATACTACTACTCACTGGTACCAGCAAACAAACAAACAAAAGTGACAAAATCATTTAGTGATTATCAAAATATTTGCAGATTGATAAGCAACTGCTCATGCAAGACAGATGCATGGTAGAGTTAGTGTATGATGGATGGAGTCTGCTGTAACCATGACTGTGCATGGTGAAGAGGCAAAGTGTCAATTTGCAGTGTCATCTATTAAAATAACAAAAGTCCTCAGAGAACAAGGGTAGAGAAATAAAGTAATTCTTTTTTTAAAAAGCTCTCTTGCTATGACCTTCTTTCGTGGGTATAAATAAGAAGCAAATTATGAGTATGGTCCCATAATGGAGCAATTGTCTTATTTGAGTCCTGTGCTGAAAATGGACGAGGACCCCTGCCCATGTCATAATAAAAGACTCAAATAAGAGGAGTCTTGTAGTCAGCAGTGCAAGACAACAGCACCATGCTTTGTCAGAAAAAGGAAACTCACCCCGCATCACAGGGAGTTTTCTCAGCCTTAATCTCGACTAATGGCAGCCTTGAATGTTAATAGGCTCTTTGTAATATGATTAAAATCCAACAGATTTTTAATTTTAGCTCCAAATTTGTCATTTTAGCTCCTCCAATTTTTATAGGGCAATAACCCTGGATCCATGCAGGGCAAAACATTGACCAATGATGGCATGCTTCCTTCCTTGGCCTTGTCCCCTGGCAACGGAAACCCTGCATGGTTCTGAAAAGAGGACATGAGCCTGGGAAACTCTTTTCGGAGAGCAGACGGGAGCTCAAAGCCCAGCGGGAACGGAATGTCCGAAAGGGAGGAACGTTACCCCCGCCATAACCGGACGCAAAGTGCTGCCGCTCCATTGTAGCATTGGAGCTTCCTGTCTTGTTCCTAACCGTGCCCACTGATATTTACCCCTTGGTGCCCTCATGAGTGACTGTTTAGGATACAGCAAGCAGGTGCAGTGAGGACATCACAGTCTCTGCCACGATCAAAGGTTTACACATAAACACACCAACTCGTAAATAGAGCTGACACAGTATTGACTGTTTAGTCCATCATCTATTTTGTTTAATTAATAATTAATTTATTAATAATTTCAGTCATTTTTCAAGCGAAACTCCCAAACACTCACAAGTCTGAGCTTCTTAAATGTGAAGATTTGCTGCTTTTCTTTCTCATATATGAACTGAAAACCTTTGGGTTTTGGACAGCTGAGGGTCACCTGGGCTCTGCGAGATTATAATGGCCATATTTAATATTTCTAGGAACTGTATTATGGATCATAGTTGAACTCTTGTGTTCTGGCATTGGGCAATCACTGAATAAATATTGGCTCACTGGCTCGTAACAAAAAGTTATTTGCCCTATCTAAAGCAAGTACACTTGCCTTAGTGACCTGTAACGATTATCAGGAACACCTGATACCGGTAAGAACAGACCTTATGATGAATTAACTTATATCCTGCTTTTAAGAATTCCTGAAAAGCCTTTAAAGGCAATGCAAAGTGTCATTTCAGCTGCTTTATGACACTGCTGTAATGTGATACTGACTATGGCCTTGTATCTTAAGAGGAGCTGTATCACTACTTTCATTGGTTTTTTACCATCATTCTCCAGGATAAAGTAAAGCTTAATGATTATCCCCATAACAGTTAAAGCAGAATCCAGGAATCTGCTGTATCAGCTGTAGGACTCACTTGACGAGAAAGACGGTGGACTTGAATCTGTGGCTCAGTCCGTGAGACTTTAGATCCTATAATCCAAGGATTCTTGTTCCCAGTGGGTAAAACTGAAACATCACAGATACACACTATGTGTCTTCAGAGGAGAACAACGGTATCCATGCTGCCCTGGTTTGTGCCAATTCCACTGAGCTGGCAGGTGGCCCACTTTAGGGACTGAAACCTATCCTATGTATCCTGTTGAAGTGCTGAGGACGACACAAACTGTTTACTTACTCTAAGTCCCTGCCATCAACCATAAAAGAAAGGTTGAAACCCCCTTGTGCAACTGCTCTTTTAAACGCACCATAAACAGAGGCATTACAACAGAATCTATTCATCTAGTAGTGAAATTATATGTTTTTAAGACACAAATTTAAAATATTTTCCAAATTCGGATTATTCATTTAGATCTTGTTAAATGCTAAATATGTGACAAATCATCATATTTAAGTCCCTCTCTTTTTTCTTCCTTTACCTTAAATATTTTTTATTTAGTTAACCATATAAAACCAGTAGTGGATAGTAACTAAGTACAATTGCACAAGTAGCTGACTACAATTTCAAGGGCACTTGTGCTATACTTAAATATTATAAATAATGTACTTTTTCCTCCCGTACATTTATTCAATAACTTTTGTTACTTACTTATAAAACAAAATATAATCATCAAAAACAATCACAAGCTATCCAGCAGTATAGAAAATGTATTAAAATGAGCCCCACCATAAGAAGCAGCAACATTAAAGCACAATTATACAATTTACATTATTCTGAAAAGGAACGTTCTGCATAATGAGTGCTTTTACTTTTGTTACCTAAGTATATTTTGATGCTATTTTTTTAGGCTTTTATTGCCTTTATGATAGTGACAGCTGAAGATAGACAAGAAAGGGGGGCAGAGAGAGGGGATGACACGCAGCAAAGGGCCGCAGGTCGGATTCGAACCCTGGGCCGCTGCAGCAAGGACTCAGCCTCAGTACATGGGTCGCCAGCTCAACCCACAGACGCCCTTTTGGTGCTATTTTTAGGGCCTATTTTTGTATTTTTTAATGAATTGCTCCATTCAGCCATGCCCACTTTAAAGTGATCCAATAAAATAAGTAGGATAAACGAACCCCCACCCACATGGCCCATCACAAACATGTCACATTATGGAAACTAAACAAGCTCTGACTTCTGTTTCACTGTGACGATGTTATTAGGGGTCAGTCTGATATGGCAGCAATGATTCACTGAAGCCTGATGGGTGAACAAGGTAGCAAGCCTCAGCGCTCAGTTAGGATTTACTGCTCAGATCAGACTTCTTTTTGTTTGGCGGATCACATTATTTATTCAATTCTCTGGAAGTGACCCGAATAACGAACGTAGATCTAGAGCAGGGGTCTCAAACTTACATTGGCCTTGGGCTATTGCTCGTATTGTCATCAAAGTGCAACAAGAAAACACAATATTCTCAAAATATTTCCATTACTAGCATTAATACTTATACTTAAAGGTCCAGTGTGTAGGATTTAGTGGCATCTAGTGGTGTAGTTGCAGATTGCCACTCACTCGCTTCTCCCTCCCTTTACAAGTGCCAGGTAGAAACTATGGTGGCCGCAAAATGTGCGAAATACTTTTTTGACATCATGACGCCTGCCGGAGGGAGGGAGGGGGATGGACCTGGCCTGCAGTTTGAGATCCCTGATCTTAAGTGACATAGAAGTCACATGAATCAACAGTGTCACGTCACATCTTAAATAACTGTTCACACTGAAAAAAATCAGACCTGTATCAGAACTGAAAAAAATCTAATTTCATGTGATTTAGGAAAAAAAAAAATCACATATCAGCAAAATAAAAATAAATGATTTGGGCCACTTGTGCCTACAGTGTGAACTATCCTCAGTGCCTGATGGTCACAACATGAAGCCACACCAAGCTGTGTTAAGCTGCTCACGTGACGTGCGTGACGCTGTTGATATCTATTGGCCAGCACAAGAGAGGAGCTCTCCACTCAACATACTGCCCCCCCCCCGGTTGATGAAGATGATGATAATACTGATGATCCAGATACAAGAGACACCAATCATGCCCGAATGCAAAATAATAACGAGGCTTAAAAAACCAAACACCTGTCCTCTTTAATATTACAGGCGTACGTGGGTTGCGGACTTGGGGCTGTGCGCCTTTAAAGGGTGTCCTCAAATGCCGTTACCGAAATCATCAGCTGACAGAAAAACCCCAGCTGAAGTGGCAACCTTCACACTCTAAATTCTCATTAATCCTAAGAGATGTCATTTATCAGACGGGTAAAGCAATAGTAGCAATAATATCTAGCCTATACCGGAAAGATAAAATGTGTAATTACACATCAGCTATGTGGGGAGGGGGGGAAAAAATCGACACCTGAACAAAAATAACCCAAAATGATGTCATTCATGATGCTCGTGTGCGCATCCAGACACACACAGGCCCTGAGCACAGACACAAGTTGGTGATTTTAGATGAATTTGTGAGAGCAAACGGATCATTCCCCGGCGGAACAAGTGCATCCTGATGGCAACCTCTCTGTCCACCGTGCAGAGATGCACCGTGTGTGTGTGTGTGTGTGTGTGTGTGTGTGTGTGTGTGTGTGTGCGTGTGTGGTGGAGGAGGGGGGAACTGATGTGGATTTCCAGAGGTAGCCTGATATTATGTAACATCCACACACGGATCATGATGCTCTCTCCCCCTTCTCTGCCAATAAAACATGAATCACATTCAGACTGAGTAGAGACAGAAAGATGACATTACCTTTCAGATCGGTTTCTACCATTTCTCCCGGGGAGCGCTGTCTTGTGCCGAGGTGGAGATGCGCTTTGAACCCCGGCTCCGCTCACGATACCGACCTTTAATTTGTCATTCGCTGCCAGTCAAAGGTCAAAGCGTTAAACGTCCTGTGACACACGCTGTCATGCAAGAATTTCCCGGCAGCTCCCGGTTAACCCCCCCGTCGGTAATTTTTTTTTTACTGAGGCAGCACCACCAGGCCACGGCATAATAAAATCACATTTTGGCACATGAGCAACAAACAAGGTCCCGCGATGGCGATTTGCAGATCTGTAGAAAATGTGGATGAGTCTAAACGAGATGAATGTGTACAGTAGAAAGTGCGCCGCTCAGCGCATCCTGCATGAGCTGTCAGTGAGGCTGAGACAGGCTGGTAAAACCTGGGGTGGACTTCAGAAAACAGGCTGTAATGCAATGACCGCATGTGAATCTGCTGCAGGGAATCTCTTTAATAACAGAGAACTGCAGCAATCGAGAAATCCATACCGGTGATATGCAGCAACAATTGCTCTGGAGGTTAAAAATATCATTCAATCATTTTCGGCTGAGCACCACTTTCTTACAGCAGAGGTCCCCATAGAGACAGTGATCAAGAGGCGGTTACAAAGCCCTGAAATTCAACACCCAACTGTGCTGTATTTCAGGGTTTGGACGTATTGATATAAAGACTTTTTGCCATGCAGGAGGGAAATATTGTAAATCTGCATTATGTTTCATGCATGCACAAACTACAGCGCTGTGCCTTCTGTCAAAGGTAAACACAGCAGATGAGGCTGTAATCCGACAGTGGAGCCGGAGTTCAAACAAGCTCTAATGCACATGGGGTTTATTTACAGAGAGGATTAGACAGGAGAACTGGGAGTATAGGCACTATTCCTATTTGCATGCACGCATGGTTGTGTGTGCGCGTGTGTTTTTCAGGACGTGTTTTTAATGTCCACCACAGCTTTTGTGTTATAGTTAGCACACCCTCCTGCTGCTTCCTGTTTTTCTCACATGATATGAAAGATCAAGGAGCGGAGAAGGGAGGAGCAAAGACTTTCTATTATTTTTATTTTGTTTGTTAAAAAGAAGAAAGAAAGAAAGAAAGAAAGAAAGAAAGAAAGAAAGAAACAGCTTATCAAAGCCTTTATTTTTTTTGTCATTATTTTGGCTTTTTGTTGTCACTCTGTCATCTTTGTAACAGTATGTTTGGACAGAGAAACAAATGTTAAAAACATCTATGAGGAAATTTACACCCAACCAAATGAATTTGAATTAGTTGACAGTGTCCCACTTACAGTGGTGGGAAAAGTATTCAGATCTTTTAAGTGAAGTAGCAATACTACAATGTAGACATCTTTTAAAGCATCTGCTCTGAACAATAACATGTGTGTTAAAATCCTTAGAAAAGCATTGACTCCTTCTACCTCATTAAAACATCCACAAACCATGAATATGCTAATTTTGTTCCTTTCTAAAGCTTTCCTGCTGGACACAAGATGTCTCCTAATGTCCATTCTCAGTGTTTGTGCACTGGCGGCTTCAAGTTTCCACATCACACATGTTTAAGTTGCATACTGGACCAATTTTGACTTTCAAATTATTTGTGATGTCACAAATCATGCTAGTAGACCACTCCCCTTAAAATCAGATTTTCAGTGAGCACAGAGGAAGTTTTCACTTTCAGCAGATTCATGTGCAAACGTCTTTGTAGTAACACTGCACATACAACATTCTGCACAGTGAAGCTCAAACATCCAACTGGAGGAACAGGAAGAAAAACATAGTTTTGATTGTAGGGGAACTTTAAGTACAAGCCCTGCATTCATAATCTTATTAAGTACAAAGGCATTAGCATATAAATATAAAAAGTTCCTCATCATGCAGAATGGTCCTTTTTATAATCATATATGTTATATTACTGGATTATAATTAGTTATGCATTCATATGTATGTCACTATAATGTTGCAGCTGGGAAGGGGTGGAGATCATTTTAGTTCTTTCTACCAACTTTAATGGACTGGTTGCAGAGCAGACATTTTGGCATGTCATAGCAGGACACTCACCGGTGTATTAATGATAGCTGCATTCCACTTAGGGGAGGATATTGTGCTGCTACTTCACAGTCACTGTTACTGGGACACTTAATGGAATGGAACCATTGATACTGTTATATACCTAAAATTGTACTTAAGTACAGTACTATCCCTTAGTTACTTTCCCCCACAAAATATTAGCTGATCTTAAGACACAGTAAATTAACAATACAGATGTGTGCATGTACTGTAAATACACCCAGACAAAGACAGTCGAAGTGGCCATGTGAAACAAGTTTTATTGGCCCTGGAATGTAACATGTTTGGACAGCATGGTTTAAAAATAGGAACGAAAAAACCCACTGTAGCGTTACACAACAGCAGTGGGGTGTGGTCATACACAACTCAACATTTTTGCACCACGCCCATTCATTCAACAACACACACTGATCATCAAGGCACACTGTGCTCCCCAACATGAAACCAAAGTTTAAAACAGAGGTTCCTACACATCCCTGCTTTATCAAATCAACATCTACAGATTTCAGACTTTAGCCCATGCCACTGACACGAATTGCTGACTCATCCTATTGTCACTCAAGCAAAAAAGAGTAAAAAAGTCAGGGTGCGTCTTTTATGTATCTTTGGTCTGCCATTGTCTCAAACACACCCACTATCCTTAGATAAAGAAAACAAAAACTCCACAAAAAACATTACATAGGCAGTTTTGATCTCATAAAAGAAATTATAAAAAAAATAATGTTTGCATGTAATGGGTTATTCATTGCCAATCCCTGAATTAGTGTATGCTGCCATTTTGAAGCTTCATAATGAATTTAGATGGTCACATTTTGTTTAAAAACTGCAGCATTAACTGGAGCTGGAAAATACAAATAAAGCCTATTTGTTGCACAGGTTGGTCACTAGTGTGCTTAAGTTACTGTAAAAGGCAAACTCACATGTTGTGCCACTGGGTGGAAATATAATGATGAACCACAAGATATTCTGTAGGGTGAGAAATAATTTACACATTAACCAATCACTTAATAAGAAAAGTTATCCTGCAACAGTGATTTATACATTCAAAAAATAAGACCCTTACATATGACACAATCATAAAAGTGACCTGTTCCTTATTAAAGTTAAATCCAGCAGTATTTTAAAAGTTGAACAAACGCTGCAAAAACATTACATTTTATGAACAACAATCTGTGACATTTTGGTGATTGAAATCTCACAGCAACATCCTACATTTAAAGGAATGTAACAACATTGAAGGCACTATATTCTGTGCATTGGTCTTCATCCCAGCCACAGATTGTGCTGTAGAGTGATTATTAGGGTTCCTTGCACCAGTCCAACACCAGCCCAGTGGATACTACTGCATGTTAACAGCTACAGATTGCATAAGATTCTGCAGCATTTCAGTACGAAGGTAAAGAAGAGCAGTTTATTCAGTGCACATTATTGGTGTAATTGATGGATATTAAACACTGAGCGGACTAAAAACTGGTTCTACGGAATATGTACATATGTAACAGCCTTTCCAAGATTGATTTTGGTTCATGAATAATGTCAGTATTGCCCTCATTGAATCTGTCACATGAGGCTGCGGTGAGACAAATCAGACTGATTTTGTTATGTGGATTCTGCTCAATGAAAAATTACAACTTGCACTTGCACATTGGAGGATAATTGAAGGGTTTTACTCCACAATTAGTATATTCATAAAGGCAGCAATGTAGTATTGTTTTCTTGATTATAAAAATATAATTTATAGTGCAATAAATCGAATCTGTAACAATATTATAATGTATATAATATTTCCTATGTCTGCTTTTGTTTAAAGTTTTATTTTCATGACAACAATAATTTTATATATTTTGATATCACATATTTAATGTGTCGAACACTTAAAGGTCCAGCGTGTAACATTTAGGAGGATCTATTGGAAAAAATGGAATATAATGCTCATAGGTATGTTTTCATTAGCGTATAGTCAACTAAATATAGGAAATGTTGTGTTTCCTTTACCTTAGAATGAGCAGTTTCTATCTACAGATGTGGCGAATCGCCTTCCTGGAAAAACCAAACGCTAGCTGTAGATAAAGCCATTTTTGCGAGTTGCGCTGACACTGTAGTTTCTCCTTCACACTCCACAGCCGGTTCTAATTCTCAGGTCCTAAAATTCAGACGTGAGCAGTGTTCAGTTAGTTGCAATCTGTAACTTCACCACTAGAATCCACTAAACCCTACACACTGGTCCTTTAATATTCTGTTTTTTTGGTTTAATATTGTTGGAGTTAGCTTTGGTTTCTAGTAATAAAATCTTGATACTGGAGAACTACAATGAAGGGAATCCTTTCTATATGTTATTTACTTTTTCTTTTAACTTCTGGTTACCACAGATTGACTAAATGAGCTATAATTTAAATTCAATGTGTGGAAACCGGAACAATTGCATTGAATTATCTTCTTTTCCTTTTTAAGAATTGCTTCATGTCGAGTGCTTGTGTAAAACTATGATTTACATAAATGATCAGTTTTGATATTTCCTTGAAATATCTGGACATTTCACTATAATAACGCATAAATCAACACAATCAATAAAGCTTTGCACAAAACCATCGATTTAAAAAAACAACAAGTGAGTGATGTTGGTCGACTACAGTTTTGATCAGCAACCTTGTCCATTACTCATTAAACCTCATTATTAATGAGGAAACTCAAAGCTGAGGCCAGCAAGTAGAAACATCACCCCACTTCCTCTGGCAGCTTCTTGATGTTTCCTCTGGTGTTTTCATTCAGAGAAGTGTCAGGGTGTCTGGGTTTGGAAGGCATCCGATGGCTGTGTGTGCATCTTGGTGCTGAGGAGGGAGTTGATATAAGGCCAAATCCGGTCCGTCTCTGTACCAGAAAATGAGTGCAGGACTCCCTGTGACCTGAGTGAAGAAATAGGAGAACAATAGGAAGAAACGCTGGTAAGAATAAACTAAAATATTTATCGATTGATTGTTGTTAAAGGGGAAATCCATTTAGCATGGCACTCCTTTAACATTATCAGACTCACGATGGACAGTTATTAAAAAAAGATTAAAATCGATGCAGCAGAAACATGTTTTTATTCCACACATTCTTCCTCCTTGGCAAAATTGACACTTACATTACCAATAATGCAACTCAACCAGCAACAGTCAGAGATTTGGTTGTGTTATGTTAGTCGTGGCTAATGTAACACGTAGCTACGAGCCACTAGCCTCAAGCAAATATGAGAAGCGGTCTACAGAGGTCCAGTGAGCTCACGTCTTTCTGACTCCCCATATCCAGGGTTTTTTCATTTTCAAACTTGTAGTCTTCAACCCCTGACCGACACACTTTTTTTACATATGCAGTAGGACTTTCCAAGACCTGTCAACAGAGCTTGGTGGGTTTAAATTGGTGGATGTCCCCTTTAAGTATGTCTATCTTTAACTTAATACAAATGTAAATTATCATTACGAACTGATGCAACTCATATTAGTGTAATTACCTCAAATGTCCGTCCAAGAAAAATGTGTTCTTCTGACCACTTTTTTTTGGTTTTATTATAGAATAAAACAAACTATTGATCACAAAAATACGGAGCCCCCCTGGTGACATTGGATAAAAAAAAAAAAAATGAGTGGCCACGAGATAGTTAATGCGTGGCCACAAGATAATTCACCTTCAGTATCGGGATGGTTATCCATATGGAGCTGTCAGTGATGCTGTTTATTATTCATGAATAAAGTAGTTTAAAGTCTGCTTTTGTATTCAAGAGTCATGCTGAGTGTAATGTCAATAATAATGCTATGACGGGCTGGAGGAGCTTACGTCTAAGTGAAGCCGGACATGTCACTGTTGGTAATGCTAAATGCAGTCCCTCCAGAAAAACGCGATTATGCGATCGCATAATTCAACGCATAATCAGCACATTTATATATTTTCAAAGACGCCGCACTTTTGCCACATAAATCGCCAAAATTAATTCAAACTTGTCCATGTTAACAATCAACAGTCCCTGCATGGAAATGACTGCAATAATTATCTCGTGGCCACGCATTAACTATCTCGTGGCCACGCGTTATTATCTCGTGGCCACGCATTAACTATCTCGTGGCCACGAAATAATAACGCATGGCCATGAGATAGCCACGCATTTTTTTTTTTTTATCCAATGTCACCAGGGGGGCTCCGTACAAAAAACATCTTAGACTTGAGAAATAATTAATGCAAGAAGCTACCACATGCCACAAGATCTGGGTTTGATTTTCTATGTGCAACATTGCACATGAAAACTAAAGGCTGCTTAATGTTTATTTTGTTGGATTAGCTATCTCAATAGAGTTTCAATCAGATTTGTATATGTTAAAAGCAAGAACTGACACTGAAGGCTGCCTGCAGGGAAATCACTGCTAAAAATAGTGTAGGTTTTCCAATGAAAGGGAGTTATTTACTGACTTGTATAAGTCTATGACAGGCTTGGCCACATCTTTGTAGTGTCTCAGTCTGGCCATCAGGGCTTCTGGTTTGTCATCATCGTGCTGAATCAGTGGCTCACCGGTGATGTCATCCTTACCCTGGGGAAGGTCACACATACAACAATGCAACAAAGGTCAACACTGAAATCCCATCACAGAGGATTACAGCACAACACAGTAGAATTTAACTCATGCTGCAGGTAGACACATATCTGCTGTCATTACTGCGTCAATGTCAGGATCTTTTGGGGCTCAGATATGCAATGGTCATGAAATTTGGTAAATATTTCCAGTTGCTGCATGATCCTTGATTTTTCCAGCCATTGTTAATGCAAAAATGTTATAGCCAACCTAAGGTACTATCATGTAATTGGTATCAAATGCCTCCTATGTCACATAAATTTTTTTATTTTTTATTTTGTGCATTCTCTTTAATAAATAAGGCTGCACACCAACGTTACCATGTGACTAACTTCTTGAAGGGGGGCCATACTGATGCCAATGGTACACACAGTCCTGTAAGAAATACAGAAGGTACACTAGGGCCAGAGGCCATTTGCTGTCAGGGCACCAAAATCTCTGGAATAATCTATCAGTATCCTCTTTTAAATCTCCACTAAATACTTAATTTATTTTATTTAATTAAAGATGCTTTGAATAATAGTTTTCCCACAAAATTATATAACAACTTTTATAACAAAAGGTTATTCAATCCTAAAAATGACAAATACTTCTTTACCTTCATCGAAAAATCCAGAATCTATAAAGATGAAAATGTTTCTCTTCAAGAGTTTAACTACAGGACACAAGTTGTCTCCTACTGCATATTAGACATGTAAATGTTTTGTGTTTATAATGTATGTTATAAACTTGTAAGTATGATTATTGGTTTATCAGTTCTTATGTCTGTGAAGCATTTTATAAATTACCATATAAATAAAGGTTATTACTACAGATTTTGGTTAAAAAAGACAACAATATGAAGTAGTGAATTACATCCGTGTGACAACAGGGACCTTGTAAAGCCAAATAGCAAGCTGCAGGAGTGTTGTTGCTGTGCAGAAGGTTGAGGTAATGAGTTAGGAGATTGTCCTTCATCTGGTTCCAATCGCTCATTTTGACAAGCTTCCACCCTGCTGAAGCCAGACATTAAATCCAGCTCCAAAACCCACTGACACAAATCCTTTGAGGAAGAAACTCAAAGGACAAAACTGACCTGCAGGAAATCAATAAAATGTCACAAAGAAATCTAAATGCCAAGCAGGACATTTTAAGCACTGTATACTGTCACAGACCTGCACTCGTGGCGGGTTGAAGCCCATGTTGTAGACTCTACCACTGGCTGGATGGATCCAGCGATCGCTCAGTCTCTCCCTCAGAGTCTCGTAGGGGATGTTGAGGCTGATGACCAAGTCGAGCTGACACAAACTGTTCAGGGCTCGGGCCTGTGTCAGAGTCCGGGGAAAACCTAGACAAAGAACAGAGGGAAACTGCATGAGACATGGTCAACCAGGAACAGTTAAAGTTTTATACATTGATGTATGACTTTTATTTTGTCATCAATTATAAGACTGCGTTGCATTTGCATTTTTAATGATCGTCATTGTGAGGCAGTAACATAAGGAAGCGGTACTGCACATGAATAATAGACCATTCCACAGTTTCATACATACATATTGTGTTTCCTGTTTAATTGTTTGCTTATGAGTACCCTAATGCAAGTAAACTTGGACTCAAGCTGTTTCCAGGTTTCCAGTGTAATGGCCTGTAGCTGTGACATAATAACAAGATTATGTACAGATGAATGAACTTGCTGAAAAAACAATGCTCTCCGTTACATGACCTGGACGAACCACCAGCAGTAATAATGAGACAAGAGTTTACAGTCACGCTAGCAGCTTTGTGATGCAATACTTTGGCCCCTTTGGTGCTTTGAGTTAAATGCTAAAATCACCATGCTAACCTGCTCACAATGACAATGCTAACATGCTGATGTTGAGCAGGTAATCTTAATTTTGCTTGTTAATTAGCATTAAAGTACAGCTGAGGCTGATGAGGACGTCATTAGTTTTAAAGGTTAAAGGTATGTAACATTTAGGAGGATCTATTGGCAGTAATGGAATATAATATACGTAGGCGTTTTTCATTAGTGTATAATCACCTGAATATAGGAATTGTTGCAGCAGGTCACCTTCCATGGAGTCCACCATGTTGAACCACCATGTTTCTAGAGTAGCCCAGCAGGGACAAACCAAACACTAGATTTGTCCATTCGGGTTATTTTGCACATTTTGTGGCGTGGTCACAAACTGAAGTATAAACATATTGACATTTTGACCTGATGACTGTTGACCATTGATCCTGAGGGGCAGATGAATGTATGTACCAAATTTCATTGCAATTCATCCAATTGCTTTGAAATACTTCAGTCTGGACCGACAGACCACCAGCTCTATCCCTGTAGAACCCCTTAAAAACTGTAGTAGATGCACAGAAGCAGAACTACAAATAGTATATTATAGTCTCATATTCCTCACTGTAAATGTAGTTTCTTTAGTTTTTAGGCCATTGTCTCTCGCAAACCACCAAGCTTTTTTTGTTTTGCTTCAGTATGCCTTGGTCTACAAGCATTTGTTTTGTTTATTGCTTCCTTACGCTTTAGAGCGGAAACTGGCAATCCCACTGTATGCTCCTTTGTTAAGAGCTGTTAAATCTTTCTAACCACCAGAATATCATGCTGCCCACAAAGAAGTGATGGTAAGGCACCAGTGAAACGTTACAAGAGGGAAAGAGACAGAGAGCAGACAGTGTTTTATTTTGTTATATTATGTTTGTACAGTACAATATATTTTTGGAGGATATATATGTGTAGATGTGTTTATGAACTCAAAAGCGTGAAGAACAGCATGTAAATCAATATGCTGTGGACACTAATAACTCAGCTCAGAGTCATGAGATAAACATGAACTGGGATAAATGCAAGCACGTGCGTGTGTGTGTGTGTGTGTGTGTGTGTGTGTGTGTAACCTTGCTTTTGTTGACCTTTTCTCTTGCTAAACCAAAATTATTTGTTTAGAGATCATGTTTCAGGTTTAAGCATGTTTCATCAATGTTTGGCGTCTGTCTTGAAGGTAATGGATAATATTTAACTCGGAAAGGGACATTTTAGATGTTACTAATGTCTCAAACTAAATATGTTACCAGATAACATATAAACACATGCAGTTCTGTATTCTATAACTTTCTTAACCTAGAACACACCCATGGCCATTTCCAACCAGTGCTTTTGTACTTCTGTATATGGCAAGAATGTAAATTATTATGTATCACATTCACAAAACTTGACAATGTAGAATGTAATGATATTCCTACGGGTGTTATCACTTTGTAGTGACTTGATCTCCACCATATAAACCTGTTTTATATCCCTAATGTTGTAACACAAGTCACTGAGTGAAAACTTGGCACAGACTAGGAATAAATGATAAATTGTGAAACTTGCAAGAGAAAGATAGTTTTTCAAGGATTTCTTTGATCATTTTGAATGTGATGCAAACCCTCTATGACTACTGTAGGCTGAGTAACAGTTGAGAGCATGCACAGACCTGCTGGTAGTGGATTCAGTACATCAGAGTACTAATTATCTACAGATGTAGGTTAATGTAGAGCGTAATTTTCCCCTTACTTACTCTTCAGACTAAAGTGAAGGAGGCACTGTAAATAGCACTTTGGGGGGCATGTTAGTGAACATGTAGAGGTATAAAATCAAAAGCTTGCCTGATGGCCCTGCCTCTAACATGGCTATGAGTCTGGGGATTTTGGGGGTGGCATCTGGGCTGGCCAATCAGATTTAAGGGGTGGCCAGCAGATGACAAAACCGGCCATGGCGCTGCATTATGAGGAGCATATTTCCTCACAACAAGACAAAGGATGGAGGCTGCTGTGAGTGACCACAGTGCATCAGTAGAGTGACGTACAGATTATGCACTCTGATTGTTTTTAAAAACACAAACACTACTTTTCATACCGTCCAGCAGCCAGCTGTGGCCGCTCAGCTGTTCCAGTCGGGGCAGCATCAGTCTGGTCATAACATGGTCAGGCACCAGCATGCTTCTTTCTACGTAGGTCTTCACCAGCACACCTGCCTCTGACACACAACAGACAAACATAGTCAGTGCAGGTCTGTTCAAATCAAAAACAACACAGGACAGGACAGGGCTTGTTGAATTTATCCAGGCCTTCATAAAACAACAACAACTTAAGAGCACTGTAACTGTAATCTGACCAGAGACAAGTAAATGGTTAAAACTGTCACTGCAAACTCCTGCCTGTAACCTCTCCTGTCTTATTCATTTAAAACTAAATAACACTGGAAACTCTGGGGCCTGCGGTGAATAATTAAATCAATATTTATGCCAAGTCACTGGAGTCATTGAAGGAACACACCTATTGAACTCACTGGTTTATAAATCCTCAAAAAAAAGAAAAAAGACTCAAGTTACCCTATTTAGCACGTCAGAACTTTGGGGGGGGTATGTTAGTAATGGCAACCAAACACACATGTTTTTACTTTAGCTCTCAGCACTGAACTCTGTTTTATTATCAGAATGGATTTGGCTCACGCTGGGAATTAAATCAATTCCAGTTGGGTAGCTATAATGAAGAAGTTTAAACACACACATTCAACGGTTTAAGGTGTAAGTTTGGGGAAATAATTATAATAAAAACCTTGATATGGGGTTTTTAACTGGAGTAAGTCATTGTGGGGTTGGGATACTTCTGCTACTTAAGTCTATAGGCTCAACAAAACTGAAATCAAATAAAGACAAAATAGTATCTAAGTGTTGAATGACCTTCTAGGAAGAGTGGAGCAGACAATACACACATCTCACTTCCTTCTGCAAACAATCTTTTTGCAGCAATGACTTCATCTTTTTTATGACACTTTTGTGAAGAAAATTGGAAGAATTGTCAAATTCACACATTCAGGGTGGAAAACGACGCGTTTGTTTTCTGTAGTTCTTCGTGTTGGCATCACAGTATTGACGTTCGGGCTACAGCAGATGGGTAGAATTACCATACCTGTATTTGCTGCTATGCTCTCTCGCAGATAGTGGCCACTGGACAGATATTGCAGGCCAAAGCTTTGCGCAATCCTCTTGGATATTGTTCCTTTCCCTGATCCTGGTGGACCCATTATAGCAGCCCGGAATAACTTAGCCATGTCTTCCACAAACAACACAGGCTCCAACTGTAAAAGCTCTAGGATGCACAAATGGTGTTGTTCCTGTTTGTGCGCGAGAGAAGTCAAATTACCTCTTAATTAAACTCCTAACCGGTTGCACGCATGAGCGATCAAAGAGGTACAAACTATTCTTGTCAAAGTAAATTTCAACTTATCTCTACAGCCTGCGGATCTTTACGCAGAGCTCACTCTATGCGCACATCGGGGCTATCCTGCTCTCGGATCGAAGTCCTTTTCCTCTTTTTCCCCTCAGCTCTGTGATGGATACATTACGCTACTCTACGTCTTTAAGGAGAGACTTTTCTCTGCGAATGAATGAGGGAGTCGCCACAACGCCCTATTTTTCTGCGCGCATCATCCAGAAAAAATGCGGATGACTGATTCGCATGAATCATGCGGGGTAAACTGGTTACTGTAGTTTTCTATATACTATAAGTGTTGTCGCCTACAGCAGCAACAACAACAACAACAGATGAAGCCTGTTACTGGCTATAGTTTCCTTTAAGAGAGGGGAAACTGTAAAAACGTCCTTGCAAGAATATTATATCTGTCTATCAAACAGAAGGAGAAAGAGAAGGAGAAGCTTTTAAGAATTTTTCATAGTTCTAACTCAAGTTGAAAGCACAAATGTTGTTTTTATTACTAAAAATGAAATAAAATAAAATTCAGAGAGAATCCCTCTTTGTGCAGCAGGTTAAGACAAAGTCTGCATAAAGTTATTTTGATTCACAACTACAAATATGTTCGAGGGGAATCAGATAATCCCACCTTCAATACACGTTGAGGCTTGTTACAAAGCTTTCTGTAGTCAAGAGCTTAATGTCACAAATATATATTGAAAGCCATAAAAAAGCGTGTCAGTCAGTTTAATGTCACCTGACCCGATAAAAAACATTGATATTTGGTTAGAAAAGTGTAGTTATCCCTCTACAATAATCAACTTTCCGAATTATCCAAGAAAAGTTAAGATTACACAACTTTATTATAAACTTAAATAAATAATATGCATGTATGTAATGCCATTAATTGATACAAAAAATAGTTACTCTTGGATTCCACCACTTGTTGACAGCATTTCTCTGGAATCAGATTTTTTAGAATGAAGTTATTGTGGGTTATTTACTGCTTATGGTTCATAGGGTTATTATTGCTCATGGTTTTGCACTGCTGGCAGCGGGCGCAGAAAAGCACATGAGTCGCTGTCATACCGCGCAACGTTTTGCGGACGGGAGGACTCGAGTGAGTACTTGTTGCGAGCCATACGGCGGCGGCAGCGTCCCGGAGCTGTCAAATATTGCGCACAGCTCTCAGTCTTCAGTCAGTGGAGTAAGCAGACTAATCCACCAGACAAACAACTCGGAAGATTGACCGCTTTTCACCCTCGAGAAACTCATTTTTTTGTCTCAACACCCGGAAGCCTGTTTTTGAACCTGTTTGTTCATTATCAATTTGTCACATGGCTTTGGAGAATTCAATAACAACAAAAAATGGCGACAATCACGTTGCTCTGTGTGGTCTTGCTGCGTCATTAAAAATATTCATGTAAACACGGAGAATTAAACGGGGAAAACGCAGGTAAGTGAGCCGATTATTTGTTTTATATTTAACGCGGGGGGAATGTAATTAAGAATAAATGATTATATATGGGATCCATGCATGCATGCTGTTTGTTTTTCTCCTAGGAAAGGGGTGTGTATGCAATGCTGGGCGTTAACATTTGGCTGCACAATATTCACTACGAACATTGCATTTGGCTGTTAGTCGCTTTTTAAAGAGTGGCCCGAATAAAGCAGGTATGCATGTTATTGTGTGATGACACAAATAAAGGCGTTGTTTAGAGATTTGGCCAACTTTTTTGTTTATTTGTAGGAAACAGCAACAAGCTTTGGCACAGATTTTTCGCTGTTGTCCTTATTCCACGGCATTGGTATCGTATTGCTGCCTGTTACCTTCACTGTTAGTGGGTTATGAGCCATTCTCCACTTATTTACATTGTGGGTTTATGCAATATGGACGCGCTTTTCTTCACAGGCTCTCTTTTTTTACAGACACTGGTGACAACAAACGGAGCCCTCAGACACTGTGCCTGGCCTCAGCCCTGTTGTACTTATTATTACACATGTTGCTTTTTTTTTGCTTTTCGCGTTTTGACACGAACATTTTTGGCCCTGTGCAGCGAGGGGCTAATGGAGTTGTTTACATGAAGTGCGGAGGGCGGACTGAAGAGGAGGAGGAGGAGGAGGAGCCGCGACGTCGGCCAGCGACGCCACCGGACTGCTCGAGAGGCTTCTCGCGCCGAGGGTGGGGGGGCGGAGCCCGCGAGGAGAATCATAACAAGTCTGACGTCACTCGGCCTTGTGGTTGGTATGAATAATATACAGTAGTTTGTCTCGACCAAGTCCTAGCAGGAAAGGGGAAAAAAAAAATCTGCGTGGTTGTTTTATGAGATGAAACATTAACGAGCCCTCTGCGCAGGAGGCAAAGAAAATAACGAGCAGCTAAATAAACTAAATATGGATAAGTAGATTGCAAAAAAAAAAAAAAAAAAAACGTGCATCAGGATAGTACACATGACTATAAAGCAAGCATCGTCATCACATTTCCAAGAATTGTACAACGTTTGTAATTACAGATTCACATCCAGCAGGGCCACTGAGTTCAGATTACACATGTCGGGGTTGTGCATTATTGACAGGCCCACCCCTCAGACACAGGTAGACCTTTCATCATACATCATCGTCCTGTTGTACGTGCATATGGGAGCTGACTCCTATAACTCCCAAGACTTACTCCTGAGCCACATTTGCCATTGACTTTATTGACGCAGAGTGGCATAAGGCATATAGGACTGCTTTTATTTTCCACTGTTTTTCCAGTTCTCACATCCTCTTAAGAAGTCTGCATGTTTATTTCTGTTCCCCTAATGAAATTATGAAATTTAGTTCATGTTTTCTACCTTTTTCACTCTGACTGTGTTAGTTTATTTTCTGGCGTCTTATTATATTTACCCCAAAATGTGGAATTTTAAAATCTCCCACGGTTAGAGGGGCAGCAGACTTCCTGCTGGTGACCACTGGTTTGAAGGATATTTGTATATTTCTGTATATTGCTTAAAATCATTTATATGAAAACGAATGCTGGAGATGCAACGTCTATATGTTTTTTATAACAGAAAATAAGCTGCAAAAATTCAACAGGAAAAACTTTGTCATCTTTGCACCTGTTGACCTAGAGCACAGATATTATGAGTGGATGACGAATGGAGCGAAGCCCCGCACTGCTAGATTTGACAGGCTGCCCTGGTTCAGTTATCACAGTGCTGATGCTGTCCCCATCGAAGGTACAGTACTGTGATAACTGAAGGATGGCTGCCAACTTGACACGAGTGCAGTGAATCAAAGCACGTTCGGCTAAACGAGCCAGAGGACCAAAGAGAAGAAAGAAATGATTGTGGTAGGTTGAATTAGACAAGTTTAATGGGATATTCAAAGGTCTTGATCATTCACAAATATATATATACAATTCAGCTCAAAACCTGTAAATTAGTGTATTGCTCACTACATACTGTGTGTAAGTTCTGTTTAACTATAAGAAATAAAGTGAATTTTCTTTTATTTTAATTTGTACGTTCTTTTATTTATCTCTGCTTTTGAAAATTCAGTAGATCATAAATACAGAAGTTCGCAGCCATAAAAGTTATATTATTATAATATTGATTCCTTCTTATAGTCAAGCCTGATGACTCTAATGCTCATTAACTTTGCATTGTAATATACACACTGACACCTTATGAATATCAATTTTAGAATAGCTGTGTTCTTCGTGCTTTTTCTGGACTCGATTAGGTACTATGATCTACACTCAGCTCCACATTGTTGACAATAGGGGGAGCTAAAGATCCATTGCTGCTGTGCATTGTGGTCGACACAACAAGGTCTACAGCTCTCTCCCACAGTGTGATTTGTTTCTGAAACCTTAATAATGAACATGTTCACGCCAAAGTTGGTTAAAAGAAAAGTTCTCATTAATTATGAGTCATGTAAAATCAGTCTTTCATCTCTGACTTGCTGATGTGCTGATGCTAGAATGAATCAGGCACTAATAGACCATAATCATTTAGTAAATCTACACTGGCTATCAATAAGATTTAGAATTAATTTTAATATCCCACTGATAACTATTAGAGCATGGAAGGGTATAGTCCCTAGTTATATTGCCAACCTTTTAATGAAAACCTTTATGAGCCAGAACGCAGCCATGGATCCTTCGGAAAGACCCTTCTGGTTGTTCCACAATCGAGGCTCAAGACTGAAGGAAATTAGGCTACATAAATCTGTTTCATCTTTTAAATCTCTTTTAAAAACACACTTTTATAATCAAGCTTTTTTATTAATTTACACAGTATTTCCTGTGTATCATTGTGATTTATTTTGTATCATTTGTTATTTTATTTTATTTCAGCACACACTGCTATGTATTATGTTTTGTTGTGTCTTATGTTTTTCATTTCTAATATCTATATCTCTGATTGCTGGTGTGTTTTTGGTTGTATCTGTTTACTTCTTCTATTGCTTTTAATATTATTTATTGTTGCTGTTGTTTCTTGTCTTTTTTATATTTATTATAAATATTATTATATAGCCAAATTGTCTTAATCCAAGTTTGATAACACAAAAAATAAGCTGTAAATCATTTTTCCATCACTATGTGAATGAGGAACCCCCCCCCCACCATAAAACAGTTGATTTCTAATGAGAATCTCTAATATGACATCAATATATCGAAGATCAGCACATTTGTTCTGATCTTTGATGTCAAGACACTGAAATGAATCATGTTTTGAATAATGTATGCACTGTGAGTCATGTCTGATAAACCACAGGTCACTCTGCACCTGTCCTTAGAATGACAATTCAGAGGGTACATACTGTAGCTATGTGGAAATCCCCAAAGAGTCATGTTACATATTTTGTTTTTGTCTCAGTCTAACCTCAATCCGCTGAACTTGCCTTGATTCACATGTGTTTTTCTGACTCACCATGTGATATCTAGCTACTTTGTGGTAAGGCATATTTTTTGATAATAAAACCCAAAAAGTCGAGTAGGGTTTGCATTTCATGCTATTTTCTAAATGAGAGCAGGCATTCAATCTCACTAAATGTCAGACTAGTATCCTCAAATACTGTTCTCTAGTCATCTAAAACTCTACTTGCCCTTTGCGGCCATGATTATGGGGAATTTCTCTCGTACTTCCTTTAAGACAATAAGCGATAACTGGGATGTGGCATGGGAGGTCCTTAAAATGAACCACCCATTTTGTGTCTTCACATCCTTTTTTCATTGTAGGAAGTAAGTAGATAAGTAAGAAAGCTTGGGACTGATGTGAGAAAATACAAAATACCAAGCCTGGGAACACTTTACTGTGAATAAAGTAGAAACTATAAGTAGAATATAAACATATGATAAATGGTATATTACACATTACATTGAAGTTGTAAGTAGAAAAAAAGTGTTTATGAACATTTTTGTTAATTTGTCAAAAGCCATAACTCCTTTGTGCTTTAACACTTTAAAATGCTCTTATAGCTTAATACAAAAACAGTGAGTTCAATGTAGTAAGTAAGTACAATGGTTATACCTGCTCAGGGACGCTACATGTAGCTGACCTTAAGCTTAATGATGATCAGTTGGACAAAAAGTCATCTTTTCTTCTTATCTGTTTGTTTTCTGTTTTTTACTATTTATATATCATGATATATAAATGTCACTATACTTTGACACCTGGTCTCTACGTGTGCAGTCTCTGGGGAAACTCCATCAATTGTTTTTGTGGTGACATAATTTAGAGAGTTTGCTGACTTCCAGTTTTAAGCAAATCAGTCACGTCTGATTTTATTTATTTTTTTAATTCTTGACTTATTCAAAATTAGTGTATGAAATGAGATGTGGAGGTTGGAACTGCTTCTCCACTGGAATGCACTCACAGTACACAACCATATCCAAAAGGACAGTTATGCAAATTAGCAAGCGATGGGGCGGTGGTAATTACAACCATAGCTTATGACAACGTATTGTCAGGTTTTGGAAACTCAATCACAAAGATGATTTAGATAGTTCAAATGAGAACCTAGAAGGAACTACCTACATTTTTGCCTCCCACAAAAGGGCAAAGATGAATGATAACCCTGCTACAGAGTTCAGAAAGTGTGCATAACTAGGAAGTCCATGAAAGTGAAAAGTCCTTGTTTGTTCCCTGTCTTTGTCTTCATTTTTTCCTTACATTGACAATTAATTCTCTGGAGGTTTTCCTTAATCTAATCCCACCTCCACTCAAAAGTGTGTGTTGCTTATTGTTACTTTACAACTTCACAACTAGTTTGGAAGCCAATCATGGCCCAATGTGAAACTTACACAAGTGTGATGTAGAAACATAAGATAATTGACTTTACAGTATAAAAAATTATATTTTTGAAATTAAAATATTTGGTTTGTAGATTCTGGATTTTTCAATAAAGCAGAAGAAGTTGTTGTACTTTTTGTTAGAAAATTTATTATTCAAAACATTTAATTCTAGGTCTTCGAATATGTCTGGAAGGGATATTTAACCTTTAACCCAAAATGAGGTAGCTCAGGTACCTCAACCCCATTTTATCCTTAGCTAAAATCCAAGTATTAACCAAAACATTTTATTGAAATGTCCTCACCACGATGATCTGGAGCTTTCGATCACATGACACGGTCTTCCTCAGCAGATTGAATAGCCCAGTTGTCATGGGAATGTACATGAAATTTTTTTTGTGGCCACTTTTCAGCCATGTTGGACTACAAGTTGAAATTGAATGTTCATTCCTGACCTTGGAAACACCATTTGACAAAAAAATATTCAATATTATTGTTAATCATATGGGGACCATCGTTTTTTTTATTAATGTATTTATACATTTCTGTACCCATAATACAAGTGAAAAGACACAACCTTACTGCTAGTGGGTCCAACAACGACTTGATGTCGTCATCTTGAGTGACGGGCCAGTCAGCCAATCAGCTTCCGTATTCTACAAAGGGCCAGTGCGTTATTTTCGGGAAAGGGGACGTAACTTGTCAGGAAGGGTTAGAAAGAACAGAGGTGGACTGCGTCTCCGATCAAGCCACAAAATATCAACAAATACCGTGGAATTAACCCAATTTTCTTCCCTTCTGGATACTGGATCTTGTTCTTGGGGAGGTTTTGGAGTCAAACAGCCGACCAGCGATAGTTAAAATCCTTCGAGCGAGGAGCTCCAACTTAAGTAAAGCCTCTAATGTACTAAAACGAAACGGAAGTAACTTGCCAGCTGCCTGGCTAAGCTTTGCTAGGTGAGTAAATAACCTTTTATTTAACGTGTCCCGTCGAAAAAAAATATCTGTCTTCTGGTACACTGAACACATCTTACGTGTTTGTCATCTCCCTCCGCTGTTGTCAAGCGGGGAATATCCAGCTGCCGTCAGCTTTGGCCATCCAACTTAACTGGCTAACAAGCTAGCTGACGTTAAATCCAGTTGATGGCAACGAGACTCCATCCGCGTCCTGTGGCTTAATACAGGCACATAGATGCTGGGCTGATGTAACGTTTACAGTGCGATTAAAACTTAAACATTTAAATCCAAATTCACCTAGGAGTTAAGTTTAATAAATGTGATGCAATCCTGTACAGCAACGCCATCACAAATTAGGGCCTAGATTGTATAGAAAAAGTTGGACTCCCATCTAAAGACAAATATTGGATGATATAAGATTCACACGGACAGTCTGTGTCAGTCTCAAACCAAAACTGTGTTTACTCTCTGCCACAATTGAAAGTGGAAAAAACGAAAATATCTTTCTCTAAAGTCATATCAGCCGTCTTACATGCTTTCATTGCGCTTTATAGGGTGTGAACGAAAACTATTCTTAGTTTTTATCTCTAACCAGGGGGACCACAGGGGCCACAGGGACCCTGGGCCAGCACAGTAAACATGGTTTTAAGTGAAATGATGGTTAGATTTCTGCTAACTGGAACTTAACACATTACCAGAACAGGCAGTTTAATGGCTGTTTTCTCCATTGGTGTCACTTTAGCGCCCCTAACCTGTAATGGTAGCTGTGAAGATTAGTCGATTAACCCATTAGAAAATAATCTTTTTCAGGCAAACATGGCAAGAAAAATGATTGGTTTCATCCTCTCAAATGTGAAACTTTTCTGTTTTTCTTACTCCTCTGTGTTAGTAAACTGAATATCTACGACTATTAGTTTCTGGTCTGGTCTGACTAAACATGAGATTTTGTCATCGTGTCCTCTGGGAACTTTTTTAAAAGACATTTTTATACCACATGCAAAATAGGCATAGATTTATGGATAGTGAGTATAATTGTCAGCTGCAGCCATATCTATTATACAGCCCAAATATTGTACTAAATCATAGAGAACATACAAAATCCTGACAAGGAAGAGTAAATGGCTTCACACATTTGAGGTTGACAAAAGTAGGTGCTTCCTCCTGGGCTCAACACGTACATACACACACACACACACACACACACACACACACACACACACACACACACATTTTCTGGTTGTACAACCACTCACAAAAAATTTATTTCAAGCAATGAAACAACTGGTTTCTAGCAGTTCTCCCTGACAGTACCCTTGACAGAAACTTGAACTGTCTGACTTTGAACATTTAAAGCGCTTGAACCACAAAGTTACGTTTGATCTGCCATTTATTGATATCTGAATGCACAAGCAGTCTTAATTTCAGAGCTGTTTTATTTTTACTAGTAACACTCACATTGACCAAATTGAGTCATTTTTGACCCATATATTGGCTGTGGATAAGGTATTAGGTATAAGGATTAGTCAAAGATAGGGACATTTGGAATAAATTATAAGAAGAAATTATCATTAAATTGAAATAATGCAAATATGGAAAAAAATAGGCCCTCCTTTTGGTATTCACCGTGATCATTTAATAATAATTTAATATCAAAGAGTGCTAGATTGTCAATGTCTTTACTTGTAATAACCAAGTGGCCTCTGCAACATTTAGTTTTGTGGCCACCAGGGTTTCCCATGGACACAATAAAAGTCATGCACATTATTTTTTGCTGGAAGGGTTTTACTGTGAAAAGTAGCTACAGGAAGGAAGTTTTGAATCTGTGAGAGAAGATTGTGATGGGAAAAAGGAGCCTCATTCAATTTCGCTTTCTTGTTCTTCAGCAGCACTTTGTCCTCATCATTCTTGTGGTTTTTATCGCAACGTTTTTGACGTATACCGTCTTCAGACTTAGAGGGGAAGCTCTAAATTAAGTGATACAGAAGAGCTTTTTTGTTTGTTGGTGTAATATTTACTTTCTATTTTTTTTATTGTTTTGGACCAATATAGTGTATACATTGTACATACTAATTTAATTGTATACATATTAAAGCATTAGCGCAAGATGATGCATTAATAAGTGAATAAGGGATGAGGAATTATACAGTAAAGAGCTGAAAGGATGAATGATTTATCAGTTTGCTTGTCGACAGAACATTGTCAATTTTGATAATCTAACTAAATCAGTAATTTTTAAAGACATGAAATTCTGTAGTTCCAACCATCTAGCAAATTAAGTGATGGATTTATTAATCTAGAAAATGGTGGTCATCCTTGCAGGGCTTGTTACAGCATTTCATACTTTGTTTTTACGGAAAACACAGACACAGATGGAGGCAGTGTTTGTTCTTTAGTGTTTATTTTACCCACACCTGAATCACCTACACAACTGTCACGACTGGCTGTCTATCACTAGTTACATTATAAACTGCTCCAAGGTTTTGTTTTCGTTTGCCAGAAATAATAGGTCCAGTCATTTCACCTTCTTCAAAACATGGGCGTGCAGACAAGGCAGATCACTGAGGGGGGGGGAGGAGGAATTATCATCTTTTTCAACTGAAGTCGACTAATGTGGTGTATTGATTGCAAAACTGTAACACTAGTCAAACTGACGTCAGACATCATCAGTGCTGTACCAGTCAGTGTTATTTGTTAAAGATGGCTTTATTGATTGATTTGAGGCATTGTTAAATTGTGGTTCTTGTAACTATAGTACAAATAACATTTGTCAAAGACATTCAGAAGTACTGTGTTGAATTTAGGTAGAAAGAGGAAGAGTGAGGGAAATTAACACAATGATTAACAGACTCAGAGGCAGATGACTCACTGAAAGTCTCTTCTCGAGAAATTCAGTTGCAATAAATGAGAATTGACGATAGTCGGCTTACCACACATTACTTTGCGTACCCAGTGGTCATGTCTGACAACTGAGCATGTTCCCGATTGTATGATTTGAAAAATATAAACGTATACAAGCCAATATTTACTTTCTTAGCTTGGCAGTTGATTTTAAATATAAATAAATATGATCTGTTTAAGCTTAGTGTGAAACATAATGAGTTCAGCAGGGTAGAGTAATTCTCTTTCCTGCCTGTCACCTTATTAGGAAGTCAACAGGAGTTCTTACAAGCAAGAAATGACAGTGATAAAACAGATGAACAAAGACTCAACAGCCTGTCACACACTGTACTGTAGCTATTTAGGTCAGAGGGGCCAGGATGTGTCTCTGTCTTTCTCCATTTTCTCCTCTTTTTATGTTTGTGTATACGCCTGTGTGTATTTGTGACATCAATGGCGAATAGATGCATATGAAATGATTATCAGTGTTTGTTGATAGTTATGATGGAGTACTTTGTCAGTAAAATTGTCACGCCATTGTATTGTTATGCCCGACTGTTTTAAAGAAAGAATGTGACAGTCTTTTTTTTTTTTTTCCGTGGGTTAGCCTCGTGGTGTGTTTTTTATGCTCCTTGCTCCTTACTGTAACGTGATAAAGAATACAGAGTTATGGTGATGAATGCTGGCTAGGAGTGTATTCATTTGGTCCTTGGCATATTAGTTTTTTCAAGTTGTTATGTTCATGTATAAATTCAGTACAATTCAGTATCTACTCACTGCCTTCAACTAGACATAAAGGTTATATATATATATATACATACGAAATTCACTTGCCACTAGATGTCATACTAGAGCACCAGCATCTCAGACCAAAACAATGGGCGCTACAGCGAAACAGACTCCATTGACAAAACCAGTTACCTAGCAGATTATCATAACAAAACCTTAACTGAAGCAAAATAAAACTCCCCCAAATCATCTTTGTCTGTCTTTACACAGTCTTTCCAACAATCACCATTGCTGGTTTGGTCAAAATAAGAATACATCCACTAAAGGTGCTTGTATTTGCCACTGACAGTCTCAGATTGTTAAGTGTCTGACAACATTAAGAAAGGGATCCCTACAGAGACAGACCTTTATTATTAACCACAAACAGCCGTAATATCTTCATTGTAACTTAATTCAAAGTGGACAGAAACAAAACAATGCTCATCAGTTAGTCTATCCACTGTTCCAACTGTCACCAACTCAGGTTATAAATCCTTATTTCACAAATGTAGGTAAGAAAACAGCGGTTTCAGTCGCTCTCTTCAGACTGCATTTGTAAACAAAGCACAGACCTTTAATGCTGTACTAAGTAAGTCCAGCTCACCTGTGTATTCTACTAACACCTGCCTTACATCTGCTTGGAGGTTAGGTAGTCTGTTCAGTACACAGAGATCAAGTAAACAAAGTTTAGTCTTATGTCAGTGACCAGCTAAGATTTTCTGTGCCAATAACCTTTGGTCTGTTCTTTTCAAGGTTGGTTTTTCATAATAAACCGGAGGAGAAAGATGATGTTGAGCTGATGTTGAGTTCCAGTTGATTGGAGCATTGAGGGAAGGAGACAGGGCTTAGAAACAATCAGATGTATATAAATTAAAACAAAAAAAACTTGCTACTTAATATTCCTACACAGCATCTGTTCATCTAGCATTACTGAATAAAAGTGTCGGAGGTCCAACCTCTGTAAATAGTATTAGTCTACACCAGATTTGTCTTTGTAGTTGTCCTTCCAACAGAGCAAATAGGCTGAGCATTTTTAAGCAATGTTTTATTGGAGACATCAAATAAAGAGATGGGCAGCTGTGGCTCAGGTAGTAGAGTGGGTCATCCACTAATCAGAAGGTTGGCAGTTTGACGCCGGGCTCCTCCTGTTGCATGTCGAAGTGTCCTTGAGAAAGATACTGAACCCCAAAATGCTCCCCCATGTGCATTGCTGTATGAATGAATTAGTTACTGTTTGCGTCCTTTGCCATCTCTCTATGGATGTGTGTGAATGGGCATGTAGAGTGCCTTGAGTGCTCGGAAGACTAGAAAGGCGCTATATAAGTATGAGGGACCGGAGCCTCTCTGAGCCGTTTAGCTTAGCCACAACACATTCCGCATGGTTACGGAGAGTATGACAGCAGATCCTCGTGGCTGGTTAGCTCTGACTACCAGCTCGCTGTTCCTGCTACACTGCTGTGGCCAGTGTGTCAATCACTATGGTTGGTGTTGAGACCACGCCCCCTAACTGTCACCGTCCGTTGCAACTCTCTGATGCATTTTGGAAAGATTTGCTGAGAAGGAGGGAGCTAGCAGAATTGAAGGGTGTAGGGTGTCGGGTATCATAACATAATTGTGTATTTAGCTGTATGGGCGGTCAACACACCATTGAGTGCAAAACAGTACTGTGGGTGGACAGATCCAGTGTAAATGCTGATGAAGGACTGCTGCTGACATGCTGCTTTCGCTTTGCAGCCGTTGTAGACTCATCCAGTAATGATGCCCATACTCCTCGCTCCCCCAGCACAGCAACAATCTGTCTTTTGTGTTGATGTCATCAACTCAGTTGTGAGGCTGACGTCATTTAATGTGCAGTTTAGTGACACACCACTGTATTCTGTGTGCTTCTGTGGATTCAGGCTCTGAGCGATAATGAGTCATCTGGTAAATGAACATTGAACTCTTGAGTCTCTGCTGCTGTTTGCTGAGCTCACCACACAATCAATACTTTTGCCTTACTGTAACACACACACACACACACACACACACACACACACACACACACACACACACACACACACATACCTCTAGCACACTTGATGTCAACTACATGGTGGTCACCCATTTCTTTAGGAAGTATTGATTACTCAAGGATAAGTGTAGGACAGGCTAACCTAAGTAATTGTAGTGACCTTGGTAGTGAAAGCTCTGGCTAAGTTTTAATAACACCCACAAGACCTTTGTTGAAAATGTAAGATAATTAATAATATTAATTCTGCTTAGTAGTAATAACTTGTAAAACAGGGTTTATGAAGTCTGATTTACCATTCCACTGACCATCAAAACACAGTAATTTGTAGGGTAAGAGAAATTTGAATTGGGTTGTTTCCCATGTGTATTTGTATGTTTTGTGTATTTTTCTTACTTGTCTCATTTAGCCTGAATTTAATTAAATGTAAAGCTTATATTAGAGTACACAATATGAAAGCCAAAAGGTTGGTGCATATAAAAACTTGGACCATAAGTGAAACGTTTAATGTAACATTCACACTTCCCCTTTTTGTCTTTTTTACTTCACTTTTCCAGTGTCTGAATGTCAACTCTGTGGGTGATGGAGTTGAGCAGGCAACTCTGTGGGAAGATGAGGAAGTCCAGTAGGAAGACCCAATTCTCCCCATCTCCTACTTCCACTTCGGGCCTGGAGATCCACTTTTACACATCGGATGTGAACCAGCTGGAGTACCTCTGTGGCTGCTACACTGCAGAGGAGCTCTGTGTGGAGGCTGCCAAAAAGGGCTGTGAGTAACTGACCTGTTGACTAGTTGGACTAATCAAGAACTGCCCGCTCTGCTGACTGTTGTAATCTCTATTTATTTCTAGTAATGAACGATGTGCTGTAGATTTTACTCTGAAAATAGTTTCATATACATAGGTGCCAGATAAGTTGGGGATAACAGAATCACCAGGTTTACATCTTAGATCCCCATTCTTAAATGACATTGCATTATGCTTAAAGTGAATTATAATTAGTGGTAATGTTTTATTTTTATACCTTTTGGGCTCTAATAGTGACATATTCTTACATACCATTAGAAGATGCTGTCTGCCAGCTGTTGTCTTTGGTCCTGTCCGTACAGAACATTTTTGAAATAAAAAAACAAACCCATCAATAGCATGTAGACATATGAACACAAGAAGAACAGCTGGCAGAGAGATAGTAAACTACAGGCACTAATGCAAGAACATGAAATGCCAGAATGCAGTTTAGAACAAACCAACCTGATTACAACACATTCAATAAAAATACACAGATACATTGCAGTACTCATTTATTATAGTTAGCCAATTTATCAGATGTTTCTCCTCTCTCAGCCTGTGCTGTTCTGTAACAATTGGGCTAAACCATTAACATCTTTTAACAGTTATTTTATTTGCACCTGTGGCCATAAAGTTGAGTTATTCTGGCTCATTTCTCTAGAAAGTTCATAAAATGTGGCAATGCAAAGTAAACTTCATGGATAAATGTCAGAATATTAAACCACGCTCTGACAGAGGAGAACTTCTCCCTGTCGTGTTACTGATCTCAGATCAAGATGAATGTTCATTACTGCCCTTTAAGGGCTACAATTGAGCTGTCAACATGTGTCTCTTTTCATTTCAAACATCTGACAGTGTGCATTAAATGTAGAAATTTGCAAGTGTTCTCTAAACCCAGGGTCCTAGATTTCATCTATGCCTAAGTATTAAAACATACAGTGTAACCAATTGAGACTGACAGGGTGGAGCATGTAGATCGTTCTGTTTATTTTGTTTTATAAGCATATTGTTTGGTGTTGCTCTTATTAAATCTCTCGACAGTTGCTGCACATTGGCCTTTGTCCCAGCCCAACAATTGGCCTGAATATTGATCTTTGTTCCTATTTCCTCTTTCCCTTCTCAGCAATCTCTCCCCTGTGCCATAACCTATTTGCCCTCTACAATGAGACAACTGGCATGTGGTACCCGCCCAACTATGAGTTCAAGATCACAGATGAAACCAGGATCAAGTTACACTATCGCATGAGGTAAGTCAGCGGCTGACTAAATGTTTTTCTAGCTGCTAAATATTTGCATAAAAGAATTTCTTGAATTGAATCACTTCAAATGTAGTGTAGTCTTCAAGATAGTGAAAATATTTCAAAAATATTGGGAGATGAGGGTCCAGGGGAAGGGCAATTTAAGGACCTATATGGAACTCTCACATCCGGAGAGAGCAACCTTGTCTGGTCTACTAATACTGGGGCACCTTTGTCAATCGAGCGCCTCCACCCAGCTTGCAAGATTCTAGGGAACTGTGGATTGTAGTCAAAGGCAGGAACCTTGGCATGCTGACTTGTGGCTATGAAAACTGGCTCCTGGGATGTGGAATGTCTCTTTCTGGTGGGAAGGAGCATGAGGTGGAGCAATACCAACAAACCATGTACCATAGTGAACCAGTCTGCAGGCCACCCCTGAAGTAACTATTGTTGAGCCAAGTTTTTACATAAAGCACAAGCTTTGGGGCCAAACTCATGGATCGGGTCTCCTTGTGTTTAATTGTGGGTAAAAGTGGGTGAGAGGACCCATGGGGGAGTTCAAGAGTGAAGAAGGGTTAACAGTTTGATGATCTGTGGATTGCATCCCTGTGACCTCTAGTGCACACTGAAGTTGTTTGAATCCAAACAGGGATGATAGCTAGGACCTCCAGGACAGGAGCCATGATACTCCAGAAACGATTGTATGCTCCATTCGAACTGGGTGCAAGTTTGAACCTTGAGTGCAGGAGTTCAAATATCTTGCTGTCGTTTCATGAATGATGGTAACATGGCACATGAGTTCGACAAGCAGATTTATGTATTAGTGCTAGTGATGTGGAAGTTTGTTGAGGGAGCTGGACCTGAAGGTAAAAGGCAGAAAATTACATTCCAACCTTCATCTTTGATTTAGGAGCTCTTAGTAGTGACCCATGGATGATATCTGGGTTTCAAGTGGTTGAAATGCTTAAACTGCTGATCCTTCATATTTAAAATACTTGGAGGTCACAGGGCGCCCGGATGGCTCGGTGGGTGGAGCTGGCGACCCATGTGCTGAGGCTGAGTCCTTGCTGCAGCGGCCCAGGGTTCGAATCCGACCTGCGGCCCTTTGCTGCGTGTCATCCCCTCTCTCGGCCCCCCTTTCTTGTCTATCTTCAGCTGTCACTACAATAAAGGCAGTAAAAAAAAAAAAAAAAATACTTGGAGGTATTATGGGTCCTGACTTTGAGACCAGTTTGACTCACAAGAAATAGGCTATTGGTATAAGTTTGGCATTCTCCTTCCTTTCCACTATCATTTGGCTCGTTAACCTTTTTTTAAAAATAAAAATGAAAAGAAAATACCTATTTTGTATTGCAGGTACATCTGCATGGTTTTCTAACTAGAATAAACAGTAATCGAGTAATAGAAAATATAGCTTATTTGTTGCATATGTAAGATATTGGTGAGTAACTGCTCTCACGGTGTCAACCTGCTCCCGTCTTTGAAGTTCAAGCACATGTCCCCACATCTATCACCCATTCACAAGTCCTGGGTGTTTCATATATAGCAAAACATATAGCATGCTGGGGTAGAGGCAGGCATCTAAAATAGAAACATGTTCAAACAAAGATTGTCAGGATACGTGCAGATGTGAAATGAGTAAGGCAAAGTCATTAATGCACCTTGTGACCTTGTTAAGAAAAGTGCTATATAAATAAGGGTTACTATTATTATCAGTTTTACAGGTTGTTAACATTACACACCAATGTGTACACTTGTCAGTGCCAGGTGTGTATAATGCCAGTACTGCTGACAGGGGATCTGGAGCATATACCACTAAACTGCATACAGTTTCATAATGCCATAAAATCCTTGGCATTATGGGTAAACAATTTGTGTTGTGACTCAGGAGCACTGTAGTTCTTGTTGTATAAGATTATAACATTCCTAGTTGCCACTTTAGCTCAATAAGAAGAAAGAGAAGTGAAAACAGACAGATTTCAGCAAAGGATGAAGCTCAGCAATATTTCTTGAGAGCTTTTATACCTTTGATCATTGGCTATTATAATCTCAGAATTTGACGAGGAATCGAAGTGAGGTATATCATTGACTTTTTAAAGTTATGCAAGAGTCTAACTCCATGCTTGACCCTATGATAAGAGACTAAACTGCTCATTATATCCATTTGTATGAGATTTGTGACTGGAAGGCTGGAGTGAAAAGTTTTTATGAGACAGCCCAGCAATGTCATATTTGTACTCGACTAGAAAAGTATCTCTTAAACGAATCCAAAGTACAAGTTAGGTGCATGCAAAGAGGAAAAACAATCCGACTGTGGTGTCAATTGCACTTCCTCTTTCTGTGCTCTGCTTTGACAGTAGCAAGTGGAGAGAAAAGCGAGTGTGCATAGAGTGTAACTGTGGCTTGTGGTGTGTATCTATTTGTGTGAGCTTGTGTATAAGTGTCTTTTGCTGAAGCCTGCTTTGCGTACTGTAGTTCTGCCAAACAAGCAGGGTATTGTGTTCAAGTCTTGATACACAATCTTTATTATAAGCAAATGCTTAACACAGACACACGCACACGGATTATAGTGTCACCAGCATGGATTCCCATCAGTGCAAAAACTAAAACAAGACTCGAGTCTACAGCCACGGGTCTGTGAGGTAGAGCAGTGTTTTTATCTGAATGCTATCATGAGCATGCTGATATGCTTACAGTGACAATGCAGCAGGTATTAGGGCTCCCTCCTAATAGTCGACTTAATTGTTGAGTAGAGTCTTAGTCGACCCACTTATTATTAGTCAGAGACTCGCAGAAAAACAAAAACAATGTCAAACTCTGTCTGGGAGCTGCGCCTTGTCACCGGGACGAAAGTGTCAGAGGACTCTTGCAACACAGACCTTTTCTCTTGTAAGACAGGGAGTCACTTACTGGTACACTGTTGCATGTGCTAACTGTACTAGCTGTCGCCACCAGCTGATTTACAGCGGCTCCTAACAGGACTATTATATCTCTGGGCGGGTTCAGGCAGCGACGTCAAACAGGAAAAGGAGCGAGTTTGTAGCGTGTTAATTTGTAAGTAACTGTTAACGTTATACATCATCCATCGTATCAATATAAATATTAGTATTTGTTTTTGTGTGATGTTACACTGTGTTGAAATAAATGTACTAAATGTTCAGTCTCCTTGGTGGTTGTTTGCAAGATGGCTACTTGTGATTAACAATGTTGTCCCAAAAAGGGTGGACTGGGCTCTCTCTCTGTGTAGTTGGGATGTTTTTCCATGTGTCTTATGGGTTTCCTGCCACAGACCTCACTGTGGCATTGTCACTGAGTGTTTCTCTCTGGCCAATAAAATTTCAGCAGTCGTGTCATCAGAATATGTGTGCCAGTTAGCTGAATGTTTCTCTGTCAACTGCCACTTGTCTTGTCTGTGATGCAGTGACAGTGATGATGTATTTCCTCTGAAAAGAACGAGCTAGCTGAAATATGGCTTCATTTCAGAGAAAACAAGAAATTAGGTCAAAACCAAAAAAGGAAAAAACTTAAATGTTCCCCTGCACTAAAGTTCTAAATGGCTGGATGATATTAGCAGTGCAAGTGAGAAAGCAAGTGAAAATGGGCATGGGTAAGTGTTAGTAATAGACATTTTTATACTTTAATTATTACATATAATACAGGAGGCAGTAGAGCACTTCCTGTTCTATTGTTTCTCTGTGCACATTCAAGTGCATGACAAACCTCATACACAGAACCATCTGGGAAAGTCATTGTTGGAAAATACTCGGCACGTGATTGGATGAACCATCTCTCTGTGACCGTCTGTCACCGGCGACCTTCAACCAATCAGATCGACGAACCATATAACACTAACCCACCTCCATAGCTGTAATCTTGTGATTTTGTGTTGTCACAAGTCCAGCTGCCTCACAAGGTTAGACATCACTAAAGGCCAAAATCCACCTTCCGTTCAGGCAGTAATTTTAAAACCTAGTACTGAGTTCCTGGACATGTGGGGTCTAAATTAGTGCATTCAAGAATAGAATAGCTTTCTGGAATTCATCAAGCATAAAATAACCCAAAGCCAAAGCCATGTGTACTTTCTTGCATGCACACCCTGTAATAAGTCTTGTTAACTTGTCTTCTTTCTGTCTCCTGTCAGGTTTTATTTCAGAAACTGGCATGGCACCACTGAAGAAGAGTCTCCAGTTTGGAGACATTGCATCAGTAAACTCAAAAGAGGACATAGCCCACAGAAGACACCAGAAGGGACGCCCCTACTGGACGCTGCCTCTCTCGAATACCTGTTTGCCCAGGTGAAAAAAAATAAAACAATCACTAATGACTTTCTTTATAGTGTCATGGGAGAATTCTCTTCACTTCCTCATTGTTGCTCATATGAAGAATAGAATATCTTTGGGCAGACCACCTACAAAATCTGACTATTAAAAACGTTTCTTTCTTTTTTTGCATTTATTATTTCTTTCTTTGAAATACCTTTTTGAAAGTACATTCTGATTAAAAGCTCAAACATCAACACAGTTCACAGTTGAGTTTCAGAACATCAACAACTGGAAGGAAATGTAACAATACCAGGAAGTGCAGCTTTAAGGTCAGCAATAGACAGCAACATCACCCCTTCTGCAAATTTAGAGCCACTGCTGTCAAATCAATTATGTCAGTCCATTGGAATATAAAATGCCTTTTAAAGTAGCTGTCCAAAATGTAATAAACCCGTCTAACTTCCCTTTGTTTTCTTATTTTATTTGGTCATCTTGACAGGATTTGTGTACCACATAAGGCATCAGTCCATACAGTTAGGTGTTTATGTTATGTTTGTGTTTAATGTGTCTCTGTTTGCTCTTCTACTAAATATAAATGTTTGTTGCACAGGGCCAGCATGACTTTCAGAAAGGCGTGGTTCCACTGAGGGTGTCCCAGTCAGAGGCAGAGCAGCACGAGATAGAAAATGAGTGTTTGGGCATGGCTGTTCTTGCTATTACTCACACGGATATGGATATCTCCACTTCCAATGAAATCAGGTAAAACCCACACATGCCTACACACAACTACACGATGTAGCATGTGCTCGAATCATTGTTTGAATGGTGCAACTTCAGTGGACTGGTGATTAAGATCTTAAAATAACACGCATGTTTAAGAAGCATAGCCTTCCAATGCCATCCTGGGAAACTCATGTAAATTCCAGGAGGAGTATAGTCACAAAATAGATGTTGTTTTACTCAGAACACTATCAGTACTTCTTTCAGAGAATCAAGAGCACGGTGTGATCCTTTTTTATAGTTGTTTTGAATTTCTAAGACATATCTTACTAGATTTAGTGCTAGGTGGCACTGTCATTTTGCTCCAGTGAGCCCTGCTCCAGAAACGTAGGTTGAGAATATACCATATGTATTGTTTACACTTAAAAAAAAAAAAAAAAAATCAATTTGACTGGGGGAAACTTTATTTGGTTCGGTTTATGGGATTCTTCCCCCCACATTTGAAGCTTAGGGAGCCTGTAGATGTACAAGAATTGTTGTTCATACTGTAGGACTAAAGAATGATAGTCACTAATTAATGACCACTCTTTAATTCAGTTTCCAAGTGGTCACATATTATTTTATCTTATCTTCAAAACACTTGAACAAACCATAGAAAGAACTGAAACAAATTTCTCATAAATTAATATAATATTATATAATTATATATACAATCTTTCTATCTTAATCCTACCAGCTACAAACGCTTCATCCCTGAGTCACTGAACCGCAACATTAGGCAGCGCAACTTTCTGACACGCATCCGCATCAACAACGTCTTCAAGACATTCCTCAGAGAATTCAACCGCCGCACAGTCAGGGACAGCAACATCACACCGTATGACCTGAAGATCAAGTACTTGGCCACACTGGAGGGCCTGACCAGTGGATTGGGCAGCGAGGTGTTTCAGCCCATATCGCTTGGTGTAACGCAGGAAGGGGATCTCTGCAATGGAGGTTACTATGGTAAGATTTCAGGTAGATAATTTCAACGTTTTCAGGCACTGTGCCAGATTTGTGGCATGCATACACCCAGGGTGGGGTTTTATTTGAGATGTAGTTTTACAAGAATTATAGGAGATTATAGATGACTAAAAGAGAGAAAAACTTTTCTACCCTGGTAATCTCACTGGGAGTGGAAGGAGATTGATAAAATTATCATTATTATTATTATTTAAATTATTAGGCACAATGAGAACAAAAGCTGAGATGATTATTTGTTTTTATAGTCCTATTGCAGTTTGCATCAGCTATATTGGATTATGGTGGTTATGTGACATTGGTTTGTTATAATGGTATGTTTACTTGCAGAGTGTCTGTGGTATATTGCCCACAATTAAAAACAGTTTGAACTTTGTTGACATCCACATATCTAAAACGTTGTGTGAGTTTGTGCAGATGGTGGAAACCAAAAGTGAAAGAAACAAGATGTTTACATGTCACATTAACCCATTTATCGCAGAGTAGACCAGACCCCAATGTGTGAAGCTTTCAAGCACTGATGCAAAACTGGATGGTTTGAGTAACCTGCTTAAGATCAGAATATTCTTTCAATTTAAACATACAGTAGCCATAGTTTCCCTGGCTTCACTCATCTCTGCATAATCACCGAAGGATTGTCCAAATGTGTCCTCTAACTACTGCATTTGAATAGTTTGGCTGCATTCGTAACTGCTGTGGTATATGGTTTGCTTTCTGTGTTCCAGGGTACTACAACCAGAGCCAAGGGCAGAATCAGAGCATGGAGACGAGCCATGACATGCAGGTCCTGATTACTGGTACCACTGGTATTTCCTGGAGAAAGAAGCCTCCTACAGTAAGATAAAGTTTGATAAAGTCATCAGTATACTATTATAGGAACAAAAAAAAGAAACTTAACGTAAAATCTGTTTTATGTATCTTTAAAACAGGTACCTGTGACCTCTAAAGAAAAGGCCAAGTCAAAGAAGAACAAACTGGATGGAAAACAGAAAAACAACAAAAAGAAAGACACGAGTGAAGGCTGGGTGGTGTTCTGTGACTTCCATGAGCTTACCCACACTGTCATCAAAGAGGCAATAGTCACCATCTTTAGACAGGACAACAAGAGGATGGTGAGTAGGGTTGTGTACCGACAAACTTAACCATGGTATCTACTGCACCGAATCATAGCACAGCTTTCGGTGCCATTTAAATGCCTGAGCTGTCCATAGAAATAGTTGTCTGGTGTTGACGTCACAGTCAACAGAAGTGGAACCACACATGACATTGCTAGATAACTGTTTTAAAAGTATAATTTTAGCACTATTGTCGATACCCAACTCTAAATCAAAGAGCAGTTCCATGTGGCATCAACCTTTGATTATCACTTAGACCCAAATCAGTTTGTAGTAACCCCAGCTGTAATATCACGTTTATTTTGAGCATTACATTGCCATTTATAACATGAGGGTGTGACTGCATAATAGAGAAGTATCACACTAAGATGGAAGTCTGGCTGTGTTTACATGATATATTCTGTAATGTTCTCTGTATCCAAAACAGCTGGAAAAGGATTAACTTTACAAATCTCCTGTGGTTTTGTTGTCTCAAAGGCCTCAGCGTGTCAAAGTAAATACCATTGTGATACATCTTAGTAATACTCTTCTCACCTATTTCAGTAATCTGGACCACTGCCTCTACTTGTCTACATAGTTAATGTTAACAACTGCAAAATTTGTTTGATGTAGCTCATGTTGAAGCGAAGCCCACAAGCCATGATTGATAGTGATATCATGCGTCATCATCAAAATGGATTTTGATTTTTGTGATACACCGCCGCTCTTTTAGATGGTCCTTTGGAGTATTGTGGCTTTAGAAGAGTTACTTTTCTGATCACTCTCTTTCGTTTCATCTCTCTTGCTCTCTCTTCTCTTTTCAGGAGTTGCAAATGGCTTCTAGAGCTGAGGCGTTGTCCTTTGCGGCCCTTGTGGACGGGTACTTCAGACTGACAGTGGATGCCCACCACTTCTTGTGCAAGGAGGTGGCCCCTGCTTCAGTGGTGGACAACATTAACAACGGCTGCCACGGACCCATCTGGTTTGTACTGCGTGTTTCCTCACAAAAACACAATGTTACTGGACTCGGGCAGCTTTATTACTCACATTCATCATAAACCATCTGTTGCTTACCTTAATTTGTATTTGCCTGCACCCTGTATGCCTCCTACCTTCACAGAGATCCCACACTGCTTTTAGAAGTCAGCCTAAATTAAGGTTTTGTGATAAAGGTTATTGTCACTGTTTTTTTGTAAACTTTGGTTTGTCTCAATGTTGTTTTTGTTACTGTACCTGACAGGTCAGTTCAGTCACCAACAGATTTCTATCAGCATCTGTTGTTCAGGCATTGTATTATTTTGTTGTTCTATCTCTATAAAGGGTTTAGTCACACAAAATGGATTAAAGACAGGTAGACGGATAACTTTTTAACCCATAAAGGGAAAACTGATTCAGTCTCAGATGTACAGGGAAAAACTAAATATAGACAACAAACAACGCTCAGTATTAAAGACATACTAACTATATATATATATATATATATATATATATATATATATATATATATATATATATATATATATATATATATAGTAATACTAACCGACATTATGTCTTGTTTGTATTAAAGTCTTTTGTATAACCCTCAATCTACATTTAATAGAATTCCCCATTACTGCCCCCATTTATTGAGTTTTCCCCTCCCCAGTACCGAGTACGCCATCTACAAGCTGCGTCAGGAGGGCAACGAGGAGGGCACCTACATCCTGCGCTGGAGCTGCACTGACTACCAGTACATCATCATCACTGTGGTCTGCACTGAGGTAGAGTAGAGTTGTCCATATACCTAATACTATATATCTTCTTCAGACTCTGGAAAACTTGGAAATGTGAGTGTGATATGCATAATTGCTCCATTATAGTATAATAATAAGTCAATTATAGTTGTTACATGCATTAGTAGAATGAGTATTGTGAGTAGTATTATATTACGGTATTGTAAATATTTTCAGATTACAAACAAATGGCCAAAAGCTTGCTGACAGGTGTCTCACTCAGTGTAAACTGAACATTTATTTTAAAATTAAATATAATTGAACTGAATTATACTTCAGTAACTGGTAGGAAACCCAAAATCAAAGTGGTGTGATTGTTGAGAAACTGAAATAAGACAAACATTCCTGTGTAATCACGTCTATAGAATATAAGTTTTGAAAAACAAGAATGGAATCAAAACCACCCTTTGTTGTCATATTTCTATGGGCCTCTCTCTTTTCAGTGGTGTGTGGCTACAGTAAAAGACAATATGAATGAACCCTGTATTATTAGCACATTAGGTAATGACTGGCATCTCATTGAGGACTCTCTCACAGGCATACACACACACACACACTAACATTCACAAAGCTTAGCTTGGGCCAGCCACTTACACACAGCCACCACTTACACACATTATATGTACGGGGACTGAATAAATGTGTTATAGCAGTGACTCATTTATATGTTTGCATGTGTCTGTGGAGCTTTAACAGAACTATAAAAAAAGGAAACCATTGAAATAGAAATATACTTAAAAAAAACAAAACACTCTATGACCTCTGTTTTTAAGATATGACATTAGCTTTGCTCTCTTTCTGCATCCAGCTCGACCTGAGGGAGTCTCGTCCTGTGCGTCAGTATAAGAACTTCCAGATTGAAGTGGGCAGCGATGGGTTCCGCCTGTACGGCACTGAGACATTTCGGAAAACTCTCGGGGAGCTGCTGGAACACCTGGAGGGCCAAAGTCTTCGCACTGACAACGTGCACTTCCAGCTGCTGCGCTGCTGCCCTCCACAGCCTCGAGGTAAGCTTAATCCCACCAAAGACATAGGAAGTGACATGGTTGTCCACTCAAAGGCACATGCAGAAACACTCAATACCCAAACAAAAGGATGCTAGAAAAGGCTCAGCACAGACCTTCATTGTCTGGTAAGCCATGCTTTTAAAAGACTTACAATAAATACTAAAGGGCTGACTTTACAGTAAAAGTATTTCTGTTAAACACACAGTATGCACCCCTGTTTAGTTTGTTCTTTTTTATTCAGCCATTGACAATGCACCTATTACAGGAATTCTGCAGAACAACAGCAGTAATGGAGTTTATAGAAGATAAGAATAATTGATAATAGAAATGTGTAAAGGATTGACAACTGAAAACCCTTTATATGACTACTTTTGCAACATGCTGAATCATGCATAGTAGTCACCCACATCCAGATATCGTTTAAGGCAGTTGCTGGATCAATGTCACTAGTGGATGTCCCAAGAAATTGTACTTAAGGGAGCTGCAGTGAGCAGACCCTTTTTCATGTTTTCACATTTGCACCACAATGCTTAAAAAAAACAACTCTATTTAAAGCTGTTGTGTTAAAAAAAAAGATTACAAGAAGTGTGATAGTTGTGGTAGAAGATATGAGGTGTGTGCACATGGGGAGATCTAAACCTAACCAGAATTATTATTATTATTTATTTCATATATTTCATATGAGTTATATTATCATCATCAGTGGGCATGCAGTAACATGGATTTGTAAATATTGGTTTACAGCAAGTAGCTTTGTTAATAAATACTGAAAATGTTCTTATTAAAGCTATCAGGGTTGTATAAAAATGTGTTTTCTACCCTTGTGCAGTGCATGTACCCTTGATTTATTATCAATGGGAAATCTGTCTGTTATTATGGTCTGAAAACATATTCCTCCTAAACGTTTGCTTCACATGGCTCTGGTTAATTGACACTTTGATTCCAATGTCCTCATTGCAAGAAGCAACAAGAAAAACTTAAGAAAAAAACATTTGAAGAGTTTGCAGCGTTCACAGTCTTTAAAAATAGATAAGTACTACGGCAGACTGAAAATCCTGCTTGCTCTTGCATCTAGTAGTACGCCTCCTCAGTCCACACATTGTGCAGTACAACACTTCTGTATTTACTATGTTGTGCAATGCTGCATCACAGCTGGGTGTGGTAACAAGTATAACAGACCACACCTGACTATGATATTGGCAGGGGTAAGAAGTGCAACAGATTTGAACCTTTCAACCTGTAGAGGTCAATGAAGAAAAGCCTTCCCATCATACAAGACTTAAAGTGGAATACTGTGTGTGTGTGTGTGTGTGTGTGTGTGTAGGTGTGTGTGTGTTTGTGTGTAGGTGTGTGTCTGTGCGTCTGTGTGTTTGTGTGTAGGTGTGTGTTTGTGTGTGTCTCACTAACTGAGTTAGAGACACTGGCATTAACAATGTGTGTGTGTCTGTGTGAAATGGTGTCAGGGAGGAAGAGAGTTGTAAATGTGGGTTTCCGGAGCCAAACTAGCACTCTTGTGTTTACTTCACTCAGGGAAAGGTGGAGACTTGTGTGTGCATGGATGTTGAGCTGTTATTGTTTGTTGGGGTTGTGTGGTGTTGATTATTATCATAAGGCGTGACTATTTTGGGTCTGAGTTTATGCTGTGTCTGGGGAAGATAAAAGACTGGAGTGCTGTGTTGTTGTCCCAGTTAAAATATTTATAATCCATTATACAACATCCATGCTGTGACTGTAAAACACTAGTATGCCCAAATCAGAGAATACGATACAAACAACTAACTTTTTACATAGTGTTGTTTCGGGTCTATGCATGAATTTGAACTATTATGAAAATAATATAAGGTAAGTATAGGATGACAGATGGGTGAGAAGAAGGACTGCAGGGTTTGAGAGTGGGCAGGTGTGTGTGCCTGACTTGACGTAGTAAATAATAAAGGTAAGGCCTGGATTAGGTCAAGCGGTTAAGCAGTGGGTGCAGTGCAGTATCTAATATTTGATGATGTGGGTGCATGTTGTATTTTGGTTTTGCATGAAAACACAGATTGCATGTTACGGAACAGTGCTCTTAACTGCGCTTTGACGGTGAATGTAGGATGAGGCTGATGGAGTGCAGATACCTTTTCCCTCTTAAACCACAACGCTCACAGCGTTAGACACCCACAGATGCACACACACACACACACACACGCAGAGACCCACACACACACGTATAGTACGGGAACAGGCACAAAGAAACATTTTGACTTCAATACTCCCACACACAGCTCTGTATATACAAAAAATAAACTGAATCAGTATGGTAACCCGACCTGAAAAGCTGTTCACATCATTGCCACATTGACGTAATTGTTGAGAGCTTGTTTTACCACATGTAAACACAGTTTTGCTTTCATGCTAAATTGCAGAGCATATATAGGCTTCTATACATTTGTAGCATTCTTGCTTGCTGTGAGGCTGCTACAAATGTAGCATAATGTTTGCTTTTATTGTTGTCAGAGTGCACTGTTGTTGTATGAATGCAGTGCAGACTTCTCGAATCAGTCTAAACTTTAAAATAACATGACCTTGACAACAATACAAGCAGACAAGACATTCTCTGTTGGGACCTAAAGCAAACATTGTCAAGTCTCTGCAGTTTGCTTTTGACAAAGAAGAATCTGAAATGTTATCATACTTGAGTCATCTGTATTATAAATAATATATGTTTTGCAGCATGCACAGCTTCATATAAAAATCCTGATATGGCCCTTTTTAAAAGTGTGTGTGTGTGTGTTTTGTGTTGCAGAGGTTTCTAACCTGCTGGTGGTCACTAAAGAACGAGCACCAGCCCCTCAGACACCGACGTTGGAGAGTCCCCTCAGCTTCATTCGCATTCTCAAGGAGGATATTGAACAGGTATACCTTCTCATCTCCATGTGTGTCTCTTCTATGTTATGATGGTAATGCAGTCATTATAATGCACTTATAGGATGTCTGCAGATGTAAGATACAAAACTCTACAAATAAATAATGTGTGTACGTCCATATTATGTATTACAAAGTTTTAAATGATTGTAGATGCATTTTTATGCTACAGTTTAAGTGCTGTGTTATATATGTAACCGAGTGACAAAATATTAGAAGCGCCTGTAATATAATGCAGTCCAAAGACCACCAGACTCAAAACATACGACAATTCAACACACAAACAACAGAAATTGTAGCGTTATCGCATTTGTATTATCAAGTTGTTTGCATTAATCCACACAGTTGAACGTACCCCTCTAACAACTGATTAAAATTCTCTTTTTTCATGTACTTTTGAGTCATAGTATGTAAGAGAATGTGAAGACACTCATCAGGTGTCAGTCATCAGACCTCTATGCAGATGTTATCTTTACTGGTGAACTTACATATCTTATGTGTGTGTGTGTGTGTGTATATATATAAATATATACATATCTCAGATTACATATTTGCATATCTTCCTCACAGAGCACACAGCTAAACTCATGTCTTTCTACCTATAAGTGCTTGTCTTTTAATCCCGAAGAACATTGTACAAACAGATGTTGCCTATCCTCCAGTACAAATGGCACAGACTTTTTATCTGTACAGAAAAAAATGATTTAACCCTAGCTGTCTTCTTGTAGTAGCCACAGTTTGGGTACTGGATGTAACTATTTTATCTAATGCTCCGTTTTCTCTGCTCCCTGCTGTGTTAACCAGGAGGAGCACCTTGGCCTGGGCACAAGAACCAACATCTACTCGGGCACACTGAGGGTGAAGAGTGAGGAGGACGAGGATGCAGGTTACTCATCCTTCCAGGAGGTCAAGGTGGTCCTGAAGGTGCTGGGTTCTGGACAAAGGGACATTTCCTTGGTAAGAGACCCAGATAGTTCTGTATGTCCTTGCACACAAAGCTAATACTGTACTCTGTATTTAGACATATTTGTCTTTGTGTTGACAGGCCTTCTTCGAAACAGCCAGTATGATGCGACAAGTGTCCTACAAGCACATAGTGCTTCTGTATGGAGTGTGTGTCCGCCACCAGGAGAGTAAGTGCATGTTGATAACTGTGTCTGTACACATTTATGAGAGTGTGATGCCATTTGTAACATCTTTGACGATGTTGGTGACGTTCTCTTTGTGTTTGTGTGCAACAGATATCATGGTTGAGGAGTTTGTCCAGCTTGGACCACTGGACGTGTTCATGAGGAGACAGCAGAGCCAACTCAGCACACCTTGGAAGTTCCAGGTGGCCAAGCAGCTGGCCGCAGCTCTCAGCTACTTGGTGAGACAGGAAAAACACACACACACTTACACACAAGCTATAGGTCTGTAAGCATGTATTTTAATAATAATAATAATGATAACACTTTCATTTATATAGCGCTTTTCAAAACAAGTTACAAAGCACTTAACAAAATATTAATAATAAGTATATTAAGTATTAATAAAATACTGCGATAAAATGCAATGAAAGATAATAAAACAAACGGTAAAATCAATGAAACAAACAGTAAAATCAATAAACAGCTATACTAAACATGAGTTTTTAGAAGTGACTTAAAAGAGGACAGTATGTTAACCTGCTGGAGGAGATCAAGGAAGCTATTACACAATTGACAGGCCTAAACAGAGCTCTGGAGTCGATTTATAACTCCCACTTTCCACACAGAATTACCTCCACGAAAAATAAGAATGGGACCAATCTCAAACCCAACCTGAAATTCCTACCCATTAACGTGGTGCTGGTAATCCCATACCAAACACCCATGGGATTACCCGCACCACGTTAGGTCAGTTCTGTCAACATAATCTTATATATGCCCTCTCAATTGTGAAGTAACTGATTTATTGTATTTTATGTGTGTTTGTAGGAGGATAAAAAGCTGGTCCATGGCTTTGTGTGTGCTAAAAATATCCTGCTGGCCAGGGACGGACTGGGCACTGATGAAGGAGGGCCTTTCATCAAGCTTAGCGACCCAGGAATCCCCATTACCGTACTCACCAGAGAGGGTAAGTACAAAGTAAAGACAGGCACATTCTCTCTCACTTACTAAAAGTGAAACCTAACTGGTTACAAAATGGGTACAATGGAACATTTCACAATAACTTCCACTTTCTTTTCCAGTCAGCTGTAAATGACTGTGAAACCAAAATTAAATGTGCATTAAACGCTGCAACTGCTGACACATACTGACGTTGGATGATTAATTACTTACTTCAATTTTTTAACACTTTTAACTGTTTCATATAAACCAGTAAAATGCTTGTTGTAGCTGCTTATATGCACTACGATGTCTTCTTCTTTCAAAGTCATCCTCTGTGACCTAAATTCTTACCACAAAATACAGTAACAAGAAAAAAAAGAACATCAGTTCCGATCAAGCAGAGGTCGTCAGTAGTTGGAATCGTATTTGTCACATAATCAATACACACTGGCCACATTTCCCTCTCATACTGTAATTTATTTTGTTAAAGCTAGATCTCAGTTCAGGGAAGATGGCACAACAAGGGCATTTCTCAGATTGCACAGTTCCCCTCAAATGGCCGCCTCATGTTTCTGTTTGTCTATTAGAGCTAAAAGGTTTGTGTTATAACACAGTGTGATTGTACAGATGGATCTGCAATCCGCAGGACGGACTGGAAATGTTTCTGCACAAATGTCCATCACCACACACCCATGGGGATGCGCCTCCCTCCCTCTTTGTTCCCAGAACTCTTTAACATTTCTTCTTCTGTCTCCACCAATTTGCGGAATAATCAGTGTTCCAGTTACACATCAATGTCCTTGTGCATAGATTTGATTGAACACAGTGGATAAAGTGTTCAGAAACCCACTGGGAGGTTCCCTTTTTCCCAGCAATCTCTGATCGCTTTACTCAAACCATCAAGTCACTTCCTCACTTACTTTCTTTCTTTGTTTTTTTCTTTCTTTTGTCCTTACACTCAATTATCTTCTTCCCCTCTTTACTCCTCCTCATCCTTCCCTCTATGTTCCAGTCTGAGCTGCATGCACTTACTAACATGCGCCCTTCTGATGTTATGGATTTGTTGAGCCAAAAGCTAACCACGGAGGTCAGCCAATCAGTTTGCATCTCTTCCAGTCAGAGCAATATATTTCATCCAGACGATCCCAAGGCTTTTTAGATTCAGTGGATGCAGTCAGGCAATATTGGAACCCGCCAGGTCAGCGTGTCAGTGCTATAATTGACCATTGGTTCATGGTATTTGGAGCATGGCGAGCGTATGTTTGCTCAGATTCCATGTGGTCACACCCTAAACATTACTTCCAAAAAGTACTCTTTATAAATATCAGTTATTAGTTTGCTAATTTCTTTATATAACAGAACTTGTTAACAATTCACTGTTGATTGATCTGTGAAATTTAAATGAGTGAAATTGTCCAAAATCACAAATTTTCCTTGAAGGGCTTTACAATCTGCACCACATACATTACCCTCTATCCTTAGACCCATGACGTGGACCAAGCAGAGAAAAGGAAAAACTTCACAAAAAGCAAGTAACCTCAGTTAGAGCCACATACAGCAGCAGGGATCTGTCTTATAGGGCAGACATACATGCAATATGTGTCAGATATAAAGAGAAATAACAAGATTACATAACAGAATTATAATATGTAGAAAACGACGATATTAATCAAATGAAAAACGTATGTGAAGAATATGGGTCACAGAAGACATCAAGCTTCTTTGAGTGCTGATGTGTAGATAGAAATATGAACGTTAGAGTCTGATGAGGACTGGGTCAGTATGGTCTAATACAGTTATTGTTAGTGATATTTCTATGTGTTGAAGGCGTCAGGAAGTCAGTACATGTTAAAAACCAGTCAGTATTTCACACATGGACTAAACAATCCCATTGTTACACAGAGGGCAAGGTTTGCCTTTGAGCGTCTCATCACTCCGAGCATAACCTTCATCTTCTCTTTCGTCAAATAATATTGCGTGCTCTATATTTCCCACATCTCCGATTATCATCTTATGTGTTTACAAAGACACAGGGAGACTGAATCCATCTTTGTTTGCCTCTGCAGAGTGCGTGCATCGTATCCCATGGATTGCTCCGGAGTGTGTGAAGAGCACGTCTTCCCTGAGCGTCGCAGCTGACAAGTGGGGCTTTGGTACCACCCTGTGGGAGATCTGCTATGATGGCGAGGTCCCCCTCAAAGAGAAGAAACTCACAGAGGTAAGGGGCACACCCAGGAACTTTGTATGACAATGGCTGTATATAATCATACATACATCTTAACTAATACCAGCTTCTATTTCAAATCTGATGGCTAGCCTACACTTTATATTTATTCCTGTTCATTTTCTTACTCCTTTTCCACCTCCTCTATCCACCATCACACATCAACATTAACTTTGTTTGCAAGCACCTCCGCATTCATATCTATGTCTTTGTGCTGAGCAGAAGGAGAGGTTTTATGAAACAGAGTGCCAACTGGCCACTCCAGACTGCAAAGAGCTGGCTGAACTGATGACCCACTGCATGAACTACGACCCCATGAAGAGACCTTTCTTCAGGGCTATCGTCAGAGACATCGACATGCTGGAGGAAAAGAGTATGTATGAGGGGAATGTGTGTTTTCATGGGTGCAAATATGAAGTAAAACCTTGTTTTGGTTCTGCAGTTTTTGGTTCTTTATTGTCATAGAAACAAGCTGTTCTGCCTTTTGGGTCTTTCCCAACAGACTGTATGTTGCAGAACAGGTTAAAGGGCAAGTACAGGTTGAAGAATTCAAGGCAGTTGTTAACAGTTGTAATATGATATGAATGTTTTGCATATTTTGTATCTCACCTAACAGCAGCCTCGTACACAGTGCAAAGAGAGAGAGACAGAGAGAGAGAGTTGTTTACTCAGCTCTGATGTTCATGAGGAAGTTCACTAGGTGCATTACCACTGATCTGCCCCTCAGCTGGGCCCCACAGCAACATAATAGTCTCTGTTCTTCCACCTGCTGGCCAGAATCAGATACTGCACTCAGTCTTACTGGAGATAAAGTTTATCACAACCCTTGACATTCTTACATTAAAATCCCAAGATGGCTGCAAAATCATGAAATGAAATATTGATACTAAAAGTTTGCACCTAAAAAGACTCCAAAATCAGATTAAAACTATTTTGGTTAAATAAACAATTTTATAATCATTGATAATGGTGATACAGAATAAGTCTTGCTTGAATAATGAGTTGTCCTACTAAAAGTAGCCATTTGTATGCAAACTAGAGCAAGCAACAGTTGTATAACCACAGAAAATTCTGGTGCACACTTTGACACTTTAAACCACAATAGACTTCCTATGACGCAAGTGCACTTATGTTGAAGAAAAGACATGTTTTACCCAACATGTTTCATGTATTTGTTTCTTTTTCAATCTCATGTTTCATGTATTTTGCTACTTCTCTCAGATCCATCTATCAAACCCAAGCCTACACCAGAGGTGGACCCAACTGTGTTTGAAAAGAGATTCCTGAGGAAGGTCCGAGATCTTGGAGAGGTAATCTGTTCCTGATGGTTTTGTGCTTTTGTGTTCAGCTCTATGTAGCAGATCTTAGCATTTTATAAGCATAATTAAAATGGACAATTTCCAAATGCAGAAATAAAAGAACTTGGCCTTTCAGTTAACATGTATTGGTAAATGTTTTTTAGATTAAATCTATAATCCCTTGACGAAATACAGACAATATTAGTTACAAAACAAAGATAAGCAAGAGCAGAAGCAGAACTGAAATAATTTAGGCAATACTGAAAAACAACTAGTCACACATGCAGTAAATGGAGCAGAACTTGACCATTATCATCCAAGTAACTTACATTTCTAACATGTTCCTCATGCAGGGCCATTTTGGTAAGGTAGAGCTGTGTCGGTATGATCCTCGGGGCGATAAAACGGGCGAGCTGGTGGCAGTGAAGTCACTAAAGCCGGAGAACCGGGAGGAGCAGAGCACCAACCTCTCGCGTGAGATCGACATCCTGAAGGCACTCTACCATGAAAACATTGTCAAATACAAGGGCATCTGCCAAGAGGAAGGTAAGGCGGAAAGGGTGTATCCACAAAAATAAACACGATTACTAACTATAACTACTTCTATTAGGATTTTGAACAGAATATTTTTTTCATTTGGATGATTAGACGAGTTGTTGATGATTCTGAAAATATTAAAATAAATATTAAGAGCCAGAGTCTGTGTTCTGCTTGTTCAACAGGTGTTTGATTAATTCATCTCCTTTAGTTACATTAGTTGCATTTACGTTGTTGACTCCAGTAAAATTGATCCTGAAGTCTGTTTGATTACCTCTGCTGTGGGCTCTGCTGTTCACTCAGCCCCACCTTCGTGCAAACAGGCAGCAAGAGATGCAGAAGCTGCTTCCTAACGGTTCTGCTCATTATTTTTTCTCTTTTCCAGAGGAAATCCACTTTCACATCCACTTTCTTCACCGGTAGCTCACATGTTTATTTCTGCTCTGTGTTAGGCTGTTAGATTTATCTGCAGAGAAAAAATATCCAAAGTTTATTAACATGATCATGATCATGAGCCTGTTTCAAGATTGTTTTATCGCCCAGCCATACCCTCAGAATGGCAGTAAGTGTTTTTAACTGGCCTCCTGGGTTGTTATTCATTAACAATAACACATATAAACCAATAATTATTTTTTGTGAAAGTGTGATTTTGGGATAATTAACTCTGAGACTTGAACATAATGATAATACTTGAGGCACAAACTGTTTGTATACACAGACACATACACACAACATCTCTACATATTAAAGCTCAGTTTCTGCTGATGAATTAATGTCTCTGATTGTATTTATGTGTAAATCTGTTTGCAGGTGGCCAGGCCATTAAGCTGATCATGGAGTACGTTCCACTGGGCAGTTTGAAGGAGTATCTACCCAGACACAAAAAAGACACCAGCCTCAGCACCCTGCTCAGCTACTCCATCCAGATATGCAAGGTAACAATTTCTCTTCACAGAACTGTTTCCTCAGACCAGCTGGTACCATCATGCACGTCTGTGTCTTATTTCAGCATTTAACTGACTGAAAGTAAAATACCAGCCGTTGGCCTTTAGACATTAACATATGACCACTATGTAGTTAAATAACGTGGACATTTTAGCACCCAAATTGCTGTTTTTAAATGTTTAAACACTTCCTATTTAGATACTGGTGGTGAAGGGCCTTCTAAAACAGTATACATGTGATTTGGTAAAGGTATGAACAGGAATCTTCAGTGGTTGTTGTTTATAGTGTTGTTAGTTGTTGGCTTTGAATGATTTATTTCTTATTGGCCAAAAACACAGCTGGTCAAACAGCTCGTTTAAAAATATAACTTATTGATGAAGGCGGGGCTGAAATTTAATGTTGTAACAAATACGATCGATATGTCAGGGAAACTGTTCAGGTGTCAGACCAACATTTAACCAACATGGCTGGCAGTGCATCAAGTGTTTGAATTATTAGATATTGCATCAGGTGTGCGTCCTTCAGACTGGCTGGTCTTCTCCCACCAGACGTGCTTTAGCTTTGTTTTTCTGCATCTTTCAGTCAAAATCACACAAATCCACAGGCTGCGCTTCAATCACTCGAACCCGCTGATCAGTGACCCTGTTTGTTTTGTTTGTTTGTTTTGTTCTTAGGGAATGGATTATCTTGGATCTAAAAATTACATCCACCGGGACCTGGCTGCCAGAAATGTGCTGGTGGAGAACGAGAGGACGGTGAAGATCGGAGATTTCGGCCTCACCAAGAGCATCAAGGAAAATGAGGGATATTACACTGTCAAAGATGAAAACGACAGCCCTGTTTTCTGGTGAGTCGAGAGGAGGAAAGGAGATGGAAGTTAGAAAAGGAAGGAAGAGAATAAAAAGGATCAGAAAGGAGTTGACTGCAGACAGGCAGCATATGAACTGAGGAGGGATAATGTTGAGGAGAAATATGGAAGGTAAATTAATTAAAAAGTCCTTTGAGCGTAAAGCTAAAGAGCTGAAAGGACTAAGTAGCATTGAAAGGACAGAGAATTAAGTAATGAATCAGGTGCTTAAATTATAATGGACTGGGTTTGTATTAACAGAGCTGCAATACTTTTAATTACAGCATACAGTGAATATTTAAAATATATTGTAACCCTGGTTTGCATAAAGCATCTTTAGAAAATTTGCCTTGAGTAAAATTAGACGGAGACTATATATTTTTTTTTTCATCAAATACACTATACACTAATATTTCTTGATGTAAACACCGATATCCATAAGTACTTTGCAGTGGCTGGGAAACAATAATCTGCACAAAAAGGAAAAAAAAAATGTTTCAAAAAGAGACGTCCAATAGTTTTGTGTCTTATGGGCAAATGACCCTCTGTCTCACTTGATTTATTAGTAGCGTAACAGTTTCCTAATGAGTTTATGGTTTAATTTTGAGTAAAACGGATGATAAAGCAGGTTATGCTTTATCATAACAATTCATTCTCAGTGAGCTCTGACCAGCACTGTCTAGTTTGACTATTTGATCTAATAGGAATCAAGATTCTGTTACTGCTTTGCAGAAACATAACTTGGTGTGTTGTGTTTATCTGTAATACGAGCCGCCATTGTTTCCTGCTATGGACAAGTCAAAACCAAGCGCAGCCAATTAACATAGTTCAAGACGCAGTATGTCACCACCGTTGACTTCAAAAAACGGACAGGACGACAGCCATAATGCCAAAACTCAAGGTTTAAAAAGAAGAACTTGGGGGTAGGGTCTCACTCGGAGGGCATCTGAAATGTGTTGTTGCCTTTTGTCTCTGTGGTTCATACTGCATCTGACGGTGTATCATACCTTTATAAAAAGCGTTAAAGCAGGATAGTTTAACAACCCACAACTACTGTATGTGATATTAACATTGAATATATGAATAGAAACACAAGGGGAGTCTTCATGCTCTTACTCTTCGTCTTTCAGGTATGCCCCGGAGTGTCTGACGCACTGTAAGTTCTACCTTGCCTCAGACGTTTGGTCCTTCGGGGTCACGATGTACGAACTCATCACCTACTGCGACTCCTCCAAGAGCCCGATGACGGTCAGTATGCGGCGCTCTTCACCCTCGCACAGGCATTCAACAAACACTTCTAATCCTTGTTGTTTATTTTTGGAAGCTTGGATGATGATTCCACAGTAAACACATACAACACATACTGTACCAGTCTTGTTGAAATAAAGAACTGAATTTATCACAGCATATCTCTCTCACGCACACACACACACGCACGCACACGCGCACACACACGCACACACACGCACGCACGCACACACACACACACACACACACACACACACACACACGTCGTTTGTATGTGGCAGATGGTGTCGGTCTTTGGCCAGAGCGGCAGATGACAGACTCCACCAGGAGCTGTGTCCAAACTCCAGCCTGTGCCAACACTAAAGAGCTTAGTTTATCATGAAGATCTTTCATTTACATCAGGCTTTTAAAGTGCCACTGTTATCCTGACTGACCCGTAACTACTGCTGGAAGGTATTCAGTAACAGAGACCTGCCCAGGTTAAGTGAATGTGAAACAGGAGAAGAAGCAGAAGCTGAACAGTAAAAGCTGTTGGAGCTCTCTATTCACGGTCTTTAGCCCGTTTTCATGTTTCATGTCTGAATAAAAAAAGAGCCAGTGTTGAACATTATTTCTTTTGTAACCTGTCCTTTTCCTCACCCACGCAGCTCTTCCTCGGCATGATTGGTCGGTCTCAAGGTCAGATGACTGTCATCCGACTGGTGAAGGTGTTGACAGAAGGGAGGAGGTTACCACGTCCCGAGGGCTGTCCAGAGCCTGTAAGTCTCCTCATTACCAACGCAACACAATGATAACGACACAGATTTTATGTTTTTTATGTTTTATGCTTTATTTACAAAAGGAATGCAAAGCCAACAGAAGGAAAGGAATGGGAACAATCAATCAAAATGTTTTGAGTTCTCAGGTTAGAGAGGTAAACTTAGTGTTATTGGCGTTAACCTGACCGAGCCTTCCGATAAAGGAAGTGCTGGTTGTTCTGATATTAAGACTTAAAGATGATATGTATAAATATTCAGCCTCTTACACTCTTTTAGTTGGGTTTGCTCGCTATCAGTCACCAACATCAGTGGTCTCAGTACAGTCATTTGAAAATACTGTGCAACACTACTGTTATAACTCACGGCCATAATGTCACTTCTGTGAGACCCTGACGAGACTCCATTTCATTTTCTGAGTTTTTTTTACCCTTTTTACACGGAGCAGCTAAATTCTTAAAACACACACTGAGCATTTGTCATCCTGATATTAAGTGCACACGAAACGTCGGTAATAATGTCAGTCCTACGGGGGTTTTACAGTATATGAGTACATTTATCTTGAAGTACAGGCTGCAAAGTGTCTAGTGAATGTTCAGCCATCCAATAGATCGTTTTTTTTTTGGCTGGTAAGGGAAGTAAATCTTCCAGCCACTTGGATATTTTACCAGCATTTGGTCGCTGGCTGGTGCTAATTTTGTGCCCTGCTTAAATAAACTTTAAAGTAGGGACGCTTGTGCCTCTCTGCTTTCAGATAAAATGACAGATTTTATATTTGTGGGAAAAGAGGTTACACTGGTATCTGCTCATCCCTTCTTTAATTATTCAGAACACCTCACAGAACTACCTTTGAACACTTACCTGTGCCACCTTAAGGGAAGGATAGCTGGATAGCAGCAGCAGTTTGTACTCGCACACGTAAACATGTTAACGTCTCCGACTACATGCAGAGAAAGTAAGCTGCTGGAGTTATATAACCAGGGTTCCTACACAGTACGGAGTTAGGTTTTTTCATGCTTGTTTCCAGACTATTGTCCCTATTCAGTTTTTTGAAATATAAAATCATACAAGACAGCACAGACAAACTGTTTACCACTGTAAGAGCGAGCTTGATGTCATGTATAGCATGTGACTGAAAACGTAGAAAAGGAAACGGACAATCTTTACAACCTTTATGACGGTGTTCATCGTTTCCATGGATACAGTACAAGGATGTACAGAGGCTATAATAAAATACATAGAATAATAATAAATATAGCATACATAGTAAGAATGTAACGTTCATGTTAACAGTTACATTTTAAAAACATTTATTCACTTCATGATCTCGCTATTTGTACTCGGATGTCAAATATTGCAAAAGTTTGGAATTCTGAGATGGAAAATGTGTAGGAACCCTGTATAACATTTCTGGCGCTTGCAGGCATAACGTGTTACAGCTGCAGCTTATTTCTTCAGTTGGGTTTGACATTTTATTTTCCACCTGCAATCTAACACAACTCATGTCTGACAGGTGTACGAGCTGATGCGCAAGTGCTGGGAGCAGTTGCCCGAGAGGAGAATCACCTTTAAGCGACTCATCGAGGAGCTGACCGTCATGCAGCAGCAGCTCCACAATGACATTTAAACCTTTCCAACTGCTTGAGGCTCTGGGACTGAAGTTGACTTTGCATGCAGACTTGGGACCAGATGTAAAACTGACCCCAGATCAGCATTCGCTTGGTGCAGCTTCACAGTACTGAGAGACGGTCTTGAAGGGTCTGAGCTTGCATGAAGCCACGCTCCTTCATACTCACATATAAACCTTCCACAACTTTGGTATAAAGTCTTGAAGTCCTACTCAACTATCATTTTAGTCTGCCATATTTCTAAGATTTTTATTTCATGCTCTCATATGTCATTATTTGGATGAACATGTTAATCCTTTTTAAAATCATGTAGCCTTAGCCCATGCGTATGTGACCTTATATCTTATAAAGGACTTCCAAGTGTATCTAACAGATTTAACCGTCTGCATTGCGAGAAATGTCAAACTCCTGTGGACGCTCGTGTAGTGTGAAGGCCTTTATATTTGTGCGGACTCGTGGCCGTTGTCACTCTCGCTGATGGGAAACGAGCACAGAAAGGAACTGTTTAATGCCTGCTTTCACATAGTTTAAATGGTTGCGTAGGGATTTTTCTCTGAGGATGGAATCATGTTGAGAAGCGTTTGGAAGGATGAGCTGAAGAAGACGGGACACAGGCATTAAAGCAGATACTGAAGATGTGGTTTTTCAACGTTTTATGTCGCTTGTTTCATGGAGAAAAAAAAAAATCGCCTGATTGTTTTCTTTCAGAGAGCCATGTAATGACCTGTGATAAATGTTTGGATGTTCATCGTGTGCAGATGCCAGCAATCAGTCAGCAATGTTCCTTTCACTGCGTTCTTATTGTTTTAGAGTCTGACAAACAGTTTGTCATTTTCGAGTTAAAATGGTGATTGATTTTAGCCTCTCGTCTGTTGGACTAAACAAGCACTTGGAAGAAAAGAAAAAAAATCCAATTTTTTGCCCTGTGTTGAGCTTTTCGAGGTCCTCTGATTGTTTGAGGTGATTCTGTTTATAATCTTCTGTTCATTAAATAATGTAATGGATCTTTAATCAGGACCTGTATGCATCTGATTAGTTGCATCTGAAATATACAGCACTTGCTAAACCGTGTTAGTTGAGGAGTGAGAGATTAAGTACCTGGGAGAGACACTTGAGGGCAGCATCACTTCACTTGTCCCAGTTTTGTAGATTGTGTTAAAGCCACAAATACTTTATAAAATGTCTGTCTACTATTCATAATGTTGCAAAAAAAGAGCCATTTGCCATTGCTGCAGATTGTACATGGAAGGACTTTAAATGGTATTCATGGATTGTGAGAAAGAATAATCAGTGATTATTCACTTGGCATTTTATGTTCATTTGTTTCCAAAAAATATTATTTCATCATACGGTTCATAACTATGTCTGTGCATTTTATTTGTATCTTTTTATTTTTAATTCTCCAATATGACCCAACATGTATAAATACAATTTCATGTGTGTATGCAAAATGGTTTGAGCAGAGGGTTTTTTCTGTTTTAAATTCGACCGTTCAGTCAGACGTTGTCAAGACTTCCTCAATGCAACTTAACGTAGCTTTTAATGTGAATGTTGGCAGAAAGGGAAAACAAAAGGGCCGTCAAGAAGACAAAATTTGCGCTTCAGTCCACAATTTATTTAGGAATGTAAAAGACAATTCCTTCTGCTCAAAATAAGAGAAAAGAAATATATATATTTTTCAAAAAAATAAGACAGAATGAGTTATGGAAGGTAAAAGTATCCATAAATACACAATGAAAAAATAAATAAAGTCAATGTTTGTTGTGTTCTGTCTGTGTCAGTCCAAATGCAATATATTATTAACTAGTGAAAACAGTTTGTTCTATATATTACAGTTGCAAGTAAGCATGCTAAGATTGCTCTAGAAACCTTATTCACAGTAAAACAATAGCAATGTCAGTGTGATATAAAATTTTGCAAAATCTACAGTATATCTCAGGTCAGAAAAAAATCCACATACTTAAAAAGCAAAAAACTGTTTACAAAGCAAGAAGCACAGCAAATCTAGATTTATCTACAGCCATTAAAATCAGAAATACTTCAGTATTGCAAAGCTTCGTGATCAACACACTCACACACATACACAGTCATTCACTATTGCAAAGTCCAGTCTCAGCACTGACCTTGTGTAATATGCAGAATACATACAGGTACAATGGCAACGCACTGAAGCTCAGAGAGGCTTCATTTACACCAGAACAGAAACATCTTAAGTGATTCAGCTGTGTTTGTGTTAATCCTACAAAAACAAAACAAATCACAACTAAACTACACAAGACTACAAATAGGACTTTCTGTTCTGTTGTAAATGAACTCAAGAAAATTAAAATCGACTGCATTTTCATGTCAGTATCAGAGTTTATTCACAACTAAAGACCAAAAGAAAAAGAAAAAAAGCACAAGCTGCATTTACACGGAAACAGAATTGATCCTGAACTCTCCGAGGTGCAAACTGCAGCTGGCTCACTAACAACGTTCCAAGCGTTAGACGAGATTCAAGAACATCTTTCACTTCGAGGGTGTATCAGCGGACTTTGTTTGTGCTATGTTGGTTTCGGGGAACCGGGGCCCCTTTGTGTACAATCATCATGAGGACGTCACTTCTAGTTGGTGGCACAGAGAGGCAGAAAAATAAGAAATACAAGCTTTTCTCCATCAGTCCAACCGGTCAAGAATACACAACAAGCCCCAATAAAAAAAAAGGTCTGATTTCTACAAAGGTAACCAACCACAGACAAAAATGTTTTCTTCCCCACTTGTAGAACTATTTGTGTTTTAACCATCATACTGAAACTGTGGGAGGAAGCTTTAAAGATAATATTGTAACATCAGCTAACTTCCAAAATTATAGATTTAGTTGACAAACTTCAGCATCCACACTTTAATGGTCGGTAACTGAAGTCCTTTGTTGAGAAAAAAACAACACACAACGGAGATTACCAGACATGAACCAGACATGCAAATAATCTGGGACCAGCCTCACCTGTTACACTAAACTTGTATTTCCAGACAATCTGATTGAATGGTACACATTAGCTGGGTCCCCACTCACTGGCTGGATGTAAGTATGAAGGCTGGTGGATTCTACGGGCACCTCTCTAGACCTTCTAGCTTCACAAAGACCAACTAACTGTGCTTTAGGGAGTCCTCACAAACATATTAACTTAATTTCAAAAGGTCAACAAACTAATCCCAGTGTTTAAAGACCAGTGCGTAGGATTTAGTGGCATCTAGTGGTGAAGTTGAAGATTGCAACCAACTAAATAAAACTTGGCTTCCATCTAGAATCTTACACACTGGACCTTTAACTCAAGCTCCGACTTCACATTGATAGAACGCCTAACGTAGTATGAACACCTTACCATCTCTCTCATCAAACCACACCTGTACTGGTGAGACTGTACTGGTGTATCACAGGCCCACACAGCGAGGACCAACGACTGAATGACGACCAAAATAAAGACAAAATCAGTTCTCTGGGAAAAACCTGAACAAATGTGCTCACAGCCACACGTCCTGCTGTTACTGTGTTCACTAGCTGGGTTCATTGTGCAGTTTTATCAGTTGTTTTGTACTGTTAGTTATTGTTGCACTGAATATAATATGAAATATCCATAAAATGTGTTACTTAGTCAATAGAAAAGGGGTCCCTTAAGGAAAAAGGTTGGGAACCACTGCACTACAGCACTAAATGGGCTATAATCCGCAGCTGAAAATAGTCCAAAACAAATGCACTATTTAGTCATCTTTGTGTGATGTTTGCTAAAAACTACAGCACCCAGCTGTTTTAGGAGATTAAAGCCTTTTAAAAAAAAAACCACGTCTTCCGCAGTAAATGGGCTTGGGGCTGAAAACCACATCCCGGTTTATGAAAGTCAGAAAGTATTAAGAGACGGACTAACACATTGTTGGTTTTGGTCTTTTCAAGGGATTTGTTGACAACAACAGAAACACACAATATCATCAGCCTCATCCTTTAAATGTGATTGGGGCAGATTTTGTGGGATTATTCAGCACAAAGCCGCCACATTTTGCACATCCCGTGACTGACAGGTTTGGAGGCTCGGTGCCAACTGTGACCTTATGTGTCTGAATCTGAGCGGCTACAATTAGACTGCAGTCAGATATCTGTTCACCGGGGAGGGAGGAATGGTGTCTGTCAGTTGGCCTGCAGTAAAAAAAAACAACACACCGATTGTTTCTTTCTCTGCTGATATCGGAAGAGGCTGGACCTATTGACTCCACAGGAGGGACAGTAATAAGCATAAAAACACGAGGACAATAATGCATTCGTGTAGATTTTGGATCATGCTCAGGAGAGTTGTGTGAGAGTGGAAGCGAGAGAAGGTCTGCTAGTGTCCAACTAACACAAATACCAGAGCAGAGAGGAGACATTTCCAGTGTGTTGGAGTGTGTGTGTGTGTGTGTGTGTGTGTGTGTGTGTGTGTGTGTGTGTGTGTGTGTGTGTGTGACAGCTCTACAGGTACGTGCAACATGCATGAGTCTGGCAGACATAACCAACAGTCTTCAACTGAGCGAGCAGACAGAAGAGGAGAAAAAAAAAGGAATCCCTGCAGGCTGAGCGGCTGAAGGCAGCTGGAGTTGTTTTTCCATTCCTCTCTCTTTCTTTCAGCCTGTCTCTCCTTACCCCCATTACCTGCCAAGAGCACATTTTTAGCGAGCTACACTAACAGAAACACACACACACACACACACCTACAGTACCTACAATTACTGGTTCCAGCACACACACACACACACACACACACACACACACACACACACACACACACACACACACACACACACACACACACACACACACACACACACACACACACACACACAGTCGAAGTAAACGGCAGTTCAGCTCAATTTCTGCCTGTAGGATGGGAGAGCAGACGGGGGGTGAAAATAAAAGAGAAAAACCAAAGAGAAGAACACTATTATTAATTTCATACCTTTCTGGTGTTAAAGGTACACTGTAAATCACCAGGATGGTGTTTGTATTTATGAGATGTGAATAAAATCAAGGAAACTTCGGGGACCAACACAACAACAAATCCATGTCTTACTGCAAGGTTGTCATGGCAATACATGAACCAATGTGACAAAGTCTGACAAAATAATCCCACTGTAGTTTGAGCTAGATGACTTTAACAACTACAGACCCAACCAACCTGCACCCTGATGGTGACCAACCTCATGAAAAAGGTCTGAGAAATGCCCTGACCTAAAAATATTGTCATTGGGATGTAAAATATGATCACTCCCACTAATCGTGAGTGATACTGTGATCATAAAATCTGTCAAAACAATGGCAGTATGAAGGTTTTCCGGTATCGTGCAGGCCCATTACCGACCCAGTTTGTTGTGTTTACAGTTGAAATTCACACTGCACACCAACATTTTTCCTTTTTCCTTACTTTTAATAACTTGCTTGGACATTTGTGGTGAAAAATCAGCCAAGTATGCTTTTTATAATAGTAATTTTCTCTGAACTGTAAACTCACCAATTAAACTAATGACCTGTCAATAACGCATCAGAGGTAGAGGAGCAATTAACGGTGGCATTTGTAAGACATGCTGGCAACACAATTAACACCTATTGAGTTACAGGTTTTGAGTTTCCTGTAACCGGGGTTAGGGTTATATTATCCATAGATATCTATAGATATGATCTATTTCCTGTTAGAGCCACTCATCCTGTGCGTAGTCTGAGCTCCTCCAGCAGAGGTCCTCTGTTATCAGAGACTCGAAGCTATGGAACGAGCTGCCTGAGGAAATCAAGTCAGCACAATCAGAGCCCGCCTTTAAATATCTTCTTAAAACATACATTTATCAGAGAGTTTTTACTGATGTACCTGGATTTTTATTGATTGGCCTTTAGCTGGTTTTATTTGTTTTACTGGTTTTGTTTATTTGCCTACAACTCAGAAATAGTTTTTATGATCAGCTTGTTATGAAGTTGTTTCCTCGTGTGAAGCACTTTGTAACTTGAGAAGTAATCATTGTTTTGAGCATTGCAAAAGCAGATGGACGACACTGGAAAGAGGAAGACGGGCTTAGAGCAGAGTGACACGAAGATAGTCCACTGACAAAGCATCAGTTACAATCCCAGTTCTGTCCTCTCAGCCTCTGTGCTATGTTTAGGAATTTCTCCCTATGTGCTCTCAAATCTGGATTTGAAGATTAGTACCCAAAGTTTTTTCCTCAGTAACACACACACACACACACACACACACACACACACACACACACACACACACACACACACACACACACACACACACACACACACACACACACACACACACACACACAGAGTCATGGCTTTAGAGCCAGTGAGACATAATACAGAGAAAAAGCTGACACGACTGTTGGAATACCACCACTGACTAACTTTAGTACCTGAAAACATTGTGGCAGACAGTCAGGCTGGAAAACAGACAGTCAGGAAGACAGACAGACAGACAGACAGGAAAACAGACAGACAGGCAGGCAGGCAGGCAGGCAGACGGAAAAACAGACAAGCAGACAGTGCTGTCTAAAATCTGCTGCCTCAGCTGTTCACATCCACAAACACAGAGGCCCCGTCTGTGGTCTGAACACACACTCGCACAGACATTTCTATCTTGCCTTTTAGAGTGCCGGAGGTGAGAGCAATCACCTGGCAGAAAGAGAGCACAGGAATCCAGCTGGCTACTTTTCATCCACTCACACCAGGAAGCAAATCCAACTGTGGCTCCGAGCCAGACCAGACAGCCAAGTGGTCCAGAGGAGCACGTCGCCATAAAATGTGTCTAAGTGGCTCGAGTTGATTCAGGGTGGATCAGATTGATGAAAGAGTGGTACAGTATGGGGAGGATCAGTTAAAGAAGTGCTTAAGGGGGGGGGGGATGCAAAACGGCGTCTACAAACAGCCACAGAGATGTGAGAGCAGATTTGGCTGCAGACACAGACGTGGGGCCCTCTAGCTTTAATTTTTAACTTCCTGTGTTAGCAGGCTGACTAACTGGATGTCTTTCCCCCAAAATGAGTTTCATTTGCTATTTCAAGACAGAAAAAACCAACACATCAGACTGAGCAAACAGACAGTTCAGGCGTTGGAGCGGCACGGGGAAAGGGCTTTAAAGATGTTTACATTAGAGACCTACACAACAACTACTACATACTGTATTTATATTGGGTTTTAATTAAAAAGCTCCAAAGTGTAACATTTAGGAGAATCTATTGGCAGAAATGGAATACAGTATGCATAGGTATGTATTCATTAGTGTACAATCACCTGAAAATAAGAAGTTACCTTAGAATGAGACGTTTTTATCTACAGAGTTTCTGGGCCAACGTAGGTTCTCCTACACGCTTGAAAGGTTGAGCTGTATTCAAAGGATTGCAATCTGTACCTCCACCACTAGATGCCAATGAATCCTACACACTGGTCCTTTTAAGCATGAGGTCCAATCTTCTACAGTGCTAATTTAGAGTCAAATTTAGAAATATGTTATAACTCTGTTGTAATTTCGGTGAAGCAAAATTGTTAAATAAATGTTTATCGGACTTTAATAGTACCGTGCAGGCCTGCAACCAAAGCAAATGCGTTTTAAACAAAGCACAGTCACCAGGAGCCACAGTCAAAATTATATAAGAAGCAGACAGATATAGACAGATATAAGCCACAGTAGTGCAAAGACAAGTTAGTAAAATTTGAATAAATGGAAATTTAAAAATAGAATTGCGTGCTAAATGGAAGGTTTATATTTTTTAGGTTTTAGGATCGAGGGGAAAGATTCTGCCATCACCATTTAGGCAAATGTCAGGCGCTGGTGATTGAAAATGACTGTGAATATAAAAACTGTTGAGTCTAGATGGGTAATTTGTCCAGATCCTCGATTAATCCAACAGTGGAGAAATGCTTCCCAAACAGGTTAGTGAGAACACAAAAGACAAAAGGAAAGAAACTGTTGAATGCAAAAAATTGTGATAAACGTGCACACATACAGACATTCAATACTCCTCCCGTGTTTGTGCAAATATGTAGCGGAATAAATCCTCGCCCCTTCCTTTATTCTTCGTATTGTTCATATCCTCCATGATGTATTTCATAGATGCACCCTTCAAACTGTGATGCAGTTAAATGTTAAAAAACGATTCACTATAAACTCGAAGTGAGACATGTGACACCATGGAGCACATCTCGGTAAAATCGAGTTAGGAAACGTATAATTAGATGAAGAGCAGACAGCAAGAGAGTCGACAAAGAAGCGATGGAAAGATAGAAGACTAGAGGGATATGCATTGCCCTTTTTGTTTAATGTTAAGCCATTTTATTAGTACTTAGTAAGCGTACCTGCACACCACCACTCTTACATTACCACAGACACTCGGCTCTCCTGTTATTGTGTCTGCACATGTAAACATCATGTGCACCCCCCGTTACAACAAAACTCACACACCACACATCGGGACTAAACTATTCCGTATTATCTGATGTCACCTGCTATTGGGTTTCACAGTGTGTGAGCGTGGTTACCATGGCGACGCTAGTAATATTCTGTCCCGTCATATATAGTCAGATAGTTATGAGCAGAATACAAAGACACAAAGAAAAAAAGCAGGAGTATGAGCTGTTACGTAGGAGTATATAATGCTGTGTCAAACAAAACATTTACACTAGAAAATAAACTTTTTACATTCATCTTTCTACAGAAGTAGGAGCCTTAGTTATTGCCGGTTTGTTAGACAAGAGGCGTGTGCACATAATAAACCTAATGTCTAAGCTGTAACATTAAAATACCAAGCCCTCTCCTTTGTGATGAACATCAAACAAACCTTCTGCACATTTAGTATAATTCAGTTCACAGCCTTCGCTCTAATATTAGTAATGGCAGTGGTAAAAATGTATATTGAAATATTGATATTGATTGAAATAACAACAAAAATACTTTTTGAAAAACAAACAAACCATTCTAAATATGTCTTTTTTCACGCAGAATAAAGAAGAATTTATCCGTTCCTTTTGTTAAAGCAGTTGTGAAGAAATCCACTCTGCAACGATTAATATAAAGAATTAGCTTTTTTTCCTGTTTCCCCTAAAAACGCAAAATTAAGTTGTATAAATTCTAAAGAAACACATGCACAGTGGCATGTTATAGTAGTATTTGATGTGCAGAAAATAACAAAAATACTAGTTTTTGAAAATCCTACAGTCCCTCAAATGATAAAGACTGAGTCCCAATCTCATACTACATACCACTCGTATACAGTATATACTAATGTTTATAGTATAGTCAGAATACATTAAAAAATGGTTAAAAATTACCATACTTTGCCGTTTTATGGGAAATTATGCAATATGCGCACCATGCAAATGCAATCAAATTGCAACTTGAAATATCAGAACCAATTAAACTTCAGAGATAACGAAACAGGTTTTACTGGAGACGATTCACCACCAAGAACCATTCATTTGAATTTTTTCCCCATCTATGAGCAGCTCCTCTATTTCCATCAACAGAGCACAAAAAAAACAGGCTTCAAATGCATACTGAGCGATTTGACTATGCAAACACTTATACATACTCAAAACCTGCAATAAGTTAATATGTAGTATGGATTCAGGACGTGCAGTCTGAAACCTTTACGTTCTAATGGCAGCTGGAAATGGAAGTAAAGCTCCTGTTACGGTCCCTACAGATCTTCCCCAAAACGCCCTAATGTGTTACAGTAGATAGAAGAGAAGAGAAAGGACTGCGCCCGAATATTTGGCTTAAATGTTAAAAACCAAAGCAGATAACTACATTTAAGTCAACACAATTTGATTCAATATTAATAAATGACTTGAATTGCCTTGGAATATTATATTATATTACAAATAGATAACAGTATATATTGAAAAAAAATCAGACATGTAGTAAATGATTTCCTTTCGATCATATAGTACAATTTGCTCACAAAAGAGCTGGGAAATGTCCATTATATATGATATTGTCTGTTACGCATGGCTTTATATATTCTGTATTACGCACTGTATTTACACCAGCCTTTTATTTTCTGTCCAGTCTTTATAAGAAAGGTCCATTGAACGAGGGGAAGCTATTGTAAGTCACCACAATTAAGGGCTTTGATTGGTTCAGGCCCTTTTTTTTCCTGATGTGCTCCCAAACCTTGGGATTGAAATGGCTGACACTTCCTACAGAAACAGCATATCAACACGAATAAAACACACGCACACTCTGATTCTCCGCAGGGAGATATAAAAGAGGGACCTGGGCAATAAAAGGAAAAGCGAAAAGACACTGAAGCGGGAACAAACAGACGTCAGTTTGACTGACTAATCAAAGAGTGAGTGTGCAACAACAGACAGATTTTGTCTTTTGAAAGGAGACAGAGAGGGGGGAGACACCTGACTGTAAGACCAGTCCTAAGACAGTTTCAGCAGGCAGACAGGTCGCCTGGCTGCAAATACAAAAGCAGCTTATACGTACAGATACAGTATACTTAAGTTTACATTATATTAGAAAAAATGTACAAGATAATATTAGTTACATACAGTCGACACACTGAGAAACAACAGTTTAAGTTTAAGAGTTAAGGCTTGAACAGGACAAAAGCAACACCATGTTTCTGTTTTGTGTGTGTGTGTGTGTGTGTGTGTGTGTGTGTGCTGTGTGTGTGTGTGTGTGTGTGTGTGTGTGTGTGTGTGTGTGTGTATACATAAGTGCCAGGATCAAAGAGCACTATGGCTTACTTTCACTTGAGCCATTTGCAATCCCAAATACTATTAAACTCAATACCTACTGTAGGGATGCAAAATGGCCGCCACAGAAAGGCCACTAGAGGGAGCTGTGACATCCAGCAGACGCTGTGTGTGCCTCCCTCCATGAGCTTTAGGCTTTAAGGTGGTTTGGTTCATACTAGAGCCTCTTCCTCTTAAAGTAGTCAGCGTACTGCCCCCCCAAGCCTTGGGAGTGCTGCCCGATGTAGGCACCATCTGATGATGTCACTTCCTGCACCGCTAACTGAGGGTACTCCCTCTTATGACCCCTTGTCTGGTTCTGAGGAGACAGGAATGTGAAGAGAGGGAAAGAGTTAGAGGTGAAGAAACGGCGTGTCGAAGAACTCACACGATCAGCTAATGTTGCATTCAATAAAGTTGGAAAGAGGTCTAGTTTTTAGATTGTAATACAACAAACTCTTATTTAAAAGATGATCCCATCGAACTTCTGTGCATTCTTGGAATCAATGAACTGGGAAAAATAAATGTGACTAGTTGTGGAATTTGACAACAATACAAAAATCCTTTTTTGTGTGTCGTTTAGGTTTAAAGGTCTCCAGTGAGATTGGGCCACAGAGGCTGTTTGTTCAAACAAAGATAAATCTGTCCAGCGACGAGGCTTAGTTTAGGAGTCCGGATCTGTTTTTTCACGTCATCATGCTCTCAGAGTCCTTTCTTCCTCTTTTTTTCTCTCAGAAAACAAGGCCGCAAGGTTGTTCTGCTGCCACATCTCAACACACATTACCACATCAAGCATTTAATAGAAAACACTGATCTCCATAATCTCTCATTTTTAATTGTGTAGAGGTCAGCCCAAAAACAGAATTACTATTCTCTTCATAGGTTTCACACTGTTCACTGTTCAATCTGCCAAACTACAGTATAGACAGTGATAGAATAACTCAATCTTATCAGACGGGGATCTGTGAGACTACATCCTTTCAAATACTGATCCGTGGCCGGATGTGTATCCTTGACACCACAAGAGTTGAACTAAATGAACAAAGTCTGAAAAAATTAACAGATTTTTGTTTCTGCTTTCCAATCCTGTTTACTGTCTCACAACCTGTATGCCATGCGTATGCTGTTGTACTGACAATATTGCAGTTGCTACATAAATGTTCATTATACTGAATTCGTCATGGGACGAGTGTTGAGTTTGGATTGACAGCAAACACCATCAACAGCAAATTAAAATGGATGCATATCACACTATGACGAGTTGATTAAGATATGGTCCCCAGTTATTGAATATGTAAAGGAACTGACTCTATATAATGCTACCTGATGGATGTTGTTGTAGCTAATTGCTACCATAACCCACAACTAATGTTTATACATGGGACCCCCCCCCTTTTTCTATTCTTTCTTAATCTATTTACTACCTCTTTATGCTTACATTTTATGGTTTTTATCTATTTATTTTTGATTGGTAATTTGAGTTCTGTGATTTGTTTGCTTTTATTGTAAAGCAGCTTCAGTGAAATACAGGGTGATCCTGATACTCTCACCAAGTCTCAATAAGCATTTTTTTAATGCAAACTAAAGTATAATGACCACCACAGACCACATATATATTATACGGGTACAGATGTGTAAGATAATAGTCTTTACTAATATTTATTGGATGGTTTTAGCCTTTGTATAAGGATTGTTTTTACAAATAAATCCATCCAGTAGTAGTTATTCTGAATTATCACTTTAAATTCAACAAGCTGAACAGAGATCCTCTCCCTCAGCTCCCCACTGTCAACAACTAATACCGCCCACCAATATCAGAAGTCATACATGAAACACTGAAGTAGTTAGCTGCAATATGAAATGTTTGGATTGTGTCGCCTGAGCTGAGCACGCTCACTCTCTAGGCTGACACTTCAAAATGGAATAAATTGAAAAAAAAAACAATAAAAAAGGCAAAAAAGATGTTTTCTCCAGCTTCTCTCACAGAAGTACTAAAATTGTCACATCCTGTATAGGAGTATTAATTTTCTCTACTCACATAGTAGTAGGTGTTCCAGTCAGTGGCGGCAGTGTGTGCGTGCGTGACAGGGCTTGGCGCGGCTGCCGCCGGGTGTGGCGCCCCGAGGAAGCCGGGCATTAAAGGCAGGGTGCTGTAGGCTGGGAGCACGGCAGCAGCTGGTAGGACGGCCGGTGGAGGGGCCGCGCCGTTACTGACTGCGTGCAGGGAGACTCCTAGAGGCTTACACACATCTACCTCCTAAAAGAGACACACACACATTTAACGACAGGTGGTTGACTGTCTTAGCACTGAAAGTTACATTTCATGGGCCATTTTGTTTTTATGTGGCATACTGTTGTTGAAAGTATTTCCAGTAACTGATTCACTTTCTTTCATCTATTCATTTATTCATTCATGTTAACCTTTCTGCCCCCTGGTGGCTATAATGAGATGCACTGCTGTCTACAGAGGACTCAACCAGGATCACTCATCATTCCCCCCTTACTGTTGTTGTACAAGCTTGTTCTATTTCTTTAGGACAACCAGCCAAAACAAAATGCTACAATGCCATGTCCACATAGCTTTAGGTCAGTTTCATGCCAGGAAGAAACAGTATGTCAGAACTCTATCATATCACTTTCTCCAAGATATCAATTTCTCCACCAACAGTGAGCTCAGTAGACCAGAATGTAACTCGGAGCAAGATCAATGGCTGCATCTTCAAGCAGACACTTCACACACACACATACAGCCTCCAGCAGCAGCAGAAGCAGATAAGCCTGGACCTGGCTGCTCAGGGTGTGTGGAGATGTCTGGTATCAGCTGTTGGGTGCAGAGTGATGCGTTCCCTCTAACAGGGTATCAGTGTCTCATAGAGAGGTCACTCTCTCCAAATAAACATGCAGACAAACTGCATGTAAATACCAGCATGCAGCTCTGAGGGCCGCTGCCCCAGATCATTTACACTGTGTATGCAGGACAGGATGTTGCCTGACTCAAATATTCAGGTTGAGTTTTAAAGAGCTTCTGTTTTGTATGAAGCCTGACATTCATTTGTACAAAATTATTAGTCATTTGTGTGCTGAAATGAATAACTTCTGCCAATGTATTAGTAATTCATTGTCTCAAACTAATAATTTTGGACACTTTGAATAAAGGTTACAAGGTTACATATTTCATGTCTGAAAAGGGCAGTAGTCTGCTCTTCTCTGGCTATCATTGAATCTCTTTAGTGGCCAGTTTAATATGGATATCAAATGGGCTTAACTGATGACTGTTGATTAGTCTTGTCCTGGGGGTTATGGTTAGAATCATGCTTTGGATGGGGATAGGCGTGTGCGTGTGTACCTTGCTAGCGTAGGCCTGGTTGGCTGTTGCAGGCTGAGAGTAGTACTGAGTGACCGCCTGCATGTAGGAACTGTAATCCCCGTAGGTTGACACAGGTGGAGCCTGGAACACAAAAAGATATTTTACAAATGCTGTAGGGCCCCACTGATTGATCAAAAAAAGACCCAGGAATGTATCTGTATTAATTATAAATAATAATTGGCTGATCTGCATCATATTTAGTGTTTTCACCCAAATTATCTCTTCACTTTTTATAAGCGAGAACATATTCTGAGCTGCCCCCACACTAGCAGATCCTGAGTTCTGTGACATAAACTGTCTCAGTTTGAATCGGAGAACATAAAACACTGGTTGAAATTAATTTGCTACTTCTTAGTGAAAAACACACACAATACAAAACACTTAAACTGATGAGCCATAATTTTGCACACACAACCAGTTCTGAATGAGTGTGTTTGTTACCTGTGTGTGCTCCTTGCTGTAGTCCGTGGCCGTGCTGTCCTGTGGGGCAGCGGTGCTGTATGTGTGAGCTTGTGCTGCTTGGTAGTGCTGGTACCACTGCTGCATGGCCTCCTATGGTGCACGCACACACAGACACACAGACACACACACACACACACACACACACACACACACACACAGAGACATCAGCAAACATCAGACGAAGAGCGGTTGGAGCAGACAGGTGAATGTTTGCTCAGTACTTTTCTTGTCTTTGCTGATTTTTTGCCTCCTTTATAACCGTCTTTCTCTTTCTATGTCATTCAACTATTGTTCCTGCCGACAGCTCTCCCCTGTTTCTCTCCTTTGTCTCCTCTCCCCAGACAAATTAAACTGACCGTTTTATTGGTTATCTAATCATGATTCATTTGTTTGGATGACTAGATTGTAATTAACATTTAAAATTGGGTTTGTATCGCGCTGCAAATATCAGATAAGTCAGTTGCTGCTGGAGGAGGCAAAACCACCACGAAAGAAACAGAGTGACAGAGAAGAAGAGAAAGAAAGAATTGCAGACAAACAGCCAGTAGGGAGGATTCATGACTTTTATAGAGTGAAGTGTTGAGAGAGAGGAAGGCAGTAGGGACAGATGGAAAGACACAGCGCTCTCTGCCAAATCCTTTCTCATTCTGTCTGTCCAAATATCCATACCCATTCTCATCTCTTCCACCTCCCTGCCTCCCACAGTTACAGCTCACTCTGTCACTGCTGCACTCATCCATCCACTCATTATGTATCCATCCATCGATCAAATATCCAGCCACCATCCCTCTCTCACACATTTCAGACCAACAACCATGCATCTATCACAATATTTCTTCATTCGTATCTCTGTAAAAGTGTGTCTGTATGAGGTGCAGTACCTGTGTGTAGGCCTGGTTGTATTGGCTGTAGTCAGTGGAGGTATCAGTGCTGTATGGAGCTGTGGTTGTAGCTGCCGCGCTGTGGGAAAAGGAGCCGGCGCCCTGGGAGACGACGGGAGCAACCGAGGTGCCATACACCCCGGGGCCAGGCTGTCCCCCCTGGGCTTTACTCCCCACTGACCCTGATCAACAGTGGAGAGAAACATGTAGGAGGCACAATGAGTTAGATAATAATGTGGGCAAACACACTAATATAGACATTAACATTGCAAAATGTCTCAAAGGAATACTTTATGCTTGTGTCCTTAAAAGTGGGCTTAGTAGCTTGTGCCCTCGTGCCAACTGTAGTCTACTTAGATTAACAACAGTTATGGAGTATGATCCTCATTTCCATATGTACTAGACAAACTTGCTTGCAGAAGAGCTTTGGAGATATGAGAAGGCAATACTGTGACACAGAAGTAGTGTATTTAGCACTGTTGTGGAGAAACTATGAGTGTTTAACAGACTAAACTAGAGTCCAGTGTCAGTTGAGTGATTATCCTGCAGGAGGGTTTACATTTTAGGAAAATATGCTAATTCGTTTTCTTACCACTTACGTTATGTTGAATATGAAATTACAACCAGCTGCTGTTTAGCTTAGCTTGGCATAAAGATTGAAAACAGCTGCTCACCAGAACCTCCAAAAAGGTCACTAAACATGTTGTATCTTGTCTGTTTAATACGTTTAAAAACAAAAGCGGGAAAGAAAATGGTGGTTTTCTGGAGTATGGTTGTCACAATGAGGTTGAATCAGAGTGAGAAAGTTTTGACATCATCTGACAAGTTTCTTTGGTGTGACTTCTATTGGGATTAATTGTAACTATCATAAAGCCAAGCTGACAAAGACATACATTTTGTAGAGACACCTTTCAGCCTAGAGGCACTCAGAAGATGTTTGGAGTATTACTGTGACAAGAGTCATATAGTTTTGTCAAGTCCTAATTTTATCAATAGAGCTGAAAGACTTTGCCCATGAGCAAACCTAACTTGTTTCCTAGACAAAAAAATGAATAAAAAAATTAACAAACTTCATATTCACTTAAAGAATGAACACTACTATGTTTAATGTACAACACAGAGGCACTGATACAATGCACTGAAAGAGATACCTTAATACATCTGCATGTTTGTGTACTCACCTTGCAGAACCACCCCTGGCATTACACTGGCCAGGTTCAGGTATGGATTGGAGGGCAGTCTGACTTCTTTAGGAGGATCGCCCAACAGAGAGCTCTGACCACTGCTTACCTAAACAGTGAGAAACAGATTTAAATGGTACAATTCTCTGATCAACCACTTTGCATCCTTTCTATCCTCACTCCTAACTTGGATTTGGATTACAAAAACAATACTATGGTCTTTGCTGCCAGCCATGTTACTGCACAAGTAAACTGTACCTCCACCTCACCAAAATACCAACATCAACATAACAACATTTTCATGTTGAAAAGATTCTGATGAAGTGCTGAACAGGCTGTGGAAACCTGGGAGGACTGTACTCTGTTAATTACACTTTCCCTGCATTAGAGAGACTTAGCGCTGGAACTGGAATCAGTTCCCCTAAGAATTTTAGTGCTGTGATTATCTCTGTGCACTGACTTATTATGGATGATGTTAGCATAGCAGTGCTTTATTTAAACCAGGTCTGGTCAAAGGGATGTAGAGGAACACAGAAGCAGACAGGTCTTCAGTGTGTGCAGAAAGGCATACAGGTGAACAGGTAGGCAGGCTAAATGAGGAATAAATACCCATCCATGAGAGACAGGAAAGAGAGAAATTTAGGACTGCAACAAGACTGCAATTCTTTATAATCACTAAATTTTTACAAATGCGTTGTACCATCATTACTGACACTTCACTAATCTCCTTCCACCAATCCATCCGATCATGACAAGGCACGACAGGTCTGTCTGCTGATTGTTATTTCAGCCGACAAAACTGAAGGTCGTCGGCTAGAAATGAGAAGCTGCTTTTGATATCGAGGAACCATTGTTCCAAAATTGTATACGTTTTTGAGCAGGAGATCTGCCACCATTATCATTATAAACTGCAAAAGTGTTGAAAGTACAACAACAGAAAACTTGACAGGCGTAGAAACAGTAACTAAGGGGGGCAGGGCTGGGCGAAGAATTTATTCCCCAGAGTCCTCCTTGTTTTGTCCAACCAACAGTCCAAAAACTCAAAAAATGGTATACGTTTTTAAACACAGAGAAAAGCAGAATAAAACAGATTAACTGATTATCAAAAAAAATGTCAATTCATTTTCTGTCCAGAAAGAGAGATTCAGAGACAGATAATGAGACCCAGAAAGATGCCATGCTCACCATGCTAGCCAGGGAGCACCCGTCCGAGCTGTTGTGCTGGCCTGTTGATGTATAAACTCCTCCAGGAGGGTTGGGTGGATGCGGACCGAGGCCTGAGTTACTTATACCCAAAGAGTAGCTCTGTCCCTGCGGATGGGAGCTCACCATGGTCCCAGGAGGAGCTGGCTGCCTGTCGCAGGAGGTGGAGGAGGAAGAGGAGGAGGAAGAGGAAGCAGAAGGAGTTGAGGAGACAGAATGGGTGTTTTGTTCTCCCCCTCCAGCTCGACCCTGGAGGTATGGCATCACACCCGCAGCTGATACCACTACTGTGGCATTGTGGGTAGATGATGGCACAGACTCCTGGCCCAACTCTGTGAGAGGAGAGGAAAGGAAAACGAAGGAAAGGAGAGGGGGGAAAAGGGTAGAAAGGAAAAGAAAAAAATTAACGGCGGGGAAAAGACAAGAAAATAAAGGAAAGGGAAGGAAATGAGAAGAAGGGAACAGGAAAGGAAGAGAAAGGAAAAAGGAAGGACAGACAACATAGAGGCACATAAAAAGAAAGGGAAAGTAAGATGAAGGAAAGGATGTAAAACAATGGAAAGGAAAGGAGAAGAGAGCAAAAGGAGGGGAAAGTGGTGGAAAGTAAAGTATAGGAAAGGAAGGCAAAAGTAGGGAAAAAGATCAAGAGAAGCAAAGGAAAGGAAAAGATGGGAAACAATGGAAGCAAGTAGAAGAAAGGGAATGAAAAGGAAAAGAAAACAAGAATAAACACAGTAAATTAAGGAAAGTAAACCATGGGGAAGACAAAATACAGCACAGAGGAGCAATGTAAAGAAAAATAAATTATGTGAAAGGAAATGAAAACAAGGAGAGCAGAGATGCCAGATAAACAGGTGAAATGTTTTTTACTGATGACCATCAGTGTCTCTGTCTCCTCTGGACAGAGACAAATCACTGAGACGGCTGGAAGCTGGAGAGCCCAGCCCGACCGTCTCTGTAGGGCCAGTTGTAATATTTGAGAACGGCTCATACATCATCACTTATCATGTTTATTTACGACCCGGCACTTTGCTCCACACTCATAATATTTCACTCACTCCAGGGTTTAATAAAAACAAATATGTACACACATACATATACACAGGCACAAAAAACATACAGACATAAACGCACAGGCACACATAATTTAAAGATGCACACACACACACACACACACACACACACACACACACACACACACACACACACCACACACACACACACACACACACACACACACACACACACACACACTAAAGTTGAATGCACGTAGGCACACACACTTATTATAAATCCAATATTGCTGTGACAAATGGCCTCCACAGCACAATAAAGGAATCAGTTCTAACAAGCCTTAAGCTAACAATCCCAGCAGACACATGCACTGATAAAAGCCTCACATTACAGACTCATATACACAATCAAATAGGGACACACACACACACACACACACACACACACACATAAACACACACACACACACACACAAATACATCAGCGCACATAGACACAGTGCACAGACAGTCTGTGATATATAATTTCCATTTAAAACAGCACAGCTTTTCTCAGCTGGGGATTTGAATTGTAAATGCACTGCAGTTTTCTGGAGGGTGTGTTGTACAGTAATGTAAGACTGTGAGGTATTCAGCGAATCTGCTGAGGGGCATCCCTGACACCTGAAATTAACATATCACGATTGAGGGTTATATCCTTTAAATTGTATATCACCTCCCTCTTCTGCGTTAAAAACCTTTTTACACCAGTTATTGTTAAAAAAAAATACTGCTACATGTCAAGTAAGAAATTCACACTTTGAGTAAGAAGAATAAGTCTTTTTTTATGAGAGTGAGAAATACCTGAGAAAATACAAATACTCTTTGGGATACTGAGGCATGTGTACTCTATTTACTGCTTGAAACAGGTGGTCTCAGCTTGGGTTTATGTAAGCTTATTTTACATGTTGTGGGATATGAAGTTAAATAGCTGTACAGCTTGCTTATCTTAACAGCCATAACAGGATACTGGCTTTGACAGGATACTGGCTAGGTATATAATCATGGAGGCTGTCAGGATTCAATCATGAGTATTCATCTTCCCAGTATATGTTGTTTAGTATGTTTAGTCAAAAAAAAAAAGTGTATGCCCTGCTCACTTTTGGGGCAGTTTACACAAGGCTGATCATAAAAATCTTTTTACAGATATTACTTGAAAAAGCTAGTTCAAGTTAAACCTAAATCTTATATTTAATCCCAAGCAATAAATAGTTACCACGCTCATTTTGAGACCACTTGTGCCACTTGGTCCCTGCTTTACACATTTTGCTTTACAGCAGTTTGGGATATTGTTTTACTCCACACAACAGAAACAGGGTGCAGCACTAATTAAACGTTTTCAGATGCTCTTACAATTGCAGATGACAGAATAAGAGAAAAGAACAAAACAAATTTGAACATAGCATTAACAAAAACACTGGAGGGAGACATACTGTAGGTCTCAACATGGTCTCATTAGTCTGCAGTAATTACACCAAGTCATTTGACAAGGGCGTACTGATAATCGGCCCTTCTCACCAGTAGGGGAGTCTCCCAGCAGGCCTTTCCCCAGTGGCATGAGGCCTTGAGGACGCAGAGACAAAGCTTTCTGCATCAGCAGCCTGGACGGGTCTCCGAGCAGACTGGAGACCTGTAGAGGAGAGAGGAGGAGGAGGATGAGGAGGAGATGGAAGAACATTACATAAAGAAAGAAGGAGAGCAAGGATATAGTGGAGAGAAACGTTATCAAAAGAAAAACGATAGAAGGTGGAGAAAGAGAGGAGATTAGAAAGAACAGGGACAGGAATCCAGAAGGGACAGACAGAGATCATACATTATAAAAACAACTCATGCAAACAGCAGCTCCGCCTGTAGCAGGGACTGTTCAAATATCTTACATTTACACACTACAGAAGCAAAATAAGAAAAGAGCTCAACTGTACTTTAAGTATATACAGTATGTGTTTATTATCTTTGATCCTTTTTTACATTCTCTTCTGCTCTATTGCAATTGTATATATTATTTAGAAAGCCAGAGGAAATGACGAGGAACATAAAAGAAAAAGCCAAGCAAATATAGAGTTTAAAAAGCAGGAGGTGGTGGAGGGTCATAAAAGAAAGAAAGAAAAATATACACAGTATTCTCCTTCTCTAACGCTGCATCTTTATATATTAATTTTATATATATATATATATATATATATATATATATATATATATATGTATGTATATTGGTTACTCTGACTTAACTTTCACTTCAGTAATTAAAGAGAATACCCTTTAAAATATGCAATTCAAAATGTGGAGGGAAATCTCAACACCTCAAGGTCTCAACTACTGCTCTAACCCTCACACAAACCCATGCCAGTTGTCACACACACACACACACACACACACACACACACACACACACACACACACACACAAACAAAAACAAACAAACAAACAAACAAACAAACGGGTGTCTTACGCTGCTGATGCGTTTGTCTTTAATGTGTAGAAGCTGTTGTTGTGCCAGCTGCATATGCAAGAGGTTCTGGAGGACTAGTCCATTACCGAGCATAGCATTCTGCAAGGTAAAGCAAAAAAAAGACATTATTGTAAAAAACAGCTGGACACACACACTAATAACAATGCCACATGTTGAGGTTATTGTGACCTGGTGTGCTTTTCCCAGTGTGAGCAGAGCTGTGGTGAGAGGAGGTCTGAGGAACGGCAGGCTGGTGTGACGCCCGTACTTCCCTAAAAACACAAACAACACAGAAACATCAATCACTGCTTCTCTTTGTGATTTTCTTTTATAAATTCCACTAATGCATTAATCAATCATCTTCTCAACCGGCATACACAGGCAGAATTATTAGTCAGACGACCAATCCATCAGTCAAACAATCACACAGCCTTCTGGTTTATAACAAGCACCAATACAGCAATACTGTGAATTGTGATATTATGCCAGCACAAAGTAAATTGCCTCTCTCATAACTTTAACTTTTTCCAAGCTTAAATTTCATTTTGATGTTGAAGACAGAGTTGAAAAGAAGCTCAAACAAACAAAAAAAAAAAACAATACAGAAAAGAAAAGCAGAAAAATGCAAAATGAGTGCTTCTTCAAACAGTATTTATTTTGTACTGTACTGACAGTTTCCTCAAAAACAGCAGAAACAGCCACTCACTGGTTGTTTTTCACAATTTAGGAAATATCTGTCTATATCTGTAAAATGCTATTATGGATTGTTTGGATGTACTGATGAGGCAGTTAAAAATTTAAATATCATTCCTGTTATGTACAGAACTAAATGAACTATTTTGCATTCATAGAAATGGCAGCCGTGGTGCTGAAAGGAGGGGAATGATAATTTGATCACTAAAAAGGAAAATGACGCTCAACGTTTCCTCTCTTTGTATTCTACCACCATCAGTTTCAGTTGTGTGTTCTGTCACTATAGCAACCACTACTGCCTCAGTCCACCATTTTGTCAGATCTATCAAAAGTCAAAGATTTGACAGGCATGTTTTATCTACTCCTCATATGCCTTTGTTGTAGCATTATCTGTTTTTTTGTGTTCACTGCTAACATTAGCATATATTCTCAGTCAACTCAATAGCTAAAGTTAGCTGTTATACTAGCTGCTAGAGGCTAATATTTTCCTAATACAACAAATAATTTGTTAGGCTAACTGCTATGTATTTTAGTCTTGTTACTTTTATTCATGACGGCTCTTTTTGTATGTCTAGATTAATGTGTTGTACTTCCTACAGTGGTGGAAGAAGTACTCTTTTACTTAAAAGGTCCAGTGTGTAACATTTAGGAGGATCTATTGGCAGAAATGGAATATGATATATATAATACATATATATATATATATATATATTATAATATTCTGAAAATAAGTTGCCATTAAATCCTACACACTGGTCCTTTAAGTAAAAGTAGCAATAAACCAATAATTGTTGTCTTTTCTGCCAAAACAAGTAATGAATAAACAACAGTTTCTGTCTGCTGTTCATGCTGATCGAGTGTAGAGGAAAAATAAGTACAGCCAAATTGTTGTTTATACAATACAACTATTTCAACACCCTCTGTGGTTTTCTTTGTAGTGGTGAATAATTTGAATAAGCAGTCAGATGGTGAAAACTGTGAAAACAATAAAAACTGAATAATAAATTCCCAAAGCTACAGTGTTTTATTTCATGGAAAAACACTGTATAAATGTCCAAGATTTAGTAAGATTTGCCCACATTCACCAACATTTTCCCTGTTCAGGATTTATCTTAGCAAAATTGTCCGCAAGGCATCTCTCACCTTCGGGCGATTGCCACCCTACACCTACGGTACACACCCCCTTTCTTTGGCCTTAGTGTGCGATGTATGTTACTTCTCTGAATTACAAGGTCTCCTCATAATAAATGTATGCGTCAATGCTAATGGTAGCTTCCACCAGAATAGGTAGAGAAAGTTTAACATTTAATCAAGGTCCTAATTTTAGACTTTAATTGTGCGTGCTCTTCTTTAAGCGAGCTCCCCTACCTCTCCCATCTTCTCTCCTTCCTGTTCTCATTTGTTCCCCTAATGTCACACGATTTCATTTTAATACCTGATTAGCCATTCATCAAATAATGAAGCCCTCGACAAAGTGATTACAGTATATAGGAGGGCCTAACAGAAGGACAGACTCATACAGAGGGGAATCTTTGATTATTATCAAAGCCCCTCAGGGGTGGAAAGAAAAATCTTATTTTCAGGTGATTATACTCTGCTAAATGTTACACACTGGACCTTTAATTGCAAGACTTCAAACCCATTGAAAACCTGATCCATGCAGCAGCACTGTAATATCCGTCATCAACGGTCATACCTCCTCTTTTCCCAGTGTGGTACGGTCTCATGAGGATCTGCAGGGCAGCAGGGTTGGTCATACTGGTCAACAGCTGGGCAAGGTTTGGTTCTGGTAGCAAACCTTTCCTATTACTCAGAATCTGGAGAACAAAAAATTGCACAGACATACACAAGTTTGAGAAAGAAAAGTGAGATTGTGTGTGTGTGTGTGTGTGTGTGTGCACAGTATGTGTTTTGATCTTGTCATTATAAGTCCCTGATGGCTATAGTAATCATTACACTAGTTTACATCATCGCAATATGTCTGCAATGTCAGCAGAGGGGAATCTATGCAGGAGACAAAAGAAAATAAGCAAGAGAGGGACAGAGCGGTTTGAGAAACAAGAGCAGGAGGAGGAAATGGAAATGTGTGAAAATAAATGTGAAAAACAAGGCAGACGAAGAGTTGGGAGGGAAAAGTAGAGGCCACCTTTCAGACACACTAATTTATAAGTTCCCTGCCAATTTTACATGTCGCCATGTTTAGAGAAAACCTTGGGACATTTTTTCTGTAAACGTTGTGGCAATCTGCTGCAATCGTGCAATCGTAAAGTGTGAATAATAGAAACCACACTGTGGGTACAAACAACACAATCTTATGACGTGACATTTTAGTATACGGTGTTCAAACCGAGAGAAAAGCAAGTGAGACTTTAAAGCCTCTAAAAGCATGGATTCAAACTATTTCTAGTAAAAGAAAATAAAAAACATTGTTATTATGAAGTATTATTTGAGTGTAACAACAGACCATAAGTGCTGTGTGTGTGGTTGGATCAGAATTGATTGACAGTGGCCGGGCAACATAAGCAAACAACCCGACAACTGTCAACCAATTTTAATTAAAATATGTCTGTGATAAAACTGTGTGTTTACGGAGGATGCCCAGGTTCATGATAGAGAATCGGTTTTCAGGACCTTTAAATAACTTTGTGAAACCAAATTATATAAGATTGCTAAACCCAGAAATTGATTGATTCCAAATACAAAAGGGGATATAGACTCTAGTCTAAGGGAGGAAGACCAGCTCATTTCAGCATTAGACCAGTTTCCACTCTTACAAATGTAATGTAGCTCATATAGCTCGGAAATGTCTTTCTTCTAAGTCAAATATTCTGTTTGTGATCTCTGTGATCAAGATGCAGCATTTTAAGCTTTGATCCTGTTTTTTGTGTTCGACTTCAACACCGTGTACAAACACATCATGTGTAAGAATGTTAGTAGTCTTGCAGGTACTTTTAAGGCAAAGTTTCTATTCACTTTCTTTTAATTTTTTTAAAGATATTCTTTTGCCAGTTTTATTAGACAGATGACAGTACTTGGACAGACAGTGAGGAGCAGGTATGATAAAGGTCCCTTGACTGAACTATCAGTATATGGTTTGTGTCTTAACTATCTTAAAAAGAACCAGTGTGTAGGATTTAGTGGAGTGCAGATTGCAACTGAACACCACTCACATCTGTGGATAAAAATGGCTAATTTGAAGGTTGCTTCACACAACGATTCCAGGTGATTATTCATTATTATTATTATTATTTATTCACTAATGAAAACATTTTTGCCAATAGATCCTCCTAAATGTTACACACTGGACCTTTTCCAATCTATGTCTTCCACCAGGAGGTAAAGGTGTTATCTTACTGCGTCCTAAGTAGGGAAAGGAAAAGGTGTCACTGTTACTACAGTTACTGACTTACATATTCAGCTTGTAGCTCAACCTCCACCTGCCAGCCTACAGTATATGTTTAGCACGGCTCACTTGTTTCAGCCTGCTGTTTTGGTGTTGCACAGGTTTTAGTTCCTCTGTGTAATGTTGTTGTAGCTGTGTGTTCTATTTAATTCTGTTCTTAACAAACAAGAACTGGAGGTTTTACTCTGTGTTTCCCCTGTTAATACCGTAGCTCACATTTCATTTGACATGAGCTGGATTTTCCTGGTACTAAACATATCTCTGCTGACTTGCTTTTAATCGGAAAACATACTCTAGGGCTCATTCTCAAATAAGAATTCAATCACCCATTACGCTGCAAAATTTAATTCAACAGACTTAAATGAAATCCCATTGAATTAGACTGCGTCAAATCGAATGGAGCAGCCCTTGTAGATCTTCCTTAGCACTGACAGTGTGGCGGCAGTACTCGCTGGCTAGCCCAAAGACACGGCTATTTAAAACAACATTAGCAGGATGGTGATATTTCCTCTCGTCTGCCCCTGAGCTACCGCATGACTCCAGCTCAAGTCAACCTTGTTTCCTCCCTGTCACATCCTGAAGAGAGAGCATTACTGATGGGGATGGAGCAGGTCTGACTCGAGCCTGTCAGCAAGGAAGAGGAGAAGTCGGGTGCGCACATACAGTATGTGTTTGTGTGTTACGGCAAGGAAAATTGTGTGTGTGTGTGTGTGTGTGTGTGTGTGTGTGTGTGTGTTGGTGCTGAACAAGGCCAGTCGTAGCTGACAGCGTCTTTCAAGGGAAGAGAGAGAGGAGGAGGACAGGAGGAGGAGGAGGAGGAGAGCTCTCTCTTTTCTTTTCTTTCTGCTGGAGAAAATGTCATCATGCATCAGTCTGTTTGGCTACTGGCACAAAATCCAGCCACACTCCCACGCACTAACACACACATACAGACACACACACACACACACACACACACCCAACAGGGAGGTAAGGAAGCCGCGAAGAAGGGAAGGCGAGAAGTATCGCGTAAGGAGAGGGATAGAGGGAGAAGAAAGGAGGAGGGAGGAGGAGGCCATCTGGTCCTCAGCGTTCACACTCAAATTCACTAACTGGAGAAATGAGAGAATTGCCTCAGAGGAGGATTGTAGCCAGGAGAAGGTCTTGATCTCTTTTCTGAAGGTCTGATGTTTCTTTTACCAGCTGCTCACATTCACTGCAATAATCTTAAAAAGGAGCCTTGGGCTAATAATGTAACCTCCTCACAGGCTCAAAATGTCTCTCCACCTCTTCCTCCTACCTTCTTTTCTGGTCTCTTTGTCAACCAATAACCCCCTTTTCTTTTACTCTGTTTATGTCTGCCTTCCCTCCTCGCGTCTGCCTTATCTTCCTCAGCTAATTTATTCAGAGACACATTTTTCTCTCAATGTCTTTTCATCGTCTTCGTTGCAATTCAGGCCCGGTGACCGTTACCGCTCTGCTTTTCAACCTGTAATTTTCCAACCATCCATCTTAAGGCTAGAATCTCTTTACATGTACCTGATAATTCTTGCTCTGAGACTAACGTCACCTCACATATTTAAAATAAATAAATAAAAAGTGGTAGTGTAGAAGTTTAAAATTTAAGAATGAATAAATTATAGCACCCTTACTGGGCTCATGCATGTGTTGGTCAATGTAAACTTTGAAATATTGTGTTTTTCGGTGCTGCAGTCAGGGACTTTGGAAATTACAAACTGACTTTTAACTGGTGCCCTCCATACGCTCAATTAGTGAAATCTAAAATATTTATCATCAGATGAGAGTACAATAGCAAGCTGTAATGGTTTTCCATGGCCTATGGGTAACTCATAATGAACCATAAACCTGCAATTCATGTGAAAATATATTAAGGATTTCCTTGTGATTGGAGCAACATTGTCTTATTTTGTGCCTATTGGCTATTACTACTAAATTACAACTGATATGCGAATGAGTGCCATAATTAACGTTGGATTATAACAGTTTACTGGTAAAGCTGTATTAAAACATGGGAAAACCTACTTAATGTACATGTGGCTCACACAGTGTACATTAAATAGACAGTAGCAAGATTACACTGATCACAAGACCTTCCTTTGCATTCACAATATCTGCTTTTGGAAAAAGAGAAGAAGAACTCTGAAAAACAAAGTTGGCCAATACATCATGTTTTTTTGTTTTTTGTTTTTACATATTTTCAATAAAATACAACAAATCAATAAACATAAAATACATTTATAAAAAAATCTATAGAAAATCTGAAAAAATTGCAAATGATCACAATATTGTATGGAAAGTATTACAAATATAAAAATATTTTTTTCAAATTAAGTTTATGTAAATAACATAACAACTCTTACCAAGAGAACCAGCATTTATCAGTTGATTGGTATATCAATCAACATCATCAATATCAACACTGAAAATACTGCACATTCACTATTCTATCCAAACTACCACTACTCTTCTCTACAGACACACTCTGAGGGAAAGACATGAGTCGCAGAGAGACAGAGGTAGAAAAACAGATAGAAGTGTGTGAATGCGCCATGACGTTGTCCTCGAATGTAAGACAACCCCACTTTTTTAAGTGCAGCTTCCACAAAAACAAACATCTAATATTCTGGACCTGTATAGACACACACACACACACACACACACACACACACACACACACACACACACACACACACACACACACACACACACACACACACACACACACACACACACACACACACACACACACACACACACACACACACACACAGAAACTTGTCAGTAGTCTGATTTTGATTACAAAAGCATTGAGACCAGGCTTGAAATGCTTGCCCACTTTTGTATCAAAATTTTCTACCTGTAAGTACAAAAATACATATAAATTACCCAGGAAGATTAACAAGTACTGTTCCGTTTCCACAAGTGATTGGAACTTGTATTTACATCTTGTAAGTCTAACTCTGTTGGTGTGTATCTATGTAAATGTCGGTGTGTGTATGTTTGAGTGTCATACTGTGTCGCGGGTTGTGAGTTTGGTTTATTTCAGGCAGCAGGAGACAGTGGAAGAGTCCAATCAGTCTATAGAACTATAATTATCATGTCAGTGCCTCTCTGCTACCACAGCACTGTGTAGGAGGGATACCATAGCTACAAAGACTATTTCAGCCAGAGACTGTTCAAACATGTGCACCATGTCAAACCTCAGCATATATGAACGCTGGATGTGCAATAGCACTGGCTTCACAATTAGATGTAGCTGTGGGCATGTCTGCCTGTTTGCGTGCTTACATGTAAGTCTGGGAAGTCTGATGTTTTGGCACAACAGTGTGTGGACTTCCATATCCGAGGAAATGTTTCTGTGGAGAAGATTCAGTTTCCAAAATCTAAAAGACATTTCTAAAAAGTTTTTTAAAATGTATGTCTTTTTTTTTTTTTTTAAATCTCCATGCTCAAATGTGGATCTACTAAATGCAGATACTTCTTTCAAATGTTATTTTGAAATGTTACTAACAGCAAGCTATCATGGTTGTGTATTTACTGTATTGACAGCTACCATCTCCATGGGAAGCTCTTCAGGTAGGTTTGCGTATAATGAGCTCTTAACACATATGCAGTGAAGTCTGCGAGCTGCTATACTCACACAGGACAAACTCTACTCAAAGCAACAACGCAACCCTTCCAAGGTGTAATTAAGTCATGCTGCTTTGCACTTGTGTTTCTGTTTTGCTCTGCCATGACAGATGTTACAGTGCTAACCAGAAAATGTTGCTATAATTGTAGCGCTCACTTCTGTTTATATACTGTTTTCACAACACCCCCCCAGGCTTTACACCTAAGACCTGTAAGAGAAGCTATCATCACTGGCTGACTGAACTACAACACAGACAGTGCGTAGATTTTTAACAAGTACCTACAAGGTGTGAATATCTGAACTTTATACGAAGATTCCCCTTTATGACATAAAATAAGAAGGTTCAATGTATTTAGCAACATTTACCAGGCTCTGCAATTGTGTACAAGCTAGGGCCACATACAAGAACTGTAAAATAATAATTGTGCTTTGTAATCCTTATTTAGAAAACAACTATAAAAGTTGGATGAATGATTTGCTTGGTTTATTTTAGCCGTTTGTACTGGTTGTTCAGTGGGTGGGCGACATCATGGGAGATTTTCTTGGCCTTGCTGATGGTTCTATGGATGCAAGCTGTGTTTTGGCATGTATTACAACAGACCATTTTTGCCATGTTGGATATTTTACTAATGTCTTATTCCTATCTTTTAGGAAATTAGACTCTGAAAGTGAAAAATGACAAGAGAAGGTTATCCCTTGTTGTGTCGTGAGACTCTTTAACAAAACTTAACAATGAGGAGAGCCCACTTGAGGACCCCAGAGACATACTTGCCCTCTAACATTTAGAATTAGTGGCTGAGTAATCTGTGTTTACCTGATGATTCTGTAGATTTGTGATGAAACAAACGGATGTTCTCTGAGATGACCATTTGTGGATTAGCACACAAGTCTTTTGACAACTAAACCCGGGATTCCACAAAAATGTCCCAACAGCCTGTAACATTTAATGGTGTGTATTGGATATATGCAGTATGTGTGGGTACAGTCTGTGCCTTTAATATGAGGGTTTGTGGCGCTCTTGCGTGCATCATACTCACCATACCCTGGGCGGCGATGAGTGCAGCCAGGGTGCTTCTTCCTGAGGTGCCGGGGGTACAGGGTGACAGACGGACCTCCTGTCCTCCCACCAGTGTTCGGTCCATCTCTATCAGTACAGCCTCCGCCTGCTCTGCACTCTCGTACTCCACCACACCGAAGCCTCGGACTGGGCTGCCCTCATCCTGAGCAAGCTGGAAGACAGACAAAAGAAATAAGGATTCAATTGTGAAACTAACTTTTTAATTAAGGATACAGCTTTTTAATATTGTACATAGATATGTTTAAAACGTGCATATTGTGAGCTTAAATTAGAAACTTGGTATAAATTGTGTGACAAGTCATCGGTAAACTCAAAGTAAACAGATCAATAAAGAGTCACTATACCACACACATTTTACTAACATTACCTCTGTTTGGTCATTTGTCAGAAATTTTAGCACAAAGTGAAGTAATTGGTATTGATACTCTCAACTCCTCACATATAAACACAATGCGCTGTGGTCCTTTTGTGCTTCAGGTCAATGAAAACTTCACTTATTGACCATTTGATTAAACCAGTAAGATTATTTTTACTCCTGCAGCCGCAGCTTTGCTCCAAAAAAAGTCTAATAAATCCTACATTGCTTCATTTTCATCTTTACCTCAGTGAGATCTGTAGTTTGAGGAGACTTAGTGGGGCACAGAATGATCTCATTATTACTTGGGTTACATTCATATAATTATTATGGTTATGTACACAAGCCGATGCCTTTTGTCACTTGATCCCCTGTTCAAGTGCCTTATCAAAATGAGCAGATGTTGGTTGCTTCCTCTCTTTGGTTTGCTGTTCCAGTTAGATCACAGGACATATTCAAAACTACTTAACAGACTTTCACTCAAACGTGGTTCACTATTACCATTCCAGGCATCTATCATCAGTTTTACCAACTTGTTACTTCTCTTTTGATAATTTTGAAAAACAATTAATTGCAGTCCCTCTGTTATTATCATTGTCTCTTCACAAAAAAAGGTCCTGGGTTTGAATCTTCTAGCTGGGGGGTTTTCTATAAGGAATACTCAGGTTTTTCTTTTGTCTGCTTGGCTTTTGCCATAATCTAAGATTGTGTGCATTAAATCAACTGGAGTCTCTAAACTGTCCTTGGGAGTCAATGGGATTGTAAATGTGTTTGTGCGTCATTCCTGCAATAAGCTGCTGATCTGTCCAGTATACTAGATAGGATCCGCAACCCTGAACAGGATTAGCAGGTGCCAGGGCTTTAATAATGTATCAGTGCCAAACTGTGACAGTATGGGGGTCATGTTCCGGTGCTACACAATATGTATTGTAAACGTCGAAAAGAAGAATGTATCTTTATGCAGTTGCTTTTTCCCCCTCACAGTTCCAAACTTGCACTGAACCGTGATATAAACCAAACCATGACTACCGTGTCGTGCTACAGTAGTCCGATCTGTTGGATCGGAAGCCTTGGACTCAGACCCAGTTGTCATTATTACAATTTGGCCCTTGTCAAAGTCGCTCAAATCCTCTCACTGCCTGTTATTCCTGCTTCTAACGCATCACCTTTGAGGACAAAATGTTCACTTGCTGCCTAATATATCTCAGCCACTGACAGGTGGCATGATAACAAGATAATCAGTGTAATTCATTTCACCTGTCAGTGGTCATAATGCTATGGCTGATCTGTGTACAGCAATGCCAGTGGAGCCATCTGTTGCCAGCAGTGAAGAAACAAGAACTCAAAATACAACATGAACCACTGAAGCCTCTGTTAGATTGTTAAATCTTGACAAAAGAGCTTACTTCTGATTAACTAACAATAAAACCTAATGTCTAGTGCTCATTTTATCCATTCAGACTTCACCAGTTATCTGCAGGAATGAAAAACCAATACACCACCAGAGGCATTATCACCAAGAACTGTTTTAATGGAGAAAATGTGTTTTAGAGTGTTTTTTTCTTCAATACGCAAGAGGAAATGTACTCACTGATAAATGTAATCATCTAATAAGAGCTGCATGCTGCTTAATAGAACCCCTCTTTTTCCCCCCTCACCAGAGAGGGCAAAATGCCTGGAAACATTACTTTAATTTATTCTATCTTTTAATAAATCACCAGGGCAAGCAAAGGAGGTCCCTGCAACAGCCTCTTTTCTATTTCTGCATCAAGTTCATGGCTCTATCTAGGAATAGTGATATCATTTATCCAGAAAGCTATAAAAAATATATTTGGATTCAATGGCCAAAATGCAATCTCCTCCAGAACAGGCTATCTATGTAGCCGAAGCTACCATGGTGATGTCAGACTGTAAAACCAGTAAATTTGCTAGCTCTTTGCTAATTCAGTCCTATTGTTTTATGAGACTTTTGCTAACAAATGTATTTATCAAATTCAAGACACCAACAGGAGCATACAGAGAAGATCAAAGTTACAAATGTGACTTTGAACAAGAACCTGTACACTTTCACTTTCAAGTGTGTGTGTGTGTGTGTGTGTGTGTGTGTGTGTGTGTGTGTGTGTGTGTGTGTGAGTGTGAGAGAGAGACACAGAGAGAGAGACAGATAACTGTGTGTTGTGATGGAGGTAAAAGAGCTTGTCTCAGCTCCTTTTGTCAAAAAAGATAGATAAAAAATGACATGATGTAAGAGATACATCCTCTTCCTGCACTGCTCTAGGGAGTGACCGTCCACACACACACACACACACACACACACACACACACACACACACACACACACACACACACACACACACACACACACACACACACACACACACACACACACACACCACTTGTTTCTGTATGTGCGGAAGAGTAACAAAAATTGGGACTGATCTAAACCAAATCTCCTGCTTCCAGTTTAATGGCCACATCCAGTGAAACATCTGGTCTTTTTCCAAAATGTCACATTTTCTTTATGGTTACTGGTCAATAAATGGATCTCTACAGGCCAAATGGTACTGCTGACCAGTAACATTACTTCTGAAGAAGATAGACGTTTCAGTCATTTCCAGTGAGTGAGAAGCAGCTAAGCTAAATAATGCAGGCAGGCTAATAGCTTAAAGCTAATGGATAATATTCAATAAAGACAATGGCTTAAAGCTAATAGCTTATGGTTAAAACACATCACTTGACCTATTGTTGGTTGTGGCTGAATTAAAATACTGAAATATACATGATAAGTACTTGAAACAGATGTGTGCACTGTTTGAGACTGTTTAAGTATCTGGTGCAGAGGTCACATGTACATGAGCAATTTTGATTTATTTGTCATTCTTACATATGTTTTTTGTACGTTAATATTGAAGTTATAGTGATTAATTGTAGATTCTGTTGAAGAATAAGAGCTGACAAGTTTAATTTTCTAAAATGTCCTGCTCAGTACATATCAAGTTGACAAAAAAATAGGAGATATTTATCAAAAATGCTTGTTATGTATCTATGTGAAAAAAATAAGACGGCCAACATTCGTTTAGATATCAGTCTTTTTAAACTCTCAGCAGTACCCTAACCCTATTGTACGACACAACCAAGTGACCAGGTGAAATTAGTCCAACCAGTAAGCTGGAAGAGTTCTTTATACTTGTTTCTATTGCAGTCCACTGAGTCTGAAAAGAGATATTGTTCTCAAAATGCCTACTTTACATAGTCTGAATGTACCTTGGAAGATCCAGACCAGATTCAGACCTAAGCACTCTGCCTGAAATAACCTGATGCTCCATAATAACAACAGGAAGGGCAGAAATATTTAATAAAGCTCTTAATGTGCCCACATAAAGCCTCATCAAAGGTCATATAATCACACTTATGTGCAATACAATCATAGCAGACGTTCTTGATGTAAAAACGGACAGATTACGAAACAGTGGGAGACAAATGTATTTGTACTTTCTCAGCCTGAACACTGATGCCTGCTACCATCAGTGCTCAATCAAGTGGCCCTCCACTCCACTCCCCCCCCCCATTCGTCTGCTGCTCCCTCCGGTCTGAACAAAGGATGGATGGAGGGAGGGAACGAGGGAGGAAAATGGATGTATGTGTGGAGGAGTAGGTCGATAGGCTATTATCATCAGCATACATTAAGAAAACTGTATGGAAATGACCTGAACCACTCCACCTCTTGAGAGGTGGAAAGATGGAAGGGGGGGTGGAGAGAAGAAGAGAGAGAAGAAGGAGGGAAGGAGGAAGAGAAAAACGTCAGTGATTGATTTAAGTGAGGGAGGCTGACAGAGGATATGAGCCAGAAAAGACAGGAGGAAAAAACATAAAAACTTGCTAATCATTACTTTTGTGTGCACATAACAAGTAAAACTGGAGTAGAAGTGGGTAAACTGCCAAACATACATTATATATTAAATTGGATTCAAATTGGATTGTGTGCAAATGGTATTCAAGCTATCATCAACTATGTGTGTGTGTGTGTGTGTGTGTGCATGCGTGAGTAATGATGTGAAGACTGAGTGAGCCTTTCTCTACTCAAATTGTTCTCCAACTACACTCACACTATATCAAATATTCAATCATTACTCAGAAAAACAATTATGTAAATGTAAAGAAGTCATGTGCCTACTGTATGTGAGCCTTGTATATGCCAGCTGTTGTTTGGTTCTCTGTTGTTTTGTATTTTTGCTGTTGTCCAGGTACAAACAAGTAGCTGCCGAACACAGTAAACATGTCAAATTCACTGTAACCACAAAGTAGCCTTGACATTATTAACATGGTTTGAGGATGTCAGTACATGGCAGCTGATAAAGGCAGCAGCGTGCACAGTCTCCTGAACACATGACAATAAAAACAATGAAAAGCTTTTTCTTTTTCTAAATTGGAAGCCTTTTAAAGTCGGGGAAATCTTTTACTTATTTTTGTAATGTATGGCAGTTGCTCTACCTTGTCCTCAAGGTATAATTTAGAAAAATGAAAGAGAAATTAACTGCATAAATTTGGTACTTTATCCTTTCTCCTGTAAATTATCCTTGATGTAAATCAAAAATAGATTGTCCCAAAAGAAAATCCCTGCATGCCATGTAATTACACTGCATCAGTCTAATTAATCGAACACGTTTTTCATGCTTTTGGCCAACAGGTAGTAAAGTTGAAATAATAGACTAAACTAACCTACTGCACCATAAGGTTCATGGTATGATGTGTAAATGGCAGCAGGTCTTTGGGTACAATTATGTCATACTTTGGAA